ATATAATGGCCAGTTCGAAGCTTGTGTTCATAGTCAGTTCTATTCTTCTAACCATAATGTTTTCTCATGGAACCATTTCAGCTGTAGGAAGGCCATTGAAATTGGAGAACAAGGCTCAAGTCACAACCTATAAAAACAGTATCGAAGAAATGGCTACAGTGGCAGAAAACACTGTCATGTGGCGCCGCCACACCTTAGAATTTGAAACTGCGACCGCACCTGACCCCAGGAATCACGTCGACGATTTCCGACCGACGGATCCAGGGCACAGTCCCGGTGCCGGCCATTCCTTCCCTTACGCCAGCGTTGTTCCAAAGCCATAGACATACATTATTATCATATGTGCATATAGTTGATAATTTGTTATATGCATGATATATATTTAAAACGTTACTCCTATATTTAAATCCTAACACCTCTCTATGTACTTATCACTTTCGGAGAGAAAAAAGAAGAGTGGAAAGAGGGTGGAAGTGAGGTTGCATTGAAAAATTTTCCAGAGGTGATGAGCACAAAAAAAAGGTGTTATATAACAAAGTTGTTTAGATATGTATAGCTAGCTATCCCATGCATATAGAATGTAAACATAGTTTATGCTTTGGGTGTTAATTCATACCCTTAAACATGTGCATCTGTAATTGTAAACATCATATCTCTATTTCTTGTGTAGCTGCATCGATTTTTTTTTTAACTCCCTTCCCTTCATATCTTCTGGTTAATCTATGTAAACAGCAGGCATGGTTATAAATAATGGCAAATGATAATTTGATGCATATTTAATATTCTTTAGACATAATTTTTTGTGTGTGGCACGGGACAAATAAAAAATAATTAATGGCATTAATTTTGGGAGCTAAATAAATAAAATAATATATAGTCACAAAGTTTAAATTTTGGTACGAATCCACAAAAATATTTAATATTCTTTTATTTTTTATTTTTTACTCCATCTTGTGAAATAATAAGGCGTGATTTATTGTTACATTTCGGCCTGTTCATATAAATAAATCTCGAAAATGCATAACGTAAAAAGCAACAGTGGAAAAAGTGTACAGAACCATTGAATTAAAAATAATATTAAAATTGAAAGAAAAAATTAATGTGAAAAATGATATAAAATAATTTTTTATTAAAAATTATAATATAATATATAATACATGCCCTGTATGGGGATAAACGAAGAGCAAACACGATAGCGTAAAAAGTAATTCCCTCATATGCACTGTATTTAAGATTGGAAATGAAACAAGTTTCAGCGAGGTTGGCCTAGCTAATTCAATTGCTTGGCGCCTATAAAAAATAAATAAAAAAATTCAATTACTTGACTTGACAAAAAAAAAAAAAAAACTCATTATTTATTACTCAAGCTAATGTTAACCTCGTGACCTATTAGAGTTTAATAAACCAATATTAGGTCATATCTTAATTAAATATTACAAGTTCAATGATTTATCTCAATTTTTTAACTTCTAACCATAATTAAGAAGCTTCTTGTCTTTACAAATTACCGTAACTAAGGCCATGGTGGGTCCAAGAGCTAGGCCACTAAATTTTTTATTTTAGTCCTCTAAAAGAATATTTATTAATAATATATTACTTCAACAAATTGGTTATTTAATAGATAATATTATTTTATTAAGTATAATTAAACACTTTTAATAGAAAAAACTTCATATTTTATAATTTACCTCTTTTAAAACAAAAAGTTATAGTCACTGGTTAGATATATAATATAAATTTGTTATTACAACTTTTTTATGTACATTTTGATAATAAAACTAGTTAGAATAAACTTAAAGAAGACTTATTTAAATAATATATATAGTAAAAGGTTTGTAAAAATCAATAAGGTGCAAAAATTTAAATAAATTATAAGTATTTTTTATAAATTTTTCACACATTCTTTAAATGGATTGATTTTTTTAGTGATTGCAAAAATGTTAAAAAAAATTAATTAATTATTTTACTTTAATAAATAATTGTACATTCTAAGATTTTAAAAGATTAAATCTGCAAAAAAATTACAATACTAATCAAATATTTGTAATCTTGTAAATATTAAATTTACTATTAAAGCTGGCTTTAAACATCTCTAATACTAATTACAAAGTAGTGTCATGATATTCTAAACAAATTATTAACCGAGACAAAGGCTAAAATATATATTTTTAATTATAACAATTTTTATACTCATAAAGTAAAGTGTTATGGTCTTACACGTGTTCATACTTACACTTAATATCGATACCTATAACATGTGTCATCATGGTCTTGTCCGTGTTCATTGTGCTAAGTGCGATACAAGAGAGCCCAAAATAAACTTAAGAATTACGATACATATTCCTTCATTCCTTTTTAAATCTTAATTATATTATATACATGTCAATCGAAAACCTGTCAATCAATTTTCCAATATATGTTGTAAACAAGGGGGTAATAAAAAGAGTATCAAAATCACTTTATCAATAATTTTATAATGGGTCCAATATTATATTATATTATACTAAGCAAAAAAAATCATACCATTAATCCTTCGAGTATTGATGAATATGAATTCAAGTATATATACTAGATAATTTTTTAAAAAATTTATGAATACGAGTATTATATTACTCAGCTGTATTAATATTCTCATAATATTTTTTTTTCATGTTCAATAATTTTTTTTTAAGTTTTAAATTAAAAATTAATCATCTTTAATTTTTTTTCGTTTAAATCACGTGTCTTTTGTTTTTACTAAATACTCTTTTTATAATTTTTCATTGTTAATATTAGTATTAAAATTATATTATATTTTAAAAAAAACTAACATTTTTATTTTATTAATTTATCAGATAAATATATAATAAAAAAATACGTTTGATTTAATTAAAATAACAGGAACGAGGTTTTTTTTTTTTTAAAAAAGAAATAATGAGTTTGATTCCGTATGTATAAGCACTCAGTGAATAAAAAATTTAAATTTAAGATTACAACCACACAAATATAAATTAAAATATAAGTGTTTTTCTAAATACGAATATGGAGGGAGATAATATATACTCATTATCATCGTTACGTTTCAGTTTTCACTACTTCGACAGAGTTATGGTTTCTTATTCATGACTTCAATAAGGGTTGTAGTCAAACGTTGATTTAGGACTTTGTTGACGTGTCCGTTCTTTTTATAGTAATGTTTTGGTTTGAGGCCACAATTCTTTTAGTAATTATTAATACATTGAAATTTTAACAAACTTGAGTCGAGTCGTTTTTGGTTTTTTCAAATTACTCCCTTAATTTTATATTAAGTTAGTTTTAGTGAACAAAATATGATATTAATTAAGTGATATTTTAAGATATTAACGAAACTTTATTTTTTATTTTAATTTTACCTCAAATAAATATCGAATGTAACAATTTGTTAATACTGTGCGAGTCAATCTTTCAACAAATAAGAATGAATAATAAGAATGACATGATAAAATCATTTTACTAATTAAAATATTTATTCTTTTTTTAAATTTGTGTACAAAAATCTTCAAGGTCAATTAATTTAAAATAGGAAATAATTATATTAATTTTTTTTCAAAAATAAGAATATGATAAAAGTACTGATTAAAGAGTCAAAAGTAAAAATATTTTATTAAAAAATATTAAAAAATGTACTGACTTTAATGTATTTTAATGTATTTGTTTTTAATAAAAAATATTACGTATTAATTTATAACCATTGCTTTAAGAGAGTTGATTAACAACGTCTAATTTGTAATTCCTCCATTTTAAAATGTAATTATTATCCCACTACGTAAAATTAGTCTAGTATCTATTTGGGACAACCTAATAAGAGCGCAAAGGTTAAAGTTCCCCCAATATAGTCCCTTTTTTTTTTTTCACCTTCCCCTGCCTGCACTGTGTGAGACTCCTTGCCTTACCTTAAAAAGAAAAAAAAATAGAATAAAACTAGTATTAGATTTTGATGATCACAATTAAATATACTTGCAGTTGTTATCATTCTCATTCTTCTTATCACTTCATTTTCATCCCAATCCATTAATTGATCTAATTAATCAAACGTTAACGTTACGTAACATTTAAAAAAAAAAAATTGTCCGCAAATTTTGCTCATATTAAAGTTGTAAACAAAACTTCACATACATAGGATTGAAAATAAACTAACGTCATCAAATTTGCTTTAAAACAAAGTTAAAGACGATAATATAATAACATATTTTAAAAGTTTACAACAAGTAATCTCTTATAGGTAGTAAGCTATTTTTTAACAGTGACTGTTTATATTATTTTTTGAGTAGAAATTGAAAATACATATATTCATAAATCCCGTGCAAGGGGGCAAGGGCCTTCCACTCACGGACTAGGAATGGGCTCTTTATCAGGTCAAGTATATTTCTCAGTCCCTTGCTCTTATATTAACTTTAACATGGAGTAATTTTATATTTTTTAAAATAAAATGTCGAAAAATATATTTAACACGTTAAAAACATTAAGATTAGTAAAAAAAAAAACAATATATTATTTTCTGCAAATGATATAGCAACAAAATTGTGCAGAAAGATAGAGAAATTCCTAGTACACGGGGGCTGATGATATAGATCTGAATCCTAGGCAATCTCCAATTTCGTTATTATTTTTGACTGCCACGTAAACTTCCAGCGTCACTCACTGAGCGCTGTAAAAAAAAAAAAGAAAGTAACGCGAGGTTAAAGTGAAACTGTTAAAGTGGCAGGGTGCGCAGAGGAAGGAATAAAGAAAATAAAAATAAAAATAAAAATAGAAAAGAGTGAGGAGTGAGGGAAGAAAAGGAAGAGGTGGCGGCGGATCCTGGAGAGAGAGGGAAGCGAAGGCTACTAGTGTTATGCATATCCCTCATTAAAATATCCAACGGTTAAGATGGAATATGAAAACCTAATCGAACGGTAGAAACGAGAACCGCGTTCGCGAAGGCAACCCAAGAATCCGTCATCCTCATCATAAATCATCCCCTTAGACCCTTGCCGCGACCTCTCTCAAAATCCAGATTCAACACAATCCCTTCTCTTTCTCTCTCACACGCGTAACTAACTTTTCTCCTTTTCCCTTTCTTTTTCATTTTTTCTGTTTGAGCTTTCATTATTCCGGACTAAAACAGCAAAGCCACGCGCCGTAACCATTATTCTACGCGAAGATGCAATCTTCTAACGGCCCTGATTCACAACCCGCGGACCAGAACTCGCAGCAGCAACGACAACAGCAAACACCGCCGCAGCCACTCCCAGTGCCGCCGCAGTGGATGCCGATGCAGTACCCCGCCGCCGCCATGGTAATGCAGCATCACATGTTGCCGCCTCAACATTACGCGCCGCCGCCTCCGCCGCCGCAGCCCTACATGGCTTACCACCAGTACCAGCAACCGGTGCCGCACGTGTCTCACCCTCACCATCAGGGATCCACCGCCGAGAACAAAACCATCTGGGTCGGCGATTTGCATCATTGGATGGACGAAAACTATCTCCACCGCTGTTTCGCTTCCACTGGCGAGGTACTATTTTCATTCCAATATATATATATATGTAGACACGTTAACACACAGTAATAGTAGTTCCTTTTTATGATGGTTTTTTTATTGATTGCTTGAACGTAAAAACTGTTCCGTTTCTCTTTTCTTTTCTTCTCATTTGTTGTTGTTGGGGGGTTATTTTATCTGTAAGTGTAGTTTTATTCAGGAAGGTTGAGTTCTGATCAATGTTGTTGTGAGCTGAAGTTAGACGTGGTTTTGATAGCTGGATTCGTGTTTGTGTTATAATGATAGTGGTATGAGGCTGCATGCTTCTTCTTTAGCTTGTGCCCACGTACCTCAGCAATGCATAAGGAGGGGATATATATATTCCTTTGGTAATTGTGTAATTAAAAGGTGAATGATGTGAAAATCAATTCTTGATTAATTGGTTGGGAATTAAAGATTGAAGAATGGAAAGGGAATTGAGGATGCCAACCTTAGCATTTTTCCTTATGAGTTATGGCTAATTTTTTTTAAACTTTGGTAACTGAAGTTCGGAAAATAAATATTTGAAGTCCATCAAATAAGTTGGTTTTGTGATACTTGAAATTGTGTTCGAAATGTTAAACATAGGGATAAAATGTTATATTAAAAAATAAGTATTGGTTAGTAGTGAGCGGGTTAGGTGGTTTGGATAACGTTATAAAATGTTAAAGTCCCGAGTGTTACCTTTGTTACAAAAAAAGTAAGAGAAATAAGTTTCGTTCATCTAACTTTAAGCTTGAATTGAGCAATTAAGATAACTAATTTTTCAGTTTTATTTTCTGCATCGTTCATAATCAAACTGTTCTTCCCAAATTTAATATTCTGACTTTTCATGCTCTGATTCAATTTAGGTGGCAGTGTGGCATCACTTGATTCAATTTAAATTAAAATAGATGGGAAATCTGAGGGATTGAGTGTGTGTCTGCACGAGTCAGTGCTCTTTGGTGTGATAAAATTTTGCCTTTGTATCATTTTAAGTATGAATAGTTTAGGATTAAAGAGCAGGTGGAGGTTTTTGCCCTTATGACTTGGGCTTAAGTGGTGAAATTTTCGGGTATAGCTGTTTCCGGTAGCTAGTTTTAACTAAAAATGGTGACTTTAGTGCTATTCCTCTACTGTTCGAGTTTGATGAAAAAAATAATTTGGTTTTTTAAAGCTCGTGGTGTGTTTGGATCTACGTTCCTGTGAGATAAATGCGCGTCAATTCCAACACAAGAAAGAGCACCTTCTATGTTATAGACGTGCATTTGATGCCATTCATCATAAATCTAAACACACATTTAGTTTGTTTTGATGGAATATGGTTCCTGAGATTTTCATATTGCTTAAGACTGGTCATCTTACCATCATTAATTTTTTTTGCAGATTTCCTCAATTAAGGTTATTCGCAATAAGCAGACTGGTCTATCAGAGGGTTATGGATTTGTGGAGTTCTATTCACATGGGACCGCTGAGAAAGTTTTGCAGAATTATGCTGGAATATTGATGCCTAACACAGAGCAACCTTTCCGGCTGAACTGGGCAACATTTAGCACAGGGGACAAGCGTTCAGATAATGTTCCTGATCTTTCTATTTTTGTAGGAGATTTAGCAGCAGATGTTACAGATAGCATGTTGCATGAAACTTTTTCTAATAGATACCCTTCTGTTAAAGCTGCAAAAGTTGTTTTTGATGCCAACACTGGTCGTTCAAAGGGTTATGGTTTCGTCAGGTTTGGCGATGATAGTGAGAGGTCCCAGGCTATGACTGAAATGAATGGTGTTTACTGTTCTAGCAGGCCTATGCGTATTGGTGCTGCAACTCCTAGGAAATCATCTGGCTATCAACAAGGTGCGCCAAATCACATAACTTGCTTCTAATATCTGAAATTATATTCTTTAAAAAGAAGACAATAAAAGGATATTATACAGGCAATTGAAAGAAAACATTTTACGACACGGTTTTTATCCACAAATTTCACTTGTTCTGTGTCATGTTGTTGCTGATAAACTCTGGAACTGCATTTTTATTGCTCGTATAAACTGTATGCATGACATGGGATGCCATGTCTTTTTAGATGAATTTTGCTTGAAATAACAACATATGACTTTTCATTTTATCGATTGGTGTGTGGCATGATGGTTTTTGTTCTTGAGTAGGCAAGTACCTGTTTTAGAGAACTCTTCATCTGTTTATTCGTTCTTTTTCCCTTATCGCAGTTTTTGAGCCGTTAAGATTTTTTTTTTTTGGTAATTGTCTCCCAAATTTAACTTTTGCATTTGTTTTTCATAGTTGGATATTGATTTTGTCTGTTTCTTTGTGTAGGAGGTCAGTCAAATGGCATAACCAGCCAATCTGAAACTGATTCTACAAACACAACTGTACGCTTTTCAGCTTTTTTATTAGTTTGTATCAACCAAAAAATCTATTGGTCACTATTTTTCTGTGGATGATTCATTATAGATATTTGTTGGAGGACTTGACCCTAATGTTACAGCTGAAGATCTTAGGCAGCCATTCTCTCAGTATGGTGAGATAGTCTCTGTTAAGATACCTGCCGGAAAAGGATGTGGTTTTGTACAGTTTGCAAACAGGTACTAGATCTGGCCCTGTCAAATGCTTGCATATTCTCAGATAACATAGTTTTTAATCTCAGTGTATCCACTACATCATTCTGAACAATCTTTCCAGAAATAATGCTGAAGAGGCGTTGCAGAAGCTAAATGGGACAACGATAGGCAAGCAAACGGTTCGTCTTTCATGGGGTCGCAATCCAGCAAATAAGCAGGTAATCTCTCATACATGCAGAGACATACATTCTCGTCACCATTTTATAAGGTCTAATAAAATCTACAGAAACGAGTTGCATTAAATGACAAATGACTCGCCTAATATAATTAATTTCTTGATGACTAGCTTTTTCCAAACCCCATTTTAAAATTGTTCTATTTGGTATCCTCACTACTAAAATCAGTAAAGCATAATAACATCAAATATATTTATTTTTAAATTAGTAGAACTAGAGTTATTATAAGATGTAAAATTGCCTTTTATACGCTGTCAGTCATCACATTGTTAAAATGAATTTACTGTAATAATAAATTTCCGAACGTCAATAGTTATCTTTGGCCGGTATTTCACTGTTTCCGTACCTGGCGTGGGATTAATCATGTGTCAACAAATTCAGATTGATTGTACCCAAAAGAAGAAAAATTATTTGTTTTACTAGTTTTGTTAATAGTAGATACTGGAGAAAGAGAATATAATATATTTTATCAATTTAATAATTTTAAATATGAAAAATATTTGTTAAAAATATTTATTTTGTTTTAACGATCAACGCTCAAAGCTTTGTCCTGTTTATTGTCGATTAAAAATTGATCTAGTAATAAATTGGAGTGTGTATTGTATTGTTACTTTAATATAGCTAAAATTTATAAAATTTCTTTAATAATAGTTTGATTAACAGCTAAGGGTATTCTTAATAAAAATATTTGAATAAGTGTGACACTAATATTCACAGTAAAATGTCTTGGACAAAACTTGCGTTTTTCATTACTTTGTTTGCTCCCAAAAAATAGAAACTTTCTAGTAACTGCTAGAACTCCAGATTGTCTACGTGCTGTCTGACATTAAATTCTATGTCGTCATATGGTAGCAGTTTAGAGTGGATTTCAGCAATCCCTGGAGTGGGGCGTATTATGGGGGGCCTATTTATGATGGTTATGGATATGCTTTGCCACCTCCTCATGACCCAAGCATATATGCTGCTGCTTATGGAGCCTACCCCATTTATGGAGGACACCAACAGCAAGTAAGTTGAACGAAGTGCAGTGCAGGAGTAGTACTCACATGCGAATTAACTTATCTTCTTGTAACTGGCTTCATCGGTTGAATTCTGAAGAATCCCTCCTAATTGTGGAGTGGAGTTGAATTTTGATAACGTGAGGTAGCACTATAGGAATTCAATTTAATCATTCGTTTAGACTCGTAGGGGTAATGAGGATTTAAACTTGTTTATTGGAATAATTAAGTATGCTAGCGTTTGCTCTCTTGCTTGCATTTTAATTGTTTTTGGCGCTTCACATTTCAAGGGTCCTTGGCTCCTTTTGTTTCTTCTGTGCCAATACTTCAATTGCATTGCATTCGTGGTTAAAATAGTATAATTTGATTTTGGCTGAAATCAGTTGCCGAGAAAGCTACATGGCACTTTAAATAATTTACCATTCCAGTTTGTATTGGCTTTTTTTTTTTTTACTATGGAGCAATTGGCACCACGATATTTTTTATGATTCATGGCCAGAGAATTGTCTAAACAATCTATGTGAAAAAGCGCACTAAAACATATTGATAGTATGATAATTTTTGAACTGGGAGGTTGGGGTGATCATGGATTTAGGTTGGTTCAATCATCTGAGTAAATTTAATTTGAAAAAAAAATCATAAAATGTAATTTTTGTCACAAAGGCTGGTTAATCTTGCTTTAATCTGATTTAATTTATGGAATGTTTGGATGTGAGATGAAATAGAAGAAAAAGAAATAAGCGGATAGAAATAAAATGAAAATAAAATAGAAAATATTTAATATTTGAATAGATTGAAATAAGATAAAAGGAAATAATAAATAATTCTTTCCACTTATTTGAATGAATAAAAAAAGTGAAAGAAAATTATTAAATTGTATTAAAAATATTTTTAAAAAAACCTAAATGAATAAAAAAATATTTTTTATATTACCTTTATGTTAAATAAATAAATAAAAATTCTCAGCCCATGGGATCCACCCTCCTCTGTCTTGATCATTTCTTTCTGTGTCTTGATCATTTCTTTAGAAGTTTGGGTTTTTTAGTGGGACTAAATTATAAAAAAGGAAAAAAAAAAAACACCTTTCTTTCTGTCTCATCCAATTTTTTATTTTTTTACCACCTCCTTCCTTATTTCTTAATTTTTCTACATTCAAACATCCTTAAAACTCAATTGGTGTGAATATGTGATTTTTTTTATAGCTTGGTTAAATTTCGATTGATCTTATAGTCTTATTTTAATAATTTAAAGAGCAAAATGGTGAAGAGTACAAATCTCGTTTTTGACAAAAGCTGCACAATACTATTGGCTCCTTTTTTTTCCGTAGATGTTTACTTTTTTTTAATTTATTATTTAAAATAAGTTCGTGCTAAAAGTGTTCATAACATATAGAATCATTACTTAAAATTATTTTAATATAAAACTCTTTTTTTCTAATATTCATTCCATCTTTTCGTAACCTTCCAAATTGTCTGTGTACATAAATTTGACTAAGGACCATTATTCTTAAAACAACTTACATGCATTAATTTTTAAAATGTGAAATTATTAATATTTTATAAACTTAACACACACAAAAAAAACATTTAAACTCAACGGAGTTTTCATTTTTGGACAGTCCGTATAGAACATATACAATTGTTATAATTTTAATATTGTCAGGCAGTTTGGTTTCCTAAATGGAAAAGCAAATGACGAGTCACAGGGAGAACTGAGGTTGGGCAGAGAATGAGATTTCTATATTAAGAGTATTATGGAATCTATGATGGTTGCTATCTTAAGGAAAACAATGTTAGCTCTTTCCACTTTAAGCAATTTTTTAATTATTATCATAACATGGGAGCCAGCCTACAATATGGAAAGGTTTGTGCTTTCTTTAATTCATAGCAATATAATATTGTCTTAGAACAATTGTATAAGGGACTGCATCATGCGAAGTTGCGGCTCCATTTTCCATACTTTTCAGCCTTTTTTTTTATTCATTTCAAAATAATTAACTTTTGTCTTCGTCAATAGTAATTTCAATTATATTGCATTTCAATTTTTATATTTTTCTATTTCAGAGAAGAGTAAGATTTTTGAAAAGTTGATTAGTTGTCTTCTTGGTTTTGAAAGTGACAACAAAATTAAGCAAACAAAACATTGGAATTAAAAATTTATTTTAAAAAAGAAGAAACTAATAATAATGTAATTGCGCAGTGCAGAAATGAAAAAGCTGATTAAAAGAGTCATGCTGATGAATGGCATGTGAGTATTTGTTAAAAAATGAAAAAAAGATAGAGATTTTTAATATGAAATACAATATATTTAAACTTGGTGCTTTGGATTTTTCTAAAATTAATGATAAATGTTCTAAAACTACCCATTGACTTTTGCATAAAATTAAAACCGAGAATAACGTCGTTCTATGCAAGTTAAAGTAACTACTAAAAAAACTATGCTCTCTCATGGAAATAAAAGAAAAAAAAATGTTTGTCCAAAGATGTTTTGCACATTTTTTTTACTGAATAAAAGTTTACATTTATTAAAAAATTAATAAAAAATATTTTAAATTCTTTCAGTGGTACTCTGTGTACTGTTATCATTTTGCTTTTTTAGATACTCTTAATCGTTTAAGAGTATATTTTATGTTCATGAATAAGATTTTTTATTGTATATTTAATAGTTTACTATTTATTTTTATATAAAAAAACCTGATTTTATAAATTTTGTAGAATTAGAAAAAATGTTAATTAGTACTAACAAATAAATAGATTAATAAAATGAAATCAAATATGAATTTTCTCCCGGTAGTGTTGTTGGGGGGTAGGGCACAGATCAGGGTATCCACGTCGCAAGCAAGTTAGGGTCGAGTTGGGCAATTGGGACGCAAATCCCCACCGTTAATCATCATTACCATTCCACGACTCACACACCAAATACAATTAATGTGAACAAGCATTTCAACACCTTCCAACTAGATTATGCCACGTGTCATTATATCAACAAATAATAATCCTTATTTAACAACCTTAATCATCATCATCTAATTTAAAAAGTTTTTGTCGGCAGATATTTCATGTAATTTCATAATAAAATAAAGCAAGGGCAACGGGGCACTACCATTCCTATAAATGATGTGATAACAGCTGTACCAAGAACAAGGTTCCTTTGTCTAACACGTTTCAATGGCCCAGGTTTCTGTCTCTCCTCTTCCTTCTTCTGCAACTTCGCCTCTTCCACTACACCGCCGAATCTTTCTCCGTCTTCAACGAACCGCCACCGCTTCCGCCACCGACTCCGTTTCCACGTCCACTTCCTCTTCCACTTCTAATTTCAAGCCTAAAGTGGTTGTCACCAGAGAACGCGGCAAGAACGCCAAGCTTATCACCGCTCTGGTACTCACTCAACCTTTTCACTTGGACGATTCGTTTTCACTGCATTGCTATGTGCTTGATCTTAGAGGCTCAAACTCGAACTAGTTAGTTTTGACGTGTTTTCTTATGCTCGTTCTCATTTCTCTGCTGTTTTTTCCCGCAATCTTGACCCTTTTTTTGTCGTTTTCCATCTCTCACTTGTTCGGAGTGTGTATTTTACGTGATTCTAGGAACTGAACGCCATTCCGTCGTATAGGTGTTTGATTAAAGGTTGAAATGAATGTGAATATGCAATGCTTTTATTGATTTTGCTTTCCTTTTTTTATTTTTCAGAGTTTCTGTAGCTTATTACTATTTTATTATATCTTTAAACCATGTTTCTGTTCAAACAAGAAAGTATTAATTATTAACTGTAAAGGGAAATGTTCACACAATGGTTTAGATTGCTAAATTTCCATGTTCATAATTTGCAAAGATCAATATATTTTACGTAGCAAATTTAATGTCATCTGTTTAGATCACAATAGGCTGTTCAAATTTAGATGCGTTTAGGGATCCGTTGAAGACAGTCGACTTAACATTCTCCTGTCTGAAGCTTTTATATGACCGAGCAGCAACTGATTCTTGATCTATTAGTTTATGCAAAAGTAGCACCTTCTATTTTTGATGGTTTGGCATTTCCTTCATCCTTCACAAATCTTCTTAAACGGTCTAGGAGCTTCAGTTAGTTGAGGAACACTTACTGTTGCTTTTCATCGTTTTCCTTTCTTACATGAAAGACGTCAATTTTACATGCTCTTTTTTTCATGTAACTACTTCAGTAAGTTTGTTTCTTTCATCATCCATTTTTAAATTCAAGAAATAAAACGCTCATTTTTATTTTATCGTTCCAATGTTTACTTTTGTCCCCGATTATCTTACCGAGTCTGTACTCTATTCATATTAAATTGAAGTTACATCAGGGTGGCTGTATCATGCCGTGATCAAATCATTGTATGATCCAAATTGATGTGGCACATGCTGTATTTATTTTCTTTATTTTTCTATCTTCTACCATTGAGAACCTGACAGGCTGACACAGAAATTCTCCCAACTTCCCCCAGTGAACAGAAAAGATGAGGTTTTACCAGAACCCGCTGCAATATAGTCCATGCACTAAGTGTGTTATATATATATATATATATATATATATTGTGTTGCTTTAAACAATATAATCAACAAGAGCTTGTTTTCTTTTTCCTTCTGAAGTAACTAAAATCAGCTCTAAGATTATTAATTAGGTTTATAGCCCAGGTCATGTCAATAAAATGAAAAGGATCCTCAAATGATGACTTCAGCTATAAGCTGGCCCATGTGAGCTTTGTGGTAGACATGAGGTTTGACTAACCACATGTACTTAAGCTATTCTGGTAATTTCAATGTTGAATGTAGGCTAAACATGAAATCAATTGTTTGGAGCTTCCACTCATTGAGCACACGCGGGGACCTGATTTAGACAGGCTTCCATCTGTATTAAGTGGTAAGTTTTAGTGAAAGACTATGTCAATGAAAATTTAAATATTTTGATTTTTGGTCTTAATATTTTGCAAGGTTTGAGTCACGTGTTTTTTGTCCAGTAAAGATACTTATATGTGAATTGATTATCTTTTATTAGGCCAGTTCTTAGAATAAAATTTATGTGTGATTAATGTGAAGAAGGATGCAGTGGTAACCAAGGAACCATAGACACTTCAAGACAACGGCATTATGTGTGGTGTTGGACCAGTATCCATGTTGGACATTTTGAATACTTTTAGTTGCATTTTTACACTTTTTTCCTTTTTGTTTTAAACTCTTATGTCAGTACAATTGATAATATCACCACACAATAATTGGAATTATAGCATTTTATTATGTCGATAATGGTGTATGCTCATTTTTACCGCATTCTTTTGATTTAAGAGTTTTGTTCTTGATTTTATACATTGCAACATAACAGTGTCTTTGTCCTATAATTTCAAAATATGCTCTATCCCGTGTCCTTGTCATATGCATGCATTTTAGGTGGTGATATTTCTAATGTAAAATTGATGGTACAAATTACTGTGCCATTGATTTCCTATAACTTCAAATGTAGTCTTTCATTCAATTTTCATGGGTTTTGTTGGCATCTGTGCCATGATGATGCTTATATTGTCTCATACCCCACTGTTATATTGGAAGTGTTCATCTGAACTTCTTCACGAAAGATTTTCTTCTATTTAACCTTTCTAGCCTTTTTTTAAGAATAGATGCCAAGCTAGAGATGCAGATCATGTTTAATCCTTCTATTTAATTTTCTTCTTTGAGAAAGATTTTCATCTTCTATTTAATCTTTCTAGCTTGTTTTTATGAATAGATGTCGTGCTAGAGTTGCAGATCATGTTCACATTATTTAATGTCAATTTGGTTTTATTTGGCTAGACTAATTTGTAAAAATTGTATATCAATAGGCTGTGTTGAATTTGGCCTAATGTAGAGCTGTCATTGATTTTATTTGTTACATTGATTTAAAGTCAGCTGATAGTTCATGATATGATCTGTAAGAAATTGGGTTCTGGTGCCTTTATATGGATGCATTATCTAGAATCTAAGTAGTATGGTGAAATTTGGTATTTATGAATGTCAGATGGTTTTGTCAAATTAAATTTATTTTCAATTTTGCATATATTCTATCTTAGGTATCATCTTTGATACACATGACAACACATGTCATGCAGTCAATGACTTTCTTACGAGCATGTCATCATTTTTCGTTGATTCATTTCTTCCCACGGTCCTTGATATGTGCAGATAATGCATTTGATTGGGTTGTCATAACTTCGCCTGAGGCAGGTTCAGTCTTTCTAGAAGCATGGAGGTAAGGTTTTAGAGCTTGTTGTGCACAATTGCTCAAGTATAATTTATTTTAGATGAATTATTTTTAAAAATTTTATTTTGAATTGAAGTGAAACATTTAGGAAGAAGTAACTTTTAGTTACTATCAAATGATTTTGAAAATTTATGGAAACCTCATTTTTCCCTCCAAACTATATTTTGGGTCATTGTCATTTTTCTTTAATTATGGTATTGTCATTTGGGCAGAATACTTGAAATATCTTTTATCATGCAACATGTTATCCAATTTTTTGTGATCTAGAATCCTAATTGCGCCCAGTTGTCGAAGCTGCATCTGTAAATTTGTCAGAGATTTGAAAGCTTTTTATCATTTTGGTCTGTAAATATGACAAAGTTGATACATTTTATAGTTCATTAGATGCAATGGTATAAAAAACTAGCATTCCTCGTGTTTTGTTCTTACATACTGTTTTTTGTCTGTGCAATTTGTAAGATTTTTGTGAGAACTTTATATTTTCTAACAAATGATTATCTTAGTCTTGATTGTTGTCCCTAGAGCTTCGGGGATGCCTCATGTCAAAGTAGGCGTTGTTGGGGCAGGCACTGCAAGCATTTTCAAGGAAGCTTCACAGTCGTTAAGCCAATCACTTGATATTGCTTTTACACCATCGAAAGGTATCCATGTGTGCACTTTAAATGGTTCTTGCATGGTACTGTCCCCTATTTCGTTTCTTTTCCTTGATGGATGATTGACTAAAGAAATATAAAGTAATAACCTGAGTCTTACAAATATTTTGGGCTATTCAAGAACAATATGCCATAACAGTAATAGTTCCAAGATATGCACCTAGATAGGGGGTACTGGCACTTTGCTTTACTTTAAATATTACGTTACTTCTGTGCATGATTGGTTTAACTGCTAGGGATGAAAATTCTCCGCATTGGCTTAGGATACCTGAAGGGACTACCCTATTTAGGACCCCGAGTTTGAGTTTATTTATTTATTTTGTGGGGATTAGGATGGGGAGGAAAAAATCCCCTCAAATAGATTTAGGGATTGGAATGAGGATCATACTGTGCCTTGTGAGGGTCTCCTCTATAGATTGAAAGTAATAAAATTAACTTCAATTTTATATACATGTACATACACATATAAATGATTTTATATTTTAAAATTTTCCTTAATAATTAATATATAAGCATATTTTTAGTCTTTTCTTGAACATAATTTAGTGTATTAGTTTATATTTTTACAATTTAAAATTTTTTAAAAGATGTTTAAATTTGTTGAATACCCTTTTTTTTTAATTTTTTCAAATCTTTTGCTTATATTATTTTCACAATGTTGGGGACCTCATGGATAACCCATTGTGAATTGGGGAATGAGAATGGGGAGGCACTTCTCGCCCCCACCTTGCACGGTAGTGCAGGTGCCATCCCAAGTAATTACATGCATTTTACTTTGGAGAAAATGAACTGAGTTTAACTAAACAGTAGGTTTTATATAATTATAAATAGATGGAATTGAAGCTTGTTCTTTTGCATCATCATTGTAATTTAAAGCTTTTAAAGCTCTTTAACATCTGAAAATGAAGCTTATTATGGATTTGATAATTTTCAGCAACAGGAAAGGTTTTGGCTACAGAGCTTCCTAAGGTTGGAAATAAATGCACAGTTCTGTATCCTGCTTCTGCAAAAGCTAGCAAGGAGATTGGTACATGAGTTATCTTGTTCCTTTAATAAATAATCACTATTTTTAAATTTTAATTTTAATTACTAAATTTAAAGGCAATGATATGCTAATTGTCTGTGTGATATTTATAAAACCAGAGGAAGGGCTTTCAAATCGTGGATTTGAGGTTACTAGGATGAATACATATACAACGGTAAAGTGTTTTAACTACGCTTCTCTTTTCAACCACTGCATATTCTTTTTGTGTTTCATATGATTAGTCTAACTTGTTCTAATATTCAATGGTAATTTCCCGGTAATCTGTTTCACGGTCTTCTGCTAGAATGTATTTTGTACATGTGCCATTTTGTGTTTTGGACAAAAAGATTACAAAAGCATGGAATTGTGTCATTTTCTTACAATATTCCTCTAGCTATTTACAAAGGCTTATGTTTTATTGTTATTTCTGAAAATTTTAGATTAATATTGGTTTTTCTTACAATAGTCCTCTTACTATCAACCATTTCTTGAACTTGGAACAAATTCTACACTGGGCTATGTATAGTATCTATCTCTGAGAGATTCATTGCTGCCTTTAATTCTGACTTATTTGTCAGGTTCCAGTTCAACATGTTGACCATGTGGTTCTAAAGCAAGCACTTGCTGCTCCTGTTGTTACCGTAGCTTCACCATCTGCAATTCGGTGAATATATTTTTTCTTCTTCCTCTTTTTTTCTCCTGTTTAATTTTCAAATAATTTCTTATCTGTTTCAAATCTAATGGGGGTTAAATTATATTTGGATTTGACATTTCATTTCATTTAAATTGTTTCATACTGTTTAAGTGGGATGCTGTTTTTCTCCCTTTGTTTATCACGTGTCCTAGTGACTCCTGATATTGTATGAATCACGGAAAAGTTGCTTTATCTTCTTATTTGTGCTGTAGAAATAGGTAGAATATTTTCTTAGGAAGTTCTATATTATTTAGCATTTACTTGTTATTTTTGAGACATTTTACTTAGTTCATGCAATCTGCCGAACAGTGCTTGGAAGATTCTTCTTTCAGATTCAGAGTGGAGCAATTCCATTGCATGCATTGGTGAGACAACTGCTGCAATGGCAAGAAGTTTAGGCTTCACAAATGTGTACTACCCAGCACAACCAGGCCTTGAAGGGTAATAAAAATTCCCCGTTTTTAGAAATGCTTTTTTGGGATTTTTCTCTTTAAATTTCTCTTAATAAAGTATCCATTAGGCTGCTCTATATCTATCTGGTCACATGGAAAAGGTTTACATGATAGTCTCTCATTTCTTAACATATTTTTAGAAAAATATTGAAAGAAGTTTATTGGCCTTTTAATTTAATTTTGTTGTATTGTATTTTTCATTTTTTTTATTATAGCAATTAAATTAATTACACATGCTAGTCTCCTCTCCTATTTGACAACATATTATTCTTAAATTTTTATTTATTTATTTTTTTTTTACAAAAGTCCTGACAAAAATATAAACTGACAATTTTGTAATTCATCCTAAAATATTGCGGTGATTTTGTGTGAAAATGTATTTTTTGCTCTTCATCAATGTTGATCTAGTTAACTTTGATATCTTATTGCTATTTAGATTGGAGTAATATATTAAATTAGCATCAAAATTTGCATTCATTCATTAATTTGGACTCTGAAATTAAAAAATGTCATTACTGTTTAGTCTTTATTTTGTAATTTCATGAACTGAAATACCATCATTTAGTGATGTACTAATGTTAGTAAATTAAACGACTGTTAGATGGTAATTTCAGGGAGCAATACTCTTGATTTCAGGACTAATTTCGTTTATTTTACTAACTTAGACTGCTATAAAATTCTGCTAACATCATCTGTTTTTGACAACCCTCTTCTGACAGCTGGGTAGAAAGCATTATTGAAGCATTAGGATCCTATGATGAATTGTTGAAGTAATCCTCTGCCTTTTATTGCAACCTGGAGATGTTTTCAGCTGTTTCACATGCACTAAGATTAGTATAATGATTTGGCATCATGGATGGATATACTCGCTGTTCAGTAATATTTTTAGGAATACTGAAGAGCCTATCATGAGAAAGTGGTAAATAGTTTCCATCATGTAAATAGCAATGCCAAATTTTCATCTATCACTAATTGAGCACTCAATTTGTCCTAAACATTGTGGATGCACTTGAAATTAAGAATGATTATTTACATTGAATTACGATTTTCATGTTTTTATGAAAGTTTATAGTCAAGAAAAGCTACCCAGAGCATTAATATCCTTCGTTCAAACACGACGCTGTTTTAGAATGTAACTGAGTGTGTGGGATCTGAGACCTTTTTTTTTTTTTTTTTCTGTCCGGGTCAGGCAAATAATTTTGTTTGGGCTTTTAGCATTTTCTTTAATCTCTCTCATGGTGTGGGGGATGATTTTGGTTCTGTAATAATCTTTTGTTCCAACTAGAGCTAAATCTTATACATCAGTTTGATATAATTTAATTATTAATGAAAATTTAACATGTCACGATTTTTATTTAAATTTTTTAGATATAGTATAATATGTTACTGACCTGAGCATCTAAAAGAATGCAATGACATATCAGATTAAAATGAATTAAATAATTTAATATAAATACAAAAATATTGGATAATGCATTGATATTCATTTTAATCTTGTACATCAATTTTTATTATTATTATTGATCAGCTCATATTACGCTACATTCGGAAATTATGCGGTATAACAATTATTTGTGAAAGAAGTATAATAAACTGAGGATTTTTTTTTTCAACGAAAAACTGACTAAAGGATTCAATGTTTAATTAGAAAAATTGAGAAATTTGATTGGAGAAACTATTTTGAGGATTAAAATTTTGTATAAACTGTATAGAAGAATTGAAAGTGTACTTAATATTTTCGTTTAAAATCTGACTTGTTTAAGGAGAACGTGATAGAAGATCTGTGCTGGTTAAAAATTTAAAATGGAACATGATTTTCCGTCTCGATTCTGGAATATGTTGGGGATGTTATCAGGTCAAATTCATTTGATTTTTAATTCTTTTATTTTTGGCTTGCATTTAGTTTGAGATGATGGCTCCAAATTACAGTTTAATGTTAATTGGGAGACCCAAGAAGTATAAGGAAGATGTGGGGTTGACATCTTAGTTTCAACTAGACCTATCAAAACCTACCCAGCTCGATTAGGAGTTTTGTCCTGTTTAAAAAAATTGCGTTCTTTTTTTTTTTGGATTGTAAAATGAAAGCAAAAGCATGTCTTAAGTTCACAATTTTTTTACTTAAATACATTGGCCTAATTCGTGTTCGATCAAAGGCAATTTAGATAAGTGGGATAAGAAAAATATTGAACTTGAAGTTAAAAAAATGATTAATAAAAGTTAAACATATCTTCTGTTTTTACGAATTTCATCAAATCAATCTAATTAGACTAGTTTCAACTCTCCATCACCAACATAGTATAGATGTAAACGAAAGTATGACAAAAAGTCTAGGAGTTTCTAGAGAAATAAAATAGTTTTAGGTTAAATATATTTTTAGTTCTCATAAAATAGCCAAATTTAATTTTAGTCTCTATTTTTTTTTTCTTTTTGACCTCTCATGAGATATTTTCGTACTTTCAGTGTATGTGATAATTACCGCATAGTATCTGGTAGTGGCCTTGGCCGCAAGTATTTCACAGTTCTTTTTCAAATGTGCTGCTAGCAAGTTTTACTTTCATGGTAATTCTGGTCGTTTATTAGGCCACACCTCATGTTAAAATCGTAGGCAATGTACCTAATAAATATATGAGGTAAATGCATTTTTTATAATTAAACATTGGTCAACGCAATTTTATTGCGTCTATTAGGTTCTATTTTAACGGAAAATTCAAACTTACACAAACTCATTCGCCTGAAGAAACAAGCCAATTTGTGCTAAATGATAGCCTTTTGCAAGGAAGAAGATCCTCTCCAGTGAATGGACCACTGAATAAAATTAAGACCATCAAATATTTAATTTACTTTATTAAAACATTAATAAATATAATATTTAAATAAAATGAATGGCTAAATGTTTACTGGATTGAAAGCAGTGAAATTCTTCCCTTGAGGTTCCATCCTGCTTTTGCAATTTTTAAGTCCCCAGACAAACAATAGAGTGGGGAGGGGTAGATTATCATCATATAACGATGTAAAAATTAATGTTTTTTAAAATGATGACAAACTTTTGTTTTTGCGTTTTATTTTGTCCTTTCCCTAGCAAGAACCGGCAATATTCAAGGTAAAGGTATATACATGCTGACAAGTGGTGTGGATTAATTGCTATCAGCACAAACGACCAAGTTTTGTTCCTGTTTAATGTGTGGCATTATTATTACCCTTTATTCAACACCATTACTATTGATCTATATATGGTGGATGCAACTTCCGGGTTATGTGTTTGTTGAGCTGTTTTTTATCAGAACTCAAAGGGAAGGTCCACTATTTTGGTTATACTTTTTATCGGCCCCTATCCTACATTTCTTTTGCTTCTGTAGCAAGCGGGAGGTAACCTGTCAAACTACATTAACTCTGTGTCATGTCTTGTAATTACAAGACATTGAAGACAAACATTGTTTGAGAAAGCCAGATGATTTCTTCATTCACTACCCATTACCAATTCTTGAAAACCACAACAAAATTTTATTCTTCTTGCTTGCTATTATACTATTTACTTTCTAATTGATCATCAAAAAGATTACCCCTTTAACAGTGACGGTGAATTTCAGAATTGATTTTTTTTGGCAGGGGACAAGACAAAGCTTATTGCAGCCACAAAACAAAAGTAAGAATAGAAAAAGATGTGGTTTCTAGGATATAGCTGCTTTTTAACTTTTATCAGTGGTTACAGAAAGTTTCAGTATTCCTGTTTCCCTTATCAACCTAGCAGAAGAATCTAATGGAAGACTCGGAAACTCATGGCAATTGACGTACAATGGGTACGACCACTCGGACCCCTCTCCACCATTTTGTTCTTTTACCAAGGACAAAAGTTAAGATTTAATTATTTTTGGTATTTCTAGTTAAAATTTTAAATAAAATATCAATGTTAACCTCGTAATTAACTTTTATTACGCTAAAATTTTAATTTTGATTAATAAAAATATTTGAAATACTTAAGGAACTATGTTGAAGTTTTATCCATTATCTATCTGTGATGACCATCCATCACAGTGAACCGCCACCACCATCAAGCAAAATTTCTAATGCAAACCCTTACCACGTGATCAAGGAAAGATGATGAGTCGATGGATGCGTGCATGTACTATTTGGCTAACAAAACGGTACACACGCATGATTTGGTTATGAAACTGAAAAGGCACTACAACTTGAGAATATAATAATAATAGTAATAATAGAAAAGCATAGAGAAGGTGACATGAGAACCGTGGATAAGAGTGATGAGGACAGGTGCATTTGGAGCACGACAATCCAACTCTACTTCATCATCAAACGAGTCGCTCGCACTGAAAAGCTTTAAAAGTGAAAAGTAAAATGATTCCCTTTATTTGTGGATCACAGACCATTAGGAGTAGCACATCTTTTACTGTTTATGCGTGCGTGAGAGAGTGAAAACATTCACTTAAACTCAATTCAAGATAAAATACTAAGCTGGAACAATTTCATTTAATTGTTTCACATCTTCGGTGGTTATTATTGGTATTTTAGTAATCCTTATGAAATATGTAACATTTTTTAAAATTTTAAATACTTAGGTGTTAATATTTGTTTAACATTTTCTATTTATATCAATTACATCATCTATCATTCTTGTTTTCTTTTCTTCCTAGACCCTCTTAAGCGTATAACATTTTCTACTAGGGTACCATCAACATGTTCACCAATAACCACTGCCAAGGACAAGTTGGAATCACTTCGTACAAAGGTCAAAAAGTACTGGCAAACCCCTTCCAGCATTTTGGCATTGTAAAACTTATGATTTGGTGAATTATTTTCATTGTTTCACATACATTCAAGGCCCAAGATTAATACTAAATGAATTAAACGCTGATCAAATATTAAAATAATTTGTTTAATTCGTGAAACATTGCATATGATAAAAACTCATATATGATAAATTTTTATTAAAAATTAGAAATACATTAATATTATTAAATATTATATTTTTTATAAAAGTTTTCTATATATAACTTTTATCCCGTGTAATGTTCTACAATTTAGGAAAATCAATATTAAAACTGTTACTTGTTGATGCATGCTGAATTAATGTTACGTGATTAGACACAGACAATCGTGGGTTTTGTAGTGTCAGAGGTTCCGCAAAGATGAAAGAAAAGTAGTGACGTTAGTGGGTCTGAGTATGTATTATTCGTGTAAAGGAAATAACAGGACATTGCTCCTGTGTATGGATTCTGGTTATGCTTTCAAGCACAAAGTGGAAACTTTCACGAGTCTTCTTCCATGAAACTGTCATATAACGAACAGTGTCGGTGAATTATTGGCTTCAACAGAACCAGACTTGTATTTCCAATACATGATTATGTATGTGACCTATATATGGTGTCCCTCAATCTCACAGGGCAGGGCACAACCTTTATTTCGTCTTAACTTTTTTTCTTATTTTGTGCCTCAACTATAACCAATTCGCACAAAATCTTTGACCAAGAAAAAAAAATAGTATTATTCACACAATTATGTATAATTGTACAATGTCTCCATCTAATTTAATTGAGTTGAGTTCGGTGACCCGCCTTAAACTGTTCTTGTGTTAAGCTCGATGAAATCGCATATAAAACTTTGCAATGTATAGAAAACGTAAAGACAACTGATTACAAAAAAGGTGAATTTGTCGAAATTATTATGAAAATTTGTTATACAAATGTCATGAGTAAACATAATACAAGTAGAATGGGGCCAATAATATATAGTTGGCAATAAAAATGGCATTATCGGCAACTAGAAAATTTTACTCATTCCAAATAATAAGCTTCGCCTTCTAATAAATTTTATACAGAAATGCATGGCTTCTTGGATCTGGTTTAGTTACAGGGCTTGACCAAATATGTTTAGAATGATATGTAATTGTTTTATCAAGAAAAAATACATAAAATCACACTCATACATACATATATTAAAAAAGGGGGGGGGGGGGGGGGGGAGCATGGCTTTTTATAGCATATGTATATGTAGTATGTTGCATTTATTAAGAGGAGAAATTGTATATGCACAACTTCTGAGTATAACTTTTTGTATACGAGAGAGATGAAAAGTGAAAAAGAGAAATTTAAGGTAAAATTGTTAATGTGATAGAAAGAGATAAAAGAAAAGAAGTAACAATAAAGAGTTGAAAAGAGCATGTCACTTTCATCTCATCTTAAATAGTTGAAAGATAGCTTCTGTGAATAGTTTGTTTTACTAGAAAAAATATATTTTCTATGTACAAAAGATGGCATGATACAGAGGCATGGCTTTGCTTCTCATTGCAAATGTATTCTACGAGATCTTGTTTTCTGTCCTGCAGTCAGTGATATCATTATTAGGTACGAAGCTCTTTTCAATAGTATACTACAATAGATCAATGCGGCAACCTCCATTGTCGCGTGAACTGAAAGCAACAATATATGATTACAATAAATTACTCTAATGCCATATTGTTTCCCACTAGGTATGGCTTATTGAAAGGGTTAAATGTACACGCCTTAGAGTACTTTTATATATCCTTTTAATTTCAGAAATGCATGTACATGAGTCTCACTTTTTTTAATATGCAGTAATTGTTTATTTAAGTAACTTTCCCCCTTTTAATGGTATTTTCTTTCTTTCGTGTTCACAACTTTGATCATGTAACTCATTAGTATGCAGTATTTGATTATTTTTAAGAAAATTAGTGTATGGTTGAGACTTTGGTTCAACGGTGAAAATGAGGAAGAAAAACAATATTCCCTTCATTTCAAAACTAGAACACTCTTTAAAAAATCATTAATTGATATAAATTTGTATTATGTTTTAACTAAAATAACCTCATTTAAGAGAGAAGGAGGAAAAAATAAGACTAATAAAAGAGAAAGATCATAGGTACAACGAAGAAGTGAAGAGATAGAATTTCAAATCAATTAATTTTATAGTTTTTATGATAAATTTTTCATTTCTCTTTAAATTTCAAAGTTTATTTATTTTAAAATTAGTTTCACAATATTAATTAAAGTATAATTTATTAGAATGGTCTCTTAGTATAATAGCCCGTGTCATTATTTAGAAAATTATATAATTTTATATTAACTATAAATATGTGTGTCTACATATATATATTATAGTTTTAAAATGTTTTATATTTTTAAAAAATAAATAAATTTTTATAATTTTATATACCTTTTTATCTTTAAAATTGATTTATATTTTTAATGTACTTAAAATGAAATACTTTCATGCCATGCAATATTTATTTAATTAATAGCATTATTTACATGAAAGAATTATAAATTAAACAAATGAGAAATCGATATGGAATTATTTACTTGTATTACATTTTTAAAAAGTTAGTAATTTAACTGAATTAGGCATTTGTTCATGTGATATTTAAAATGTTGAGAAATTTTATATTAATTAAAAATACGGTCTGAATAAATTAGTTTGTGAGAATAAATTAAACTTGGTCTATTTCTAATATAGTTTCAAAGAATATATATTATTAATACTGCATTTCTCACAAAAGTTTAATCTTACAAATTCCATGTATCACATGTTTGATTTTGGAAATGAGGAGGTGTTAAATACTTTACTAATTAAAAATATGGTCAAAATATTTTTTTATTTTTTTATATAAAATTTAGACAAATTTCCTCATTTAAGTTAGGTTTTGAAAGTGTATTAAACTCTATTTATAATATAAATATTGAAATTTCTGAAAATATAATCATTATTTATTTATGGAATTCACGACTCCAACTTGTCAGACTAAATTTAGACAATTGAGTATGGAGGGGTGTTTTGCTGGTCTGCAGCTACAAAGTTTATCTTCAACAATCTTCTTCCATCGTGGAATGGGCTGTTTCATTTTTCTTGTCATTCTTTTTCTTGGCCATAATCTTCTAATGTATGATAATTGTTTCTACAAATGTTACATAGAACAATTACACGCCCCTGCACTGCTGCACCCATCCAACATACCCTTTTAGATAATCTGTAATTATAGTTATTTGTTACCAAAAATAATATTTAATATTTTAGCAATTTTATAATCTATTGTATGTATGTATTTCATCACAACATTAATTATAATCTATTGTTAACATTAGTCTTAAAAGTTTATTTATAGTATTAAAAAATATTTATTGTATTTTTAAAATAATAAATCATTTTTTTAATAAACAAGTATCAATCAATACAAAGAATTTATGATAATAAAATCATTTAATAAATATAAATTTTAAAAAATTAGCTATTGAATATCGCGATATTATCAAATTTTAGATAAATTAAGCATTTATAATAATCTAATTTTATAGTTAAATTTTTTTTATATTTTCGGATTTTTATTAATTTTAACTTTTAAGATTGAATTAAAGTGATAAAAGTGAAATAATTATTTATTTTTAATAAAAATTTACTGTTATTAGTTATTTAAACTCAATTCCAAAACTTAAGTTAACATTTTCTTAATATTTTAAAGGTATTGTATATATATAAATAAAGTTAGTTGATGACATTTTAACATTATTTTTAAATTATATAAAGTTTATAAACTAGGTTTATTTAATGAGAATTTCTAATCTAATCATTGAATTAATAAAAACAAATATTTATAACAATATTATATAGAGAAAGACGTAAACATGATATCTAACATGTATATAATTCTGACTTAATGGTTAACATTGTGAGAATTTATTTATTAACTTAATGTTAAATATTCTGCTTAATCAATACTAATTAAGGACGGTTCAATTTTATTTAAAATTTGCTAAATTTGAATCATATCAATTTAATTTTAAATCTGAATTATTTATGTTGTTCAAACTGCTTACCCGACGGGTTTCGAATTTAAAAACACTAAATTCAATTGAATCAATACGGCATTCTTCAATTACTTGATTTGGGTGTACGTCAATCTCTAATTTATAATAAGAGAAGACTCTTTTAAATATTTATTTTTTAACTGGTGAGTTTTTTATATTAAAATATTTTTTTACAAAAATAATTGTTTTTACTTTTTAAAAATAAAATTTTATATAATGTTTCAAAAAGTGTTTTATTAACATTTTTCTATACAACAAATAGATGGATCAAATTATATTTAATAATTAAACTATATAATAATACAAGTAAATTAGTTAGATTCCTATAAATTGAATTGATTATTGAAAAATGCTTATTTAATTAATATAATTGGGTTGAGAATTAGTATAACTAATAAATTCGATTACTCAACGGTTCGACAATATTATAGCGAATAAAGTAAAGCTTAATTATCCGATCTAATTTGATGGAAAGTTGTATGACAACTGAAAAGTTAAAATTACATTATCAGAAGACAAAGGGTGCTTTCAAGGACTTTAAAGAGATGACATGCTCCTTCCACGAAGATTAGCTTCCATGTTAAATTACAATTAGCAATAATTAATCTCCTTTTCTTGAAATTAAAAAGAAAGATACGTTCAGGTCGTGATTTGGAGTCACCGTCACGTGGTTTTTGGATGGTGACATGAAGGGGTGGATAACCCTTATTGTCTGAAACACAAGCTTTTTCTTCTTACCCACCCATCATCATCTATTTGCCGTTTCATCTGCGATTCCATTTCTTCATGTTATGCAAAAAAAAATAGTTATGTTCTAAACAATTCAGCTATTTTATGTTTGGTGCTTGTTAGCACGTCAAATAAACATTTAATTAGTGTATGATAACGACTTGTTAGTTGTGAGTTGTGATAATTAATAGAGTCCACTACAGACCCTTTCTCTCTTTATTATTTGATTTAACATTCCATTTTTATTTTGTTTAAGAAATAAATGGAAAGAACATCAATCCATAGGTATAATAGAAAGAACCAAGAACACAAGGTTGCCACATGCCAGCTTGCAGATGTTGTAAAATGACGTGGGTTTATTTTTTTATTTTTTAAAAAGGAGGTGGTTTTACGATGTTTCACCTGCCACATAATTTATACCAATAAAATTAAAAAGGAAAAAGAATATTGCTGTAAGTATCTAGAATAAAATGCCGTTGAATTCATTAATTAATCAGAAAAGGAGGAAAAAAAAATGGTTTAGTTGGCAAAGCATGTGAACTGTGCAGCCTTTGCCTGATAAAAGCCCTTCTTTAGTTCCTTAATCTGATTTTCATTTAATTAAGGAATCCGCTGCATAAAAACCACCAACCCGCATCAAAAATTCACTTTTGTTGGAATTTAGAAAGAGAACAAAAGAATAATACGAGGAAAAGGGAAAACAAAAACCGGGGAGGAGCGTTGCTTTGGGGTTAAAGTAAAATTTATATGAACTCAAATGAAAAGCACACGTTGATTCATAATTACTTAGCCCCTTTGATTGGAGCCTTCCACACTAAGTGTACGTTGGTCTCCTCATAACATGAATTGCAAGTTTAAAATTTCAATATAGTGTTACTGTTAAGTAGCATAGAATGTTAAATTCAATATAAAAATTAGCGCACGAGAGCATATGATAGTGGAGTGAAATAAAATGTTTTCAATTTTTGCCCCTTTTTATTTATTTTTTATTAAAGTTATTTTTATTGTTATAGTAATTATTTTTCAGTTAAAAACTGGGAAAAAAATTATCAGAAACTAGAATTTTAGTTTTAATTCTTGAACATGTGCCTTTGTTAATAGAACCGTTCTTTAAATGCTCTTTTCATGATCTGAAGCGGTTAAAAGGCAAGTGGTGGGATTGGACTCGCCCCCACTCTCATTGTCTTTTTCTCTTCAACATTTATGCTTCTGCCTATTGAATTTTAAGACTTTCAATCTGGGCACTTATGCTTTTCTTCATGCTGACTGCCAAGTACATGAGCTAGTTGTGGACTACGATTGTAAGACATTTTTTCTTTCATGACCGATCATACTTCATTTCTTGTCTAGTTTCAGTTTGAGTCTCTTCCTTCATCACCGTTTCACTTAACTTGTTCTCTTGCAAGTTGATGTTGCCTATTACAAAAGTTGACAACTGAGTTTTTAGTGGCGGGTGGATGCACTTGCAGATTTAGAAGTGGGAAAGATGAACACAAGCGTCACGACAAGGCTGCAACATAGAAAAGCTCCAATTGCACATGAAAAAGTAATTAAACTTGCTATAACGTCACAACTCAAAACCTGGTTTAGTATTTTTGTCGAATGCATTTTTGAAAAACGGTTGGTACAGTGAACCAAGTTCAAGATTATTATTGAATTATGGATATAATAGTGTAACAGTTCTCTTCATAAGCTATAGATTTCAGTTGATCCCAGAAATTCTCAGAAGTCAGCATTTTTTTATTAGCAAAATACCATACCTTAAAAGGGAATGAATTGAGGAAAATAAAAGATACCCTTTTTTTTTTCTTTCATTATTCATGATTGAGTTGGGTTCTATAAATCTCAAGCTTTCAAACTTTTTTCCATTTTTAGTAGCATAGGTTGATTCTAACCTCTTTAGCCTTGAACGAAAAGGCAGAGATGCGGGGAAGCTTGCAAGAGGGAGCAAAAACAGAGAATACAGTTAAAGGTGGAAAAACATCGAGCAAAGACAGAAAATTGGCTTTGCAACAAGATGTAATGGCATAATTTCTTCTTCAATTTCTTATCTGAATTTTCATATTTTTCTTGCTTCTAATTGGCAACTTAGATGAAGTCTCCATCCAATTTCAGGTTGACAGGTTGAAGAAGAAGCTAAGGCGTGAGGAAAACATCCACAGGGCATTGGAGAGAGCTTTCAATAGGCCTTTGGGAGCTCTACCTCGTCTTCCTCCATATCTCCCTTCCCATGTTAGTAATCTCTCTCCCTCCTTTTATTGTTTAGTCATTTTCTTAACTAGTATTTTCCTAAGGAAAGAATTCACTTACAATCACAAGTTAGAAAAGGCTTATAAGAGGAAAAAACGAAATCATTTGAATGAAATTTCGAAGGGTTTTATAGAGGAGGTTATCATATATTCTATTTAATCTTGAAAATCTAGACACTAGGACTTCTGGCCGAGGTAGCAGTACTGGAAGAAGAAATTGTTAGGCTTGAAGAACAGGTTGTGCATTTCAGACAGGACTTGTACCAGGAAGCTGTCTACATGTCATCCTCTAAGATGAAACTTGAGCATTCAGAATGTGTGAACAATGCAAGCTCAAATCATAGTGCCAAACTGGGTAAATTGAAGTCCCTTTCCCAGAGGATGGATAATGCTGCCACATCTGTAACGAGGACTACAACACCACTTCCAGGTGAGTAATTGGCCATTATTATGTGCCACCAATTGAGGGTAAGCTGTTTCAAAATTGAGCAATGAGCACTAATTTCACCAATTGATGGCATATCACTCTTGTTTGTATTGCCAGAGGATAGAAGAGGAAAAGAGAATCAATCGTGCACTAATTCTTACAAGAGCAGCAAACAATCCATATGTAAAGGCCAAATTACAAAATCTCCAACTAAGAAACTTCCTATTGACAGTAAATCATTGAAAAAACGTTGGGATCCTCCAAAAAAGCAGGTGAGTCATGTGATAAAATAGTTTTTGTGTGATTGGAGTTGTAAGTCAAAAAAATGGAGAACTTTTTTGAAGTCATGAATTTGAGCTTTACAAACTGTGCAGCAAGAACTAAGGCTGAACAACCAGCCAACTGCAGAAGTAAGAAAGCATAGTCTACGCAAAACGCCACCAGGGGATGAAAGCCCAAATATAATCTCTGAAAATATTCTGAAGTGTTTATCAAGTATTCTCTTGAGAATGAGTACAGCAAAGAAACCGGCTTCTGCAGGTGATCTACCACCCTTATGGACTCCAAAATCTGAAAACTGCATTGAAGGACCAGAATCTTGGGATCCTTATGGTATCTGCTTGGAATTTGGAAAGGTAGATATTGTTCCATACAAGCAGTTACGTGCAATTGAAGCTAAATCATTCGATCCAAAACGAACTGCAAAATCTTTGATTTTACTGCGCCGGTTGAAGTATGTCGTATTCTTTTCAAACTAGAATACTAATTTTCTTTACATTGACACTTATCAATCGTGTCTCTAAGATGATACAATATTCTACTTTTCCAAAATTTACAGACTTCTTCTGAGAAAACTAGCCCGTGTCAATTTTAAGAACCTCAACCACCAAGAGAAGCTTGCATTCTGGATCAACATCTACAACTCATGTATGATGAACGTAAGTCAATTTTGTCCATCAAAATAACATATAGCATCATCTGACGACAATTTCTTTTCGCTGATTTTTGTTATTTTTCTATTTAATGTCAGTAATAACTTTATTTAAAGTTCTGCTTTGCTTCAGGCATTCTTAGAAAATGACATACCAGACAGTCCTGATATGGTTGTCACGCTGATGCAGAAGGTATGAATATGATCAACTGGAAAGCTTTGTTTCTTCTAGTAAGGAAGGAAATGCTTTTAGTTTGTGCCCCGAGTTTGGTGTAATAGCATTAGTATGCTCAAGAATTTATGCTTTTTTCTTGTACCCAGGCAACAATAAATGTGGGTGGACACTTGCTAAGTGCAACAACCATAGAACATTGCATTTTAAGACTTCCATATCACCGGAAATTTGTAAGTTGTGTGTCCATTTCAAATCTAGCTTTTTGGTGAGTGGAAATATGTTAAAAATTACTAAGCTTTACAGCTAAATTCTAAACAGACATTATCAAAGGGAGCGAAAAATCATGAAACTTATGGACTGGAATTGTCAGAACCCCTAGTGACATTTGCTCTCTCTTGTGGAACTTGGTCCTCTCCTGCAGTAAGTTGATGCTTAATTTACGTTGACTTTTTACTCTCCTTTAACCAATATCTCGGTTGTAAACATCACACAATTAGTTCAATAATTTCATGATTTGCATATTCTTGTTACTGATTCATGAACTTTGCCAATTTCAGGTGAGAGTTTACACTGCATCTCAGGTTGAGAACGAACTTGAAATGGCCAAAAGAGAATATTTACAGGCTGCAGTTGGAATTTCAACATCGAAGTTTGTTATCCCAAAGTTGCTGGATTGGTATTTACTGGACTTTGCAAAAGACTTGGAATCATTGCTGGATTGGATATGCCTCCAATTACCAAGTGATGTGGGTAAAGAAGCCATTAAGTTCCTTGAGAAAAGAAAAACCGAGCCCCTCTCACAATTTGTACAGATTATGCCATATGAGTTCAATTTTAGATACTTGCTGTGCACATAGTTTTGCTTCTGTTTTTTGTATATGATTTTATTGGTGCTGGGGATACAATTTGTAATTTTAAGCAGCTCTAGATTATACATATAAGAATGTAGATTTCATCTGTTCTTTTCTCCCTTTGAATAGAATTGAGTATCATAAATCTCATTTTACAATTCAAACCTTCCATGTTATCAGTGCTCAACCGTTGCAACTTCAATTTAAATTAAGGATGATAGGATGCTGATTCAAATTCCAGTCTTCCTTGGACTGAAAAGCTTATATTCTGAATATTTTCTATATATACAAAAAATGGATCTAACTACGTTTAGGAGCAAAGTAAGTAATGAGAGTCAATTAATATTTGTTGTATATTTCTTAAAACTTGTGTTGTTGTTAGTAGGTCACTGAACAAATAGTGCATTACAGAAGATTGTTGATAGTACGAGTGCTGCAGGACATCCATATATGAACCAACATTCAAAGCACGACTGATACTGCAATTCTCTAATTAATGGCACTGGCAGTGAGAATTGACTTGTGGAGGTGGTCCATCTCATCCCATCATTCTGGTGGCAAGACACTTTTTGGTGTTGCAGAGATGCTTCTTTAATTACTATATTTCACATAACAAAAGTAAGTTTGATTTGTCAAAATGTTTTTACTGATAGTTGCAAAATATTCTTTTTCTTTTTACTTTATATTCTGTTTTCAAATATTTTTATATATGTATAAAAAAACACAACATTGTAATTATTATTGAAAATTAAAAAATATGTTTTTACAAACCAAACGCACCTCTCTTTTAATTTTTTTGGTCCAACACGTTATATTACTGTTTTAAAAGTAAATTTTGACATACTAATGGTACAACTTGACTATTTTATTTGTTTTCCAAGGTTAAATCCGTAAAAAAAAAAAAAAGTAGAATTCGTATGCCTAAGGTTAAAAAAAAATAGTCTCACAAATATTTGTCCCCAAAAAATAGAATAAGATAAAGACAAAAGATAAATTTCTTTAGTATTTAAGATGTTAAGAATGCAGCTTAATTGAATATTTACTTAATAATTTTTATATATAAACTTTTGAGATTTAGAATTTATAGTTGAAGATAAAACTTATTATGATAAGTTTTGTTAAAAAGATACTTTTAAAAACACAACTCAATTAGATTATTATTTAATAAATACTTTTTATATAAGGGTTTATTCTATAAATTAGTTGAAAGGAAATTATTTAGATAAGTTATATCAAAAAATTATTAAAATTAATTTTAAAATATAAAAAAAGTATATAAATTATTTCTAAATTTTTTTTCTAAATGTCTCCTTAACCTGTGTCTTTTACTTAATAATTTGTTTAATGTATATTTAACAATATACAACAAAAGTTTAAAGATAATATTTTTTTATTAAAAATTACAAAATTTTAATGCACTGGTAACGTTAAATACTACAAATTTTAATAAAAAGTTAGTATTAATATAAAAATTTATACTATCAACTAATTAAAATACATAATAAATAAGTCTTTAAAATTATTTATTACTAAAACCAACAAATTTTGCTAGTATGATAATTTGCAGTCGGTATATTTTAATTAAATTCTTTAAAATGTATATTATAATAAAATAATTATTTTGGGATAAAAAGCAATCTGGTTTATATATCAATGTGTACTTTAAAAAATAAAATAAAATAAATAAACTAATACCTGCATGCCCGCACAGATTGGAAATTGGTAAGGAGGTTGTGGGAATTTGTTAAAGAAGATATTCAAATGGCTCGAAACGAAGTTTTGTAACTGCGAATTTTGTCTCGTTAGAAATCTTTAAAATGGACCCCCAATTGGGCCGAATATTGGGCTGTTCAAAACACGAAGTCCTGTGACCAAAAAAAAAAGAACCACGTGCTGTCCTATGTATACGCCATTGCCAATGGAATGAGAATTGGAAATGACTAAAATGACTGCGGCTCATGATTTTCCTGAACCCAAGCAAACCCAATTATTTCATTGGTCCAAATGGGTTATAATATCAGGAATATAATTCCTTGTCAATGTGATTATAAAATAATATTATTTACTTATAGTCTTTATAAGCGTAATTATTGTCTAACAACAATTGAAAAAAATTAAAGACGCGTACTAATAAACAATGTACTGTATTAATGTTCTGTACTAATCAAAATTATTTGTTAATACAATATATCATATTGTACAAAGTACCTGTATTATAAAAAATAAAAAATAAACTAACAAAAGCCGATTCACTATTAAATCGTTAGTAAATGATTATTTCTCATAAAACACTTTGAAGGAAAAAAACCTAGCTGTGCAAACTACGAGTGAAATTGCTTACGATGAGTGATTCAAGCCGTAAATCAAATTGAACTCTCTCTATCATAACTTAAATACAGAAGAATTAAACGAAATAAAATTTAAAATAACATTAAAGAAAAATGTTAACTATTTCCAACATTGTCTGAATAAATAAATGAGTGAAATAAAATCATGAATGGTGTTTCAAATATATTTTTGCATATTATTTTTTTATCATGTCAGGTAATTTGTTTATATAATGCATATTTTAAATATTAATTTCTTAAAATATTTTTTAATATAATAAAATATTTATTATTGATACTTATAATTTTTAATTTTAAAAATTTATAGATTTAAATCTATTCATATAATATATACTAAATTATTTATTGAATAAAAGTAATTTAATTTGACAATACTGGTGCAGTACAAAGAAAATGATAGTTAGTTCTCAAACATCCCGATTCACTGTTCAGAGTAGAACAAAAAAGTCAAAAGGGGTAATTTTGAAAATGACATTAAATATTTAAAATTAATTATTGCATAAAACAATTAAAACATGGTTCTTTCATTATTATTATTTTATTCAATTACTCTCCTTATCAGTGTCCGAATACAATGCTTTCTCTCTTCATTAATAAAAGATTTTGAATTATTAAATTTACCTTCGTAAAATAATTTAAAACATCATTTATCATCATTTTTAATATCTTTAAATAAAAAATTTAAATCTGTTAAGGTAATATTTAAATTAATTTCTTTAAAAGGCGTACCTATCATCCTTTCAAAATATCATTTGTACGCTTAGTTTTATTGTTTCCGCGTCTTATTTGTTTATGATTCAATTAATTCCTTTCAAAACCATATTTCACATAAAAAATATTTTTTTATTTTTTTGATTGATTTATTTATTAAAGTTAATTGTGTAAATTTACTTTATAATTTAAATACTTTTCTCTCATTTTTTTATTTATATTTTAAAATTAATTTTTAAAAACTCACAAACTTTTTTTTTTGTAAGAACAAATAGTGATGCTCATAAGATAGTACGATACAAGTTTAACACTTACTGTCATGTAAAACACGATTTTTGGTTCTAATTGAGAGAGAGAGAGTACGTTACTCTCCATTTATTAATAATGTGTTCAATTAATTTTTAAACAAAAATACATGTCTTAAGGATTTATTTATTTATTTTACAATAAGAAAGAGTTAATTTTGTTATTTCGTTACATTTCAATATAACATTTTTGAGAAATATGTATATAAAAAAAGAAAAAGAAAAACAATTGTATATTGTATTAAATACGATACAAGGCACCCAATATTCAAAAACAAAAACTCATATTTTATCACACCTTATGACTTTGTTTCTTTTAATATATAAAATATTTTGTACAAATACAAAAAAAGGCTTGTTCCCTTGACTTTCTTTACCCGAAATAAGTGAAGCATGAAGCAAAGGACATTATAGTTTAGAAAACGTAGACTTTGTTGTGTTAGGAAGGAAAGAGCCAGATAAAAAAGCACTCTCTACGACTTTCATCGTTGCAAGGGGCTTAAAGTTGGTTTAATCACAAACTTGATTTAATCATGACCTAACTACTGAAGAAATGAAGCCCAAATTAATATTAAATTAAGATAAAATGTATAAAATTAACTATTTTTATAATTAAATTAGAAAATCGTGAGAAAAGAATAGAAGTTAGAAATATTGGAATAATATCGTGGAGATCCAAGTGCCCAAGAAGCAAACGTGTAGGGGGTTTGAATGATTAATATTTATGTAATATAAGGAAGGGTCATTCTCTTCTAGAATCAAAGTTTATCCTTTGCTTACCGCCACCGAAATTGATAAGTATGAAAGGGTGCATATATTTTAATGGCAGGTCCTAATTGACCAAATTATAAGAAGTCAGGTAAGTAAGACACGCAGATGGGGTGATGACTGCCATTGCGCATACGCACACGTTCATTCATTGAGCATATAACACCATCCATCATCATGATCCATCTAGAAGCAGCCAAATAAGTTAATTAAAAGCGCCGTCCATTTCAATCCGTTGCCTCACGTAAAATCCACACGTTGGTGGGTTAACTTAGCCAGAAGCTTAAAGCTATAAAATTATTACATCCTCTTTTACCAAACTACATATTGAAACTGGGCCATATGGCGTGAGAAATTCACTTTAGCAACAAATCACGAGTGGTATTAAAAGGCGGCTAGGACGAGGACGAGGACTCTCTTGTCAGTGGTCAACAAAACAATCTCATCCCCTTTCTCATCTCATTAGGTGATCCTTCCAACCACTTTCCCTTTTACATATGTATCTATAAATATTTCACAACCACCAAACATATCTCTTTGCTAGTCACCTGAGCCAATTCAACCACGAAGCAGCAATATGGAAGTGGTGTTACCTAGTCCCAATGGAAGTCCCACTAAGGATCCTTTCGATTTCAACCGTGCAAGGATTTCACCCTATCTCAGCGCTCCCTCTTCGCCCAAACGCTTCGGAGAATATTACTATTTAAGTGCTCCCACAAGCCCATCAAGATTCTACTCCGAATTCGACTACTTTTCGGCTACCCCTTTTGATTGGGAAGAACACAAGCCCGACACCCCAAAAGATAACGGTGACGATGGCTTCGCGTTTTTCGTTAGTGGGGAATCGGGGAACTCCTCTCGTTCGGCGGAAGAGCTTTTTGACGGTGGCAAGATAAAGCCTTTGAACGAGGAGGAACTGTTGGAATCGGCTAAAAGCCCGCTTTTGTCTAAGGGCCAGCCCAGAAGATCTTCTCCAATAGCGCAAGGTAAGAAGGCGATTCGCGAAGCCCTCTCACCCAGAAAGAAGAAAGAGTCTAGTGATGAGGGTTTGAGTGGAGAGAGAAGAGGCAGAGAAAGGAGTGTTAATTCTTCGAATTCGGGTCGCAGAGTGGCGCGTTCCCTCTCTCCATACAGAATATCTCACTACACGTGGGACGAAGAAACACACCAAGCGCAGACCAACAAAGAGGATTCAGTTCCTGTTCCAAACGCGCCTTCGCTTTCGTCCACATCTTCGAAGAGTTCGAGGAAATGGAGACTGAGGGACTTGTTGTTGTTCCGCAGTGCCTCCGAAGGACGAGGTTCCAGCAAGGACCCTTTCAGGAAGTTCTCTGCTATGTACAAAAAACCTGAAGAAGCAAAAGCATCGACCACAAGATTACCCTCTGACATCCCCAAAGTGAGAAGGAAGGAACCCGTTTCCGCACATGAATTGCACTACGCAAGGAAGAAAGCGGAATCTGAGGATTTGAAGAAGAGAACCTTCTTGCCTTACAAACAGGGGATTTTGGGAAGGTTGGCTGGCTTCGGAAGATGATTTATTTTATTTTTTTAATTTGCCTAAAGAAACTGTATTCTTTTGTTGAAATTTTACTATCATCTTTTTTTGTTTTTCTCTATTTAAGTTGCAAATAGAACTGAAATCACTGATCAGCATTTTAACAATGGTTATTTATTTTTATAGCATTTATTCATGTTTAATGTTATACACCGACTCTTTCCCAGACATATACTTGAGTTCTGTGTAATATTAGTCTGTAACGATTGTTTATTTATGTTTTATTTTATATCCCGAGCCTTGCTCAGACAAAAGCATGTGCTGCTAGCGATGAAGACAAATCAATGTGTGTATGGGCCTAATGACATTTCATTGTACCAAAGTCGGTTTGGTAAAAATCCTCCATTGTTTCACTCGTTACATACCGGCAAACAAATATTAATCGGTCAGTGAGAAAAATAACTTCAATCGGTATCAGATGAGTTCGGGTTACATGTAATTCACTATCACTAGATCAAGGTGTTCGTTAAGTCATACACAAATACACATCTCTTCTCATTTTTCAAAGAATACAGTATGGGCTGTGATGAATGTTGGTCACATACAGCGTCCTAATTGTTAGTATAACTTCAGTATGTTTGTTTTAAGTTTTTAATAGCCGTAATGCGATGACATGGTCAAGGATAGCGGTTTCAACAAAAAGAACAAAAATGTCATTTATCGAGCGACTTTTATTTAATAAAAAATCAATTATTAATATAAATTTTAATGGTATACTAACGAAAATGTTTTTTAGTATAATATAATATACTATTAATATAATTTAATAATATTTACAGTAATAATCTATTTTAAAAAAGTTATACTAAAAAGGTAATTTAATACTAAATCATGATAAAGAAAGTTGTAGTAAATATGAATCAATCATGTTATTAGTAAACTATTCGAATTCCTAGTTTTAAATGCTTTATTAAATTTTATGTTTTGTTGAACATATAAGTTTAAGGTTAAGAACTAATGTTTTATGTATGAACTTAATATTAAAAGATCATGAATAATTTGCATTTACGGGTAAAACCGTCTGAAGATGTTCCTGCAAAGGTTGTTTCCGACTGCACAATTCAGGCGAAATGCCATATCATGTGCCCTTCCTTTTGTGGCAATGCATGACAGTCTCTTTCTATATAAATAATATAAAAGCGAACGAAGTTAGTGATATGTGGACTCTTTCATGTAACAAAGTTAGTTTAATTATTTAAAAATAAAATATATTACTTTTTAATAAAAAAATATTTATATCTTCAAAAGTGAAATCAAAATACAATAATATAATTCCAGCAAACTGAGGGAAATGAACTTTTTTTTTATATATACATAGTGACGAATTATTAAAATCTCTGGAAAATGCTTTCATTTAAAGCTTAACCATCTTTCAAATAGAATTATATGACAAACGATGAGCATTAGGTGAGAAAAAATAAATTTTATTTATCAATTAAATTCAGTTAATATTATTTATCAATTAAAATTAAGTTTTCATCTCAATAATCTATTATAATATTGAGTATAAATGTTTTGTTAAAATACAATTTACTTTTAATTGATAAATAGTAACACGTATAAAATAATACATAAATTTTATCTAAACAATATTTGATTATAATATTAAGGTCGACGATGAAAAATGTAAGTCACAAAGTCAATCCATAAAGGCCAAAGCTTGGGAATTTGTGTACGAAGACTTACTATAAACAAGGTTGGTAATCTGCCCAAAGCCACGCAAACTATCAATCACCGCATGTGGTATGTCCCCGCCACGGTAATGTTTTTCTTGCTTATCTGGTGCACGTGGAAAACAAAATTCATAATTCTATTTATCACCGCATATAAAATTGTTAAGGAAATTAAAATTGATTCGATTTCAGTAAAATTAACTTAATCTGAATATTACTTTAAATATTTGAAACTTATAGTAGAAAATGTAATATGGATTAAATGTTTAAAATGAAATTTATTTGATTCTCTGCCTAGAAGCGGGCACTATTCTCTTCCCATAAAACTTCTCTGTGCCCAAAAATATTGTTTATTTACCTTATTAAAATCAAACTTATCCAAATAAATAAGATTTTAATTGATTTATGCGTGTGAATACCTAAATCAAAAAGGTTTTAAAATTAATGAATTTTTTTCTTTTTTTATCTGTTTGAAGTAACGATGCATAAATTATAAATATACTTAAAATATTTGTTTATCTTTTAAAAAAAATCAATTTTTTACTATATATTTTTATCTCTCTACTATTATCTTATTTATTAGTTAATTTATTTCTTATGTAATTATCTAAAATTTCCTATAGCATTGTAATAAAATTCATTATCAAATATAAAAAATTGAAATTGAGAATATAATTAAAAAATGTCTAATTAAAAAATTATAATTAATATAATTTTTCATTTTAAAATAATAAATAAATACCGTTAAATATTTTATTGTAAAATGACAGATAAAAATAAGTACACGGATTATTTCATAACTTTTAGTTTGTTACATGAAATATTTCAGTTATGAATATTGCAAACATGTGTCGTATATTAATTGAGAAGTATTTATTACACATTATTACGTATTTTTAATTAAAAATATTAATATGTATTTTATATTTCTAAAATAATAAATGAAATGTTCAATAAATTTAATTTATTTAAATAATATTTTAAGAACGTTCATAACATTTTTCCTTATGTTTAACTTAAATCAAATTTTAAACTATTGACTAATGGAAAATGTATAAAAAAAAATTCTTTAAATGAATATGTTCATATTAATGCAGAAAAATTATTTGTTTTCGTTTGGGTCTCTATCCATGATGGTTTTTTTTTTTAACAGACCATGATTTTGCTATTTTCACTGGTAATTGCAAAATTTTCATGGCGTGTTCTTGGCTGTTCCTGGTCCGTGTTGTGTGTAATGTGCTCTCTTACGATTATGTTTTAATTTTATGTTATTACCGACACTTTCACAGACAATAACATGTGTCATGTGCTGCTAGAGACCAAGACAAATCGGTATGAATCTGGGGCCTAACGACATTACATTGTACCAAATGCAGCTTCGTCGTAATCATTGAGTGTTAAGAATTTTTCATTACTTACGGCAATTTGGCAAACAAAGAAACATAACTAAAATTTGTATTAGATGACTAGGTGAAGGTGTTCGTTATCTCTTGCACCACTTCAGCTCTTTTCATTTTTAGAAGGACACGGGTGATGTAATTTTGTAACTCAACGGGATCTTCTGCATTCAAAGATTTTACATTCATTATTCAATAATACATTACTTAGGAAATATTTAATATAAACTATAAAATGTATTTAAAAGTGTAGTTTTGGATTTATATATTAAGATATTTGGATTCACTCCTTAATCTTTTGTAATGCTACAATTGTAATAAGAGAGTTCCGTTAAAACTAAAATAATGATCTTTTGTATATTATTATTATTTAGCAGAGTAAATTATTTTTAAGTATTCTTCATAATTATTTTATGTATACTTTCATTCACGTCTATGAATTACAATAGACGGTCGGAGTGTATTTAACTTTAATTTCTTAACACATTTAATCACAAATTGTCACATTAATAAAATATATTATTTTTTGTAATAACTAATTTAAAAATCATATATATTTGTATATTTTAATTAATTGACAGTATAAATTTTATATTATGTTAACAATGCCTAAAAATAAATTTTATTTATAAATTAGGCCCATTTTTTACAATTGTAATTACGGATATTGTCTATAAAATATCGCAATCCATTCAATATAAATGGAATTTTCTCTGGGTCTTTGTTCATCCACGTTGGTTCCCTTGACGGGCCGAGAATTGGGCTTTAAATTTCAAAAAGAAACGGTAATATTGTAGCTGGCCTTACTTAAATTAGCGTTCGGATCACCGAAAGCCCAAATCAACGAGGCCGACAACAATGTTGCAAAAAAGATTGTTTTTTCAAAGGCTAAAGAAAAAGTTTGTGGTTGCTAACTATCAATGGGAGAATTCCTCAGCTTAATTCCTTCATTTTAGCTAATGTTGTTGGTATAACTAAGATTAGTTTATGGTCCCTTTCTTGTTTACTGACAAGAACTATCAATCTGCAGTTATTTTATAACTACAGGCAATCTTGACCGTCAATTAAATTTGATTCATATATAAAAATAACTACGTACATAGCTTGCAGTTGTTTCCTTAACTCCGGAGGATCCCCATCCAACTTTCACCGTTATTCTTACTATTGTTTTTAACACTTTTAAGATAAAATAAAGTTTGAACAACGTTAACACTTAAAATCTTTATTTTATCATTAACAGTAAAAAAGAAAGAGGATAAATTGTTTTAAAGAGGATAAATTATATGAAAAATAAACGAAATGCAATACATTATATATTTAATGTGTTGAACTAAAGATTATTCTAATTTCAATTTCTTTGAATATGAATTTATAATATATATAGTTTTATATAGACAAAGATTTAATTTCGAAGACGAATTTTTAGGTTTTGTTTGGATTTTATGATTAAGAGGGAAGAGAAAGAGAAAAGAAGAGTTAGTTATCATTAATTCTTATTTGAAAGTTAACTAAGTAAGAGAGAGAGAATTAAAAAAAAATTTAAACGCATTTTTTTAGAAAAAAATTGTTACGAAAAATTTTAGTGACTCATGTGAGATTTGTCATCTATATTTCTATTTATTACATTAAATATTTAACATGATTTTGAGAAGATTAATATGAAAATAAAAAATTAAAAAATATCTTTTTTTCACCAAAATGTTAGTCTTTAGAGTATTTTTTTGAAATTATAAAAAATAAAAATTTAAAAATATTAATTTTTAGAGAGATAAAATATTTAATTTTTGTAACTTTTGAATAAAATAAAAAAGGCAAAAAAATATATAAATAAAAAATTTTAAAATATAATAATATCATGCACATGTTAAACTATCTATTATCATATCATATTGATGCTAAACATTTGGACAAGCTAAAAATTTAACCCTACTTTCTCTCCTCCCGTGAAGCCTTAAATCTTTTCACAAGCAAAACCTAAAAAAAATACGATAAACATGACTTGTAAGTTCATCGATGCTAACATAAAATAAAAATTGCAATTATGTAAAAGAGTTGTACTTTTTCTTAAAACAATAATTAAAGTTGCATTACATGATTTATAAATGTTATAAATTTCATTTTCTACTTACATATTTTTAATAATGGTATTTACGGCACAACAAAGGTACTGGAAGGCGCTTTCCTCACTTTGTTGTTGAATGGAAAATTTTCTTATTGGTATTATTTTATACGTGAAAAATTGAATGACAAGTTTTGATTGGGTTTTGGGGAAACTGTACGTTAACAACACATAATTTGGATTGGTAATTTTGGCAAGCTGTTATAGTCAAATCTGACGTGCAACATTGTCCACTAAAGCTTCTCGCTATCTCCAGAAAGTGTATTTTCTGGTAAAATGTTTCTGTTATGTCTATCTTTCCCAAATGAACAACAACAGGCAATTCAATCTGTCACATAATACAAGCTAAAAGAAAAGTAATGTACAATCATCAATCCCATCACTACCCCCAATAATTCCAAGGCAATGACAATGCTACTTTGATTTGAGAATAATTTATTTTAGGCTTATTCATTGATTCCAAACTGCCGCTCTTCCGCTCATAATAATGTCAAAGTTTAGCCTAACTCGATGTTTCACTTGGAAAGAAAATCAAATCCAAAAACAATACAAGGGAGCAAGTGTAAGGCAGAAAATAAACATTTCATTGTTTGCTCCAAGTAAGGACATACTTAGAAAATAGTGGCTGGTAATCCGTCACTGTTCTTCAACAGTACACCAAGGTTTGTAGTGTTTTAGGTCCAGTAAAGCTAGGATTATCAAATCCATGCCATAGCTGGCTTCAATTCTTTTATTGGTCACATTTGAAATCCATCTACATCCACTCAAACCCACCATAATTTTCTACAGTATCCTCCACTTGATACAACCCCATGAATTTTGATTATGATATGTGAACTTGATTAAGCTCCAAAATTTATTTTATTTTATTTTTCTTTAGCATTTATTATACTAGAATATATACCTAGCTCATGAATGATGCAAACATACAGAAGCACATGAGAGGCAGAAAAATTAGGAATGCCCAAATCATATTGCTATGCGCCATACGTAAAAGGAACTTTATTTCCAATGCTACTTGTCAACCTTTCATGGTACCAGGCTGATGCGGACGTTGCTTCTTCCTTTTTCATTAGTCGCGTGAAAGGTCCCCACTTTGGACACTAACCCCAATTTGTTAATTCTAGACATTAATGTTTACTATGCGCCAGTTTGATTTCCCGTACCGGTGGTGTGTTTTTATTTTTTTCTTCCATTTATTTTACTACGGGGTGATATAAATATTAGTGAAGGTATATTATCATAATTTCATTGATGTGAAGTTTAATGAGACGTTTAGAGTATGTAGGTGTAGGTAGGAGTTGGGGGTGGAGAACGAGGTATGTGCAAAAGGCATTAGTTTGGAATGGAAATAATACGAAAAAAGGCATTAAAGGAAAGAAAGAGTCGGCTCGGTACGACCGGGCCTCTTGATAATTTCTACTGCCTAACACACCTTTGCTGAATATGACCTATGGTCTGACACATTTAAAAAAAGTAGCAACTAAATAAAGAGGGGATGGAAAGAGAGAGTCACTTACAAGCAAAAGCAAACTTGCATGTACACACAGCAGAAATGTTAGGGGGGGAAGGATGAGCTTCATCTCAATAATTATTAGTGAAGGTTTGAGAGAGAGCTTTGATAAAGCATAAAGCAATTGATGTTGATACTCTATGTAATGATCAGAGAGGCACATGCCAGTCCAACATTACCACAATCCCTTTCCTCACCCCTTCACCTTTTCTAAATTTTGCGTTATTTTTCTTCCTCAATAACCCCACATCCCGTGGTCCAGCCTGCCCTTATCTTATCACATTCAAGCCCCTATCTATTTCACAAACTTGGTCACATCAAACTTTAATCTCGGTTTTTCCTTCACTCAAGCAAATTGAAAGGATCTCTCTCACTTGCCACTATAAAGATTCCAAGACAACCCGATTTAGTGACCAACTAACTTCCTAATCCTCTTTTACATCCTATTAGCTCGGTAGACCCTATAGTTAGTCACACCTTCCTTTCTCTATATCTATGATCCATCCATCCTGTGAGCTGTAAACTGCACCCATCTCTCTCTCTCTCTCTTTTCCTCTTATTTTTGTTATCTTACCTCAGTTCATTACTTATTAACACAACATATATCATTATTAACATGCAATAATGCCATCTGTGCATTCTAGCCCGTGCTACCCTATGGAAAATCCGGCACTAGCATCCTTACTCCGCCACACATCAGGGGAGAAACGTAGTAAGTTCTCCACTGGAGGCCTCTTGAAGATGTTCAAGCTGTTTCCTATGTTGACCTCAGGCTGCAAAATGGTGGCACTTTTGGGAAGACCCCGCAAGCCTATGCTTAAGGACAGTGCCACCACTGGGACAATCTTTGGTTACCGCAAAGGGAGAGTGAGTCTTGCCATACAAGAGGACACGCGTCAAATGCCAATCTTTCTCATAGAGCTACCAATGCTTACAAGCGCTTTGAACAAAGAAATGGCCTCTGATATAGTGAGAATCGCGCTAGAGAGTGAGACCAAAACCAACAAGAAGAAGTTGCTCGAGGAGTTTGTGTGGGCAGTGTATTGCAATGGGAGAAAAGTTGGGTACTCAATAAGGAGGAAACAGATGAGTGATGATGAACTCCATGTAATGCAGCATTTGAGAGGGGTGTCCATGGGAGCTGGGGTGCTCCCTGGCACATCTGATAAAGATTCTTCAGATGGAGAAATGACGTATATGAGGGCTAGATTTGAAAGGGTCGTTGGTTCCAAGGATTCAGAAGCCTTGTACATGATAAATCCAGATGGTGCTCAAGGCCCGGAATTGAGTATTTTCTTTGTTAGAGCTCACTAGAATGAACCAATATCTCTCTTTATATATGTATATGTACCTTGTACCTAGCTTACATTGTCTCATTATTATTGTAAGAATGTAAGCTCAAGCTTTTTGATTAATTAAATGAATCGCGCCACACTCTCAACTCGCTAATATACTATGCTTTGTTCCCCTTTCAATTGTTCATGTTGATTGCTATTTGTATGATCGATTCTGTAACCCAAAGTGGCTTCTCGTGTGTCTTGCTTTTCTCTGTGCATGTCTTTGTCTGCAGTTTGCAACTGCAGATTATTAGACAGTTCATTTTCTTTTCTTTTCTTTTTTTTATCTCCGTCATCTCTTTATTCTGCAAGCTACTACGTGTTTTTTATATATTCTGACACTAGAAAGTTCATGGTCATATGATCTAGCCAATTAATCCTGAAGCCGCCTTGGTTTGGGCTCCCCCGAAATCATAAACTAAATTCTCAAGTCGATTCTTTCAGAAAGGAAAAATCCAGCTTAAGCTATAGGATAAAGCTATAAACGATAAATTATAACGTTTAATCACAGGTTTGAGATAACATTTTTTATTTCATTTGTTTCTTGTCTTTCTACTCTCTCCGTTTGTCCATTAGTAGTTTTGTCAAGGTTGACAAGATTTTCGATGGTGATCAAAGCCGGATAAATTGTACGGAGAAGAAATATCAGGGCAATTTTAGCAGGAACGGCTAATGTAAATTAGATAATTTAAGGATAATTCAATTTTTACGTAACATTTTCATAAGAGATTCACGAGCTCGAACACCAAGTAACAACATGGCTGTAAATAATACATACATGCAGTTATTTTTAAACATTTTTATTTTGATCACTTGTATATTTGTATGCATTTTTTTCATGATAAAAAATCTGCAATTTACTGCCTCATAATAAATTAAAATGCTCAGATAATAACTGAAGAATTCTTGCAGTAGTTTCAAAGAATTTATGAGGCACTGTACCGCTAATTTTATTTGATATTCATTTTGCTAAGTACATATATAATCTATAAAAATAAAATCACATTACTTTTTATGACTTGTTTTATTCTTGTTATAAGGCTTTTTATTTTTTTTACAACTTGTTACTGATTTATTATCTATTTGTTTTTGGTTCTATTGTTGTAATTTTTCTTTTTAAAACCTTTTTTAATCTAGCGAATTAAGGTCTCTTCTAAGTTTTTTACGCTTTTATGGTTTAAAAAATTGATTTCTCTAATAATATATAATAATCTGGTAATAAATCGGGTAGTTTATTTAATATAGATTTTATGAGATTTGTAGGTCATGACCTGACACCACTTAGGTATTTGGTTGCAGCGCTCTGTCCTTTCCCCTGCGTTCTTAGAGAATATATGTATATATATTATCGATATTATTAAATTAAATAATTTAAAAATGATATAATAACTATATTATGTAATTGTTTTTAAAATTTATAAATTAAAAATAAAATGTCCAATATAAAAAATTTGACATGATAAAAAAATTAACTCTTTAAAATATTTTTATTTAAAAAAGTTAAAAACGTTTTGTTGAAAAAATAGTACTCAGAATATGTGATTTTTTTAAAAAAGAATTTGACCCTTTAATGAAATTCCATAATTTATATTTATTATTTTCATTCTTATAATAAGTTAAATTGTTTTATTTTAGTTATTTCATAGGTGTGTGTGGTTAGGACTGAAAAATGTTGAAAACAAGACGAGGCATACTTTTATAATTAGTCAAAACCTAATAAAAAATGATTATATATATTTTTATTTATCAATTCAATAAAGTATACCCAAGGTTTAGAGTTTATGCTATTAGTGAGAGACTTGGAGTACTTTACATAAAATCATAGGTTAACATCAAGAGTTATGATAACATCTTTTTCTCGCAATTGATGGAAAACATCAAAAAAGATCTGTATAAGAAATTTATGTGTAGCGCGTTGTTTATAGAGCATGATGTCATTGTCATATCATACAACTAAAAAATATTCATAGACATTGATCATGATTCATGGGGACAATGGTAGGTATATATGATGCTTATCCTTAATCCAGCAATTACGCGGCTTTGTTTCCATGAGGTGTAGTAAGGGAGATATACGCAAAATTGGTTATTATTTTTTTTTTTCTTTTAAAAAGGCCATAAATTTTCAATTTTCTTTAAAATTGGAGTCCTGATGTCATGTAAAAACATAAGAGCAAGTTATCTTAACTTTAATAATTTATTTATTTATTTATTTATTAATATTTAGTTTGTATATCTTTTAATTTGTTATTAACTGATTAGCGTAAGAATTTATTATTTAATAATTATATATGTATATATATATATATATCTATATATATGTCATATGACTTACACATTAAATGATTAACCTTTTTAATGTATTTTTGTTGTTTAATAAAAAGCTGTTGAGACCTATTAAGGATGTGTGCGCTCTACATTTGGATAGCTATATTTTTGTTTGGCATATATATTTCAATTTTGATATTGGGATGAAGGTGATATTTCTCTTGTGAGTTGGCGTTTCACAAACTGTAATAGAAATCAAATATGAATCGTCTATTTCACTATCTCTGTGTATTAGATCTCGGATTATAGTTAATTGCATGTTTCACCTTTCATGTTTTAATTTATGTGTTGTTTTCAACTTATTCTAATAGTTTTCATGATGAAACTTAAAGTATAAAAAGTATTAGATAAATACTTAACTAAACCATATACTCAAACACACCTTCAATCTCAAATAATTGAACTATTCCAAAAGAGCACGAAACCGATGTTAAGAAAATGCTTAAATTGAAGTAGAGGAAATAGCAAATATGCAGTATATAAGCTTGGGCTGGAAAGGAAAAGCCACACTTACATAACACTGGCAATGGGCCCATTCATTTTAAGATAAAGAAATATTTAATAATCAAACATTCCAAGACTTGCAGAAAACTAGAGTTTCGAAAAAGCCCTCCCAATTAAGGCTTCTGATTTGCTGGGTTGATCGTTTTCAGTTCAGAACAAGTGACACGTTCCGGTCCACACTGCATGGGCCAAGACTTAATAGGTCCAAGTGAACCCTTGCTGTTTTGGGCCTCTGGTCGGGTTGTTTAATTACCCACAACTAGAAAAAACACTGAGCATTTATTTTTAATAGAAAATAATAATGCATTTTTTTCAAGGATTGTTAAATTATTCTGGAATAAATAAACTTTAGGGTATAATATTTTCATATTTGATATGGCATCTAAAAATATTTTTTAGGATAATTCATTTAGAACAGAATATTGTTTATTACATGCCACGAGAATGAAAGTTGCCATTGTTGAAAATATTAAATACCATCAGATGTGTTGTAAAATTATTGTCATCATATACATGAATATTTCTTTGTTAAAAACATAACATTGTTCCTTTGAATATAACTTATCTGGTGCATCCTGTTCTATTTCTTCATCTGAATATTTTGATTGAACTGTTTTGATACGGGATTATAAAAAAAAGGAAATTGAAATAATTTTTTTTAAATATCCTAAACGTGCTAATAAAAGTTAAAGATGTCAATATTACTGTTTCAATAATAATAATAATAACATAAGGATGTAAGCACAATACATTTGTCAATCAATTGTTATATATTAGACAATTGATAACACACATATAAAAACCAAGTAATATAAGTTTATGGATTAAATACTTTCAAATTTTCTAATCCTTTAAACAAGCATACTCAATGTTAATTTAGTGTTTTAAAAATATTGAGGTGATATTTTTTCATTCTTGCAATAAATTTGTTGTTACAATACAATTTGAAATAAACAAAAACATATATTACAATTTTTATTATTATGTTTGAAATTAATAACAACGTAAATTAATATTGTTTACTTGATAAAATCACGTATGGAATGGTACGAATAGTCATTCAAAATAAAGCATTTAGATATTTTTATACAAGGTAAATAGTTCACATAAATTTTTGGAAATTTATTCAATATACACGCATTCTAAGGAAAATATTAAGAGACATGGAACAAACATTGAGAAAAAGTTGACAAGTTTTGATAAAACGATAATAACATAAAAATGAACAGGGTAATTATAAAATGAGAAAGAAATTGTCAGTATTATATAAATATTGTTGATAAAGAGGTGATGGTGTAGATTAAAAAAAATGTTAGTGCAATAATAAAGTTTGGATTAATTTGGTAAAGATTGAGGCACAGGATGAAGGATCTTAAGAAGAGTAAGACAAGAAGGAGGGATGTGTGACAAGGAAAGAGGGGAGAGATGATGAGGCAACATTAAACGAGCGGTTGACCATTCCATGAAGTGGGCCCAATTCCTACCGGCAAATGGGTTGGAAGGGAGCACCCACGGGCCCATTTGAGAGCAACCTCTCACACTCCTCAGTCATCAACCTCTTCTTCCAGGAATTAAAATTCTGCATGAAACATTCATCCTCTAATTCCAGGTCCCACTTTGCAACTGCCTCTGTGCCCCCACGTACAAGTCTCAATTATTATGCTCCCACCCGACCCGACCCGACCCATTCTCTCTCTACACTCTTGTTGGTGTGCTGCTCCATTCAATTCCAATTCCAATTCCAATGTAACTTAACGAATCACAAGATAAGTCGGTGCGTTAGAGTTTGTTGCCAGCTGTTTATATCAACTGCCCAACTGCTTCCCTCCTTTAGATCACCCACAACACTCCAAAACCCATTTATTTATGCCACGTGGGCGGCTTCTTTGTCATCATTCCATCCTTCCCTCATCCTAACTCCTTTTAGGCGCGTGCTTTAACATATTCCCCTCATTTTAATATATTAACCTTTTATCATCGCTTCTACGAGTTTAAACATTTATTCAACAAATAATGCAAAACGACACAGTACTCACCATTTGTTCATATTTATTTGTTATTGGTAAGTGGTAACTTAACTTCGAATGAACAGAAACATCCATTATAATAATAAAAATTGAGACAGTATACAAGTTCAAAATATCTACTCATAACATTAAAATCATTATATTTTTTTTAATATAAACATTTGCCTATTAAAAGTTATACTGTTGTTAAAAAGAGTAGCTTAAATAATTTATGACATATCAGTTAAGGGAAGAAAACTATATCAACATATTGATTTTGTTTTAATCATTGACACATATCTTAACAACCTTAGTAAACCTCTACTTAATGACTGTTTAAATGCATTTTATGATAATAAGCAATTCGTTAAACAGTATGTGTTCAGTCTTATCGATTTTGTTAAAATTGGTTTTTGATTTTCATAAAAAATTAATATTTATTTTGTCAAACATCTAAAAATAATATAATTTTTAAAAATAAAATATTTATTACATTAAAAGCACATTAAATATTTTTAATGAAACTTATTTTTTAATTATTTAAAATAATTCTAAGAACCGATATTAACATTTTTAATTAATAAAATGATCTAAAACTTACAAAAAGTATTGAAAAAAGTCCTACTACTTACAAATAAGGATAGGGCTGGTTATGGAAACATGAAGGTGGGAACAGGTTGAGAGTTGGGGGATTGATAGAAGTTGGTGTGTGAGGTGACGCTGAAGGAGAAAATTGTGGGGCCGGAACAAATGGTAGATTTAGAGGGAAAAAAGTCAAAGAGATTAAACTTGAATCTCGTGAGATTCTTACAGGCTGGAAGTGGGGCCTTCCTACGTGGAGGACGTTGAAGTCATCTTGGAAGCGTATATATATATATATATGTTTTTTTTCCATGGCTTTCTTTCAAACAGTGAAATTTTTGAATATTGGTTTTGCAGCTTATGGCCTGGTAATATAACTGATTGCTGCACAGCACTGAGCACTCTCACAGTCCCACTCCTTTCCTTTGGGGGTGACGATAGATAGGGTTAGGAAGATAAAATATGAGTTTCACTTTTACATTACAGCTGTATGTGTATGCCCGGCAAACAAAAGTAGTCAAAAAGGCTTTGGACCCCACTCACAGCCCTTTTTAGTAATATTTGTATTCTATATTAACATTTTAAAAAACGTTTGTTGTGTGTTAAACAGCTCGACTTTTCCTGTCATGTTTTAAACGCACCCAACTAAGAGTCAATTAACTACTTGTGCCCCTAACAATACTATTATATCCAGTTACCATCCCAATTTCCATACCTTACCTATTCAGTACGAGAATGATTTTATAATTCATACCCTCTTATTTCTAGTTTCATGTGTGTATATATAATATCATACTACTACTGTCTAGTGCCTACTCTCTACAGCTGTTCAATGGGAATACCAATCTATACTCGGGTCTCAATTTGGATTATTTATTTGGACTACATACGTGTGAACTCGAATTAGTCTGAATTTTATTCTATCCTGAGTATACCCAAATGCAGTCTAACTGTTATCAATTACAATAAGCCAAAATAGTAAGGAGAAGAGGACGGAAGAATAACTAGAATAAAGCTTGAACCTGAATCCATATACGCAAAGAAAGAAACAAAAACCAGGAGCTGCCAAAAATGATAATAAATAAAAGGGCAATGAAGGTGACCAGGAAATTTCAAAGGGGACAAAATGGTCAAAGAAAATAAGGAAGACAAACCTGGATGAGGGTGTGCCAGCCATAAAGCTCGCTCTCTCATAAGCGTAAATCAAATCAAATCGCATCTGCAGAGTCATTGTAGTTAGACTCCCCACACCCACCAACTATACAAAAGCCCAATTTCCTGGAAGTAACCCATTCCCTCCCTCCCTCGCGCTCGCAACCTTTCATTACTATTCGCCATCATATTTATTATAATACTACGCTGCATGCACCTTTAACCGATCACTCTCTCTCTCTCCGTATATACACCCAAACCACACTCCCTCTGTCCATTGCCACGTTCAATCTCAAAATGGAAGCAATGAACAGAAGCTCCTCCTCCACTGCGTCTTCCTCCGACTCTTCCTCTTCCGACTCCAATCAGAGGAATCCCAACAAACCCGACCGAATCAAAGGCCCGTGGAGCGCCGAAGAGGATCGGATCCTCACCCGACTCGTCGAGCGATACGGACCCAGAAACTGGTCCTTGATCAGCCGCTACATAAAGGGCAGGTCCGGCAAGTCCTGCCGGCTACGGTGGTGCAACCAGCTCAGCCCCACCGTGGAGCACCGTCCCTTCTCAGCGCAAGAGGACGAGACCATCATAGCGGCGCATGCACAGTACGGTAACCGGTGGGCCACCATTGCCCGGTTACTACCGGGTCGAACCGATAACGCCGTGAAGAACCATTGGAACTCCACGCTCAAGCGCAGACCCAAGGGTGGCTCTCTTATTGTAAATCCCAACGACGGAGGCGCTTCTTCTTCTACTCCTTGCCCCTTGGAAGACGACCCGTTGACCGCGTTGACTCTGGCTCCCCCCGGGGTTCGTAACGGTGGTGTGGTCGAGGAGGCCGTGGCCGACCACCGACCCTCGCCGGAGAATGTGCCGACGGGGTTTTGGGATATGATGAGAGATGTGATTGCGAGGGAAGTGAGGGAATATGTGTCGTCTAATTTTTCTGACAACTCGGGTTTTCATTGAATGAATTATAATCATAATCGTTTTTATGTTTTGTTGTTTTTCAAGTAAACTATTCTGCACTTCGATATTGCCTTGCTTAGGTTCAGAATCGTTTCGGGGAATCAAACTCTTGTGCTGTTAATAACAAATTTCTTTTTCTGTTTTATTTTTCTTGCGAACCATCGTTTTCTATTAGCTCTTTTTTCTTTCCTTTTTTTTTTAAGGAAACACAAATCCGTCGGGGGAAAAACATGACGTATTCGCTTGCCAATTACTTACTGAGTGGAATGTTTGAAGATGAATGTTGATTTTGGCAGGTGGAAAGTTGTGACCTGCCTGGGTGATAATATCATCTTTGAGAAAACGCAATTTAATAGAAACCCCAAACCCTACTCCTTAAAATTATTTTATGCTTTATTTTATTTTCAAATTTTGATTAAGCTTTAGTATTTTTGTTATCAGACCAGACCTGCAAAGGTTTTGAGAAGAATCTATCCCTACAGAAATGTTTGAAGGAATTGAGACATTAGTATTGAATGTTAAATGGGTGTCTGTTGTTAGCCTTTTTTTTTTTTTGGGTACAATGATAACAGACTCACCGTTAAATATGAATTTGCACATTATGTAATTTTGAGAATTTTATATAGTTCATTCTACATAATTAATTAAAATTACTTCAATTAGGTTTGAAAGCAATCACTCAAATGCATACCAGATAAATTGTAAATAGAGTTTTGAGTTGTATAAATGTTAATATTAAAATATTTTTATCATATTTGATAATTCTAGCACACTTAATAGCAAATCTAAGAAACAGTAATCACAAGAAGTCGTTATTCATGGAATAATAAAAATGCAAATATGTTTTTTGTTTGAAAATTTAAAGTAAAAATATTTTAGAACCAGTTTAAAAATATAACAATTGTACCAGAAAATCTTTAAAAGCAAATCAAATTTTCAATAGCATAAAAAACTATTGTCTTCTATAAATTGATGAACATTTTTGAAAATTATTTTTGTTAATAAACAATGATATAATAATTTTGAAAATATATGATTTTTACAAAAAAAAATACTTTAATTGTTTCAAAATTTTATTAATTGAAATTGACAAAAATTATACTTTTTTTTTTCTTTAATATAGAGTTATATTTTATTACTCTGTTCATTGACTGTAGGTAACCAATCGGGACAGCAATCAGATAAAAGCACAGGCAGTACCTTATCCAAATAAATGTATATATTATTACCCTATTTCTGACTGCAGATTAGGGTCATGCGCTACTCGATATTCGAGATTAATGGACTAGTTTTTTGTATCCGACAACATTTTCAGTGACGGTGAGCATATTGTTATTGACAATTTTTTAATTAAGAAAACTTTGTGGAGAAACTATTTGGTGTTAATTATTTGCTTTTAAGAAAATATAATATCGATCCAGATAAAAAAAAATAGTGAATAATAATTTAATGTTCCTGCCACGCAGACACATGTGATATTATTTCCTACCATATGCAGCCAAAGGCTTAGGTAAAAGGTCGTATATTCTTGATCCTGGAACTAGTTCATTATTTGATGATGGACCCTATGATTCTAACCAAAAATGGACAAACTTCGTAAAAGCATTTAAAACGCAGCAAGCTATAGCTAGGGGCAGAGGGGCCGCTGGTTTAACTTGCACTTGAAGACTCATTAAAGTTTCGTTGAGATGGATTACAATGCATAATAAGCTTATTCATATTTTTTTATTGGATAAGTTGCATTTGATCACTGATTAAACTTCAATACACAATATGATTATGTTAAACTTTACATCACTGTTAACTAGAAAAACTTTTGGTCCTTTTAGATTCGTTGTTCGAGACATGGGTTATTTGTGATATCACATGCCTCTGTTGTCCAATATAGTATCCCAACTAGCTACTATGAGCATCTTTTAATGATGACTTGCTTCGGGGCAATTGAACACCAAGTTTAGATCTTAAATCTTATTAACGCGTAAGTGTAATGATGAAACCGTAGAGTCGCGCTACTTTTACGGAATCATGAGACTGCAGTGTGTAAAATTTTCCATGCCAACAGTTAAAATAGTAAAAATAAGTAGAAAAACGCGAACTCTCTTACTCGAAGAAAAACTATTAGGTTACGCAATCAAACATAAAGTTGACTCTGCGTTTCAGTCGGTGATAATAAACTTGATTTGAATAATCTTAACTTGTAAATTAGTTTAAGTTAAATCGATTCTTTTAAAGTTATTTTTAATATATTTTTTACTTGCAAATATTTTAATTCCATTTTTGACAAACAAATCTGCATGGCAAATTGTTTTAATTAGCTTACCCTGTGGTTGGTCAGACCAAACAAACAATAATGGGCCTGAAATGTGTGCCTAAGCATGATTTCTCAATATAGACTGCTCAGACACAAATGAAAAATGATAACGGGCTTTCATAGTGAAGCCCGTGAACACAGAGAGACAAAAACAGTAGTCTTATTAAAAAACCGAGACAAAAATACAACATGATATCGAATATCCACAAACCAAACAAGGTAGAGGATTTGTTTTTGGGAGATACATGAAAGGAAAACACAACAGGACAGAGGGTGCATTAACACCCTTACAATGAGCTAAAAGCAGTGTGTGTGTTTGGCTAAGAGGGGTGCATTTATTTATAGTTGGAATTCAAATATTCAATAATGATAAATGGAAATGGCTTAATTTGGGTGATGCGTGAAGGAGAGGGAGCGTGTAGATGGAACAGCGATGAACTTGGTGAGGCCAGCAATGCAATCATAGGCGTTTCCCTCTGCAGAGGCAAAATAGTAAGGCCTCCATTGATTGAGATCAACCGTAAAGCCCTCACCAGCCCCTTCATTTGCACTCCCCAATAGCTTTGCCCCTCTGAATTCGCAGGTTATGTAACTCCAGAGGTTTGGTAGTAAGTAAACACTCTGAGCAACAGTTGAATTTCCTGGTGGCGGATACTTGAACACTGCACCTCCCAAAATCACCGCATCAATCAATCCAATACTTTATATATTAATTAGACAACGGATAAAATTAACTAGTGGTGTTTGGAGAATTTTTATGAGAAAATGTAACATTTAAAGTGACTAGAAACCAATGCTATTAGTTAATTGATATTGATGTTGATATGGATTGTGGTACTTGTACTTACCAAGTGTGTCATTTATGTGGAAGGGACTATTTTGGATAGCCCATTGAGTGTAGTTAGTGCCCGCACGCCAACCTTGAGAGTCACCAACCAAAATGCTTCTTCCCTCGCTTCCTGCAGCCACACACGTGATCACAAGAAGGAACACAAGTACTCCTCGTCCCAAATGCTTCTGCATGTTTTATTGATTATTGGATTTGTGGCTCAATTCTGTTTAGGGTTACATACCCTGGCTTGGTGCTAGGGTTAATATAGAATCTGATTCAACATTAATCAATCAATCTATCGCCCACGAATTTCAATTAAATTCTGTTATTTTGGCACACGGTCGGTATGTGCGACTTGAACAAAAAATCAGAATCTCACACATTTTCATACTTACAAGTCAACATGCTCCCAATGACTTTTTGTTCGCTTATTATTATTTTTTACTGATTATTGAAATTTACAAGTTTTCAATTTGTCATAAGAGATCGATACAAATATTTATATTGCTCTCGTTAGGTGAACAAATGAGTGAAGAAAAGGAAGCTATGTTAGTTTGGTATTAAAGTGACGCGCATCTAGAAGAGGATTTGTTGGTGTGTAGTTTGGCAAAAGTGCACAAAATTGGGACACAAGGTCGTGAGACGACAATTACAGTGTCTGAGATTAAGACTAGTAATGTGGGTTGGTGCTCGCTGATGTTTGACTCAAACATCAGCGTGCTGTTTGGTCTTTCATGTCGCCAGTGTCATACAAAATTGAAGATTCAACACAAACTCAGTTTATTAAGCCTGCAGTCTTTTTCTCTTGATATTCTTCATTTGTTCAACATTGGGCTGAACTACCCAATCCCATCACTCTGGGCCCAATTCATGATCATATTATATCACAGAAAGTATCCAATCCCTTAATTACTCTTTTTTTTTTTCTCTTCTTAAACAATCCTTAATACAAATATTGTGTTTTGTTTGAGATCTATTGCCACTATTTTAAATATATAATTAGTAGGATTAGGAATGTACTTAAACAGATTCAATTTGTTATGGGCGTGTGTACACGGAAGCTAATTAAAGTGCTGCTCACTACTCCTCCTTCTTTTCTTTTGTATTAATTCTTTAGATATTTGATCTCCTAGATTGGGACCTTAATCTTGTTTATGTTGTTTAGATTTATTTAGCTCCTTTAAATAATTAAAAAATATTTTAGTAATTATACTAATATATATTAAATTGTATTTCTTTTTTTTTTAATTTGAGGCCAAAATAGGATTGATTGTATTAATTATAACTTCAAATATAAGAAATACTATTTTTCAATAAAAGAATAAAAAATTATTATTTAAAAATTAAATTCTTAATTTAAATATGAAGTCTATAGAAGTTTTTTAAAATATAAAATTATTATGTCATTGATTCTTAAATGTTCAAACATTTTTTTAAGCCATTTTTTTACATTTTAAATAAAAAGTAAAAAATATATAATTAGCAAGTATAATGGTAGGTTTATGATATATATGTCTAGGTTAGTCATGCATGAACCACAATAAACACACAATTGCACCATCACTTATAAATATAAATAATAGCAAGTTTTATTGTTGTCCATACACAACATACACAACGTCTCTAAAAATAGAAAAAAAAAACTATTTACATTTGATTTTGATATTAATGTTAATTACTCTAATTATTAATTATATTTTTGAAAATATAAAAGTAAATATAGAATTACCAATACAAATACAAATAAGTATAAATTTAAGATGATAAAGATAAGAATAGTATCAGTTAACATGAGAGTATATAATAGTCATTCGGCTGGGAAAAAGCTAATTAGCATGTGGTTAGCAGAAGTAGAAGCCTAGTTAGTTTGCTTTTCTCTATAATTTTTTTGGGAGTATCTATAGTTTATCTATCCCATAAACACACAATTGCACCAGTAATATTATCTTTATTCATTTTAAATGAGTTATTTCTATAAACTTCTTTCTTAAGTAATTGTTTTTGAAAATCATTCTTTGATCTCTCCAACCTGAGATTACTTGCATTCTTCATCCAAATTTAACACCTCAACTCAAATATCTGATAAATAGTTGAAAATTTTCATCTTATAATTCACATCTGGTACTAGTTGCATAGCTCCACGGCATGTTCACGTGCCTGCATACAAGAATTTATGGGTAATGAGGTCAGGTATACGGTCCCACTCAATCTGAATGTATGTCAGGTAGCCATGTCCAGAGATCTATCCGAGTAGCTACATTAATTGAAACAATCCAAAATTAAAACATTAATAAAAGATAATAATAACAACATAATAATATGCTTATAAAATGATTCTACTGAGACGAGAAAATGTCTCAAAATTAGGTTAAGTTTGGAAGCAGAAGCAGCATGGTTGGGGTAGCGGTAGGTTGTGCTAAAGGAACAACTGAACCCGCCATGTCAGTAACAGTGTGTGGAATCGAATATCTGATCGCAGCGTGTCCTCACTCCTGAAGTCACTGAGCTGCTTTGATTCTTTCTCTATCTTCAAGGAGTGGTCCATTTTTAACCGTGATTGAGACAAAGACCTACATGCATGTCCATGTCATGACATTGTTAATGTCTCTGTGTCTACTATGCCTCATTAATCATAACGATTCTTTCTTACGGTCGCATGTTGGAGAAAATGAGATATCTGCATAGTTATAATTTTCATGAAGTGATTAAATAATTTTTAAAGGTTGTTTTATAACATGAAGAGAAATAGATAATTATTTTTTAAATTAAATTGCTGAGCTTTGTCATTTCTAATTTGTATTGATTAATGACGAGCTGGAAACACGACACAACAAGTGTTATGTAATAGAGCCATAGCGATAAGTATTTACCAACAGTGATTGGAGAGAAGAGCAACTTGTGTAAGGACTTTTTTTTTTTTGAGTAATCTAATTTAATTTTCAGGTTTATTAGTCGACTAATTATCACGTGACAAAGTCATACTTTTTTAATTGATAATAAAATATTAAAATTTAATCACAGATCACAAAATGATTGACTGAAACCACATACACATGATGATCCTAGACAGTCCAATAATTAACCCTTGTGCAAGACACAACAAAAATTGGTGAGGTGCGGTTGTCTCTTCCTTTTGCATACATCTTTTTTGACGAAACGTGATCTGTACAAACTCACAGAAACCTTACTACTTAGCCATCTAAAATAATTCTCATTTACTATATCATTAACTTTGTTAAATAATCTTTTCCTTCTCATTTACTATATCATTAGCACTCATCTGGTAAGGAATGCATAATACATGTAAATGATACAGATTCTCACCATTATAAAAAAAATAAAATTGGACAGTGTAGTTACAAAATCTCCACTTTTATCATTTAAACCTTATTTTTTAAATAAAAATATATTATATTTATAAGATATATTGAGTGCATGTTTATATTTACATTTAAATAAATATAGATTTATATATGGTCATTTTAAAACTATTAATTATAATTTCATAATTTTATATTAAATTTATGTTTACATTATTTTTAACGTATTTTTAAGTATGGGTGAGTAGGATCTCACAGAATCACTATGTCATTTCAGTACATATATTCCCAAAGAGGCACCATTCTAGGGCTATGATTAAACACAATAGATCGTTTTGGAGGTGATAGTTAGTTCCTTTTTTCCTTAATAATATTCTGTACTGTTAATCATCAATGTAACATTAGTATTTATTTTATATTCAAAATATTTTAATTAAAAATTTATTAAAAGAATCTCTAAAAAAATTATTTTCTAGAAAATAATTAAGGTGAACTAGGCCAGAGTCTCTTCATTTTTCAAAATTACTAGTACTCCTTCCCAACGAACAACTGACCCAAAACATAAGCCTTTTTAAGTATGATGGCTGCAAATTGCAATCTTGCTCTTGACTGCATGTTATCTTTCACTCAGATTCTGCCAGTTATGTGCACTCTGTTAGAGTAAATGCCATCACAAAATAAAAGAATTTTGAACAATTAATTTTACCATTTGTAAGGTCTTGTTAAAAAGATAATAAATATGACTTAAGAAGAAATAAATGAGCAATGTTACTTGTGAAACCAGTATTTTTTCCTCTTACAAATCAGTCCTATAAAACAGTTGTGGTGTGATGTTTTGAAAGTTTGTTTATCCTGACAAGAATATTAGAATATTATATGAAGGAAAAGAAATAAAGTGAGTGAACAGAAAAAAGCATTGATAAAGGAAGGGAGGTGGCTCTGCCTGCTGGTATCTCTTCTTTCCTTCTTCGTCCTTGCAAGATACAGCTGAGAAAGTAACCATGTAAAACCCAGTATGACCTATGTTACGGTAAAAGTAATCACGTCTTAAAGTTCATTGTTTTGCTCATGTCATGTCATATTATAGTATGAATAAATCTAGATTCAATTTTGATTTTTTAATAATTAAATGAAAAATTAATTTTTTTTATATTTAAAGATAATATATATATATATATATATATATATATAATTTTTAAAAAATGTGCAATATTGTACATGATAAAAAATCATATATAAATTTTTTGATTAAAAATATAAAAATTAATATAATTTAATAGATTAATAATATAAATATTATAAATTTTTATATAACTATGTTATACAACTTAAAAAAATTACTTTTTTAATACTTTATTTTAATATAAAATTTTTATGCAATAGGCAATTACCATTATACTTGCTCTAAGTGGGTTTTATATTACGATTACCAGAGACTAATGCGTCATTGGTTAAATGTATTCAAAACTTATCCTTTTGTAGTGTTATATAACTATAGTTTCATGCTAGCCTTACATAGTGTGGGAATTTACCATTTCCGTATAATTTTAGAATTAATTCATTACTCTTTAAATTTTAACTTATCACTAATAAATTTAAAAATTAAAATGAACAGTAAACACTGTCAAACACTATCGTTAATGGTATGAAAACAGGTAATAACTTTTTTTTATTAATATAAAAATGACTTATTTGAAGATATCATACATAGACCTTTAAATTATTTAATAAGCTACTTTTTGATGAAATAGTACTAAGGTTAAGGAGTGCCTTTAATTATTAGTTAAATTTTTTGACTAAATAAAAATTGTAAAAAAAATAAAAAATAACAATAGTTAAAATTAACAATTATTGCCTTTAACACGTTTGACACAATAATATATTATAGGATACATGATTAAACTATCTCTGTAAATTGAAAATGAATCCAGGGATAATGCATGAACTAGTAGTGCAGCCTTATATGTTGCATATAGAAATTAGATCTGAAGGCTGACACTAAATTTTGATAACTAGTTGATGAGGATGATGCAATAGGACAAAGGATGAAAATTGAAACAAAAACAGGACAACAAAATATGGTTAAGAAAGCAACATAGAAATAATTCAATGGTTTGGTGTTGAGGTCTGAGAAGGCTGGTCTGCTGGTTGCTTGGTATCTTGAGAGGTGTGGATTGGTGTTGGAGGAAGCGAGGTACTTGACTCACCAGGTCTGGCTATTGAGAGGTTAATTCTGCCATCGATGCAAGTGGAGCATTTCCTCTCTGCCCAGCTTTCTACATCGTACTGGCCATGACCCATTATTCTTCTTCCTGAACAGAGCCTTCCAATCATAACCGCAATTACCCCCAACACAATTACAACCACCATAACTCCAACCACGGGACCCACAGACTCGTGTTGTGATTGCTGTGCCACATTCATTGGAGGAGGTTGTTCTTGCTGTTGATACATTGGCATTGACATTTTTACCACTTGCTACTTGCTTCCTACTACCAAACCGAAATTACCTCTGCAATGGTTAATTGCTTTCTTGGGGTGGAGTGATGTGCAAGGACTTTACTCAGTGTAAGCTTCTAAGGTGTAAGATGAAGATAATTAGGAAAGGATATTTGGTTGGTCGAGAGCGTAAAAGAAAAGAAAGTCATAGATGGATGCTTGAGATGTTGTGACACATTCTCATTCTGAAATTCTTTTTGCAAAGGATGACCGGACCAGAGTTATATTGTAGATAAAGAGAGATCTTTGTTCTGTGTGGAAAGAGAAAGAAGGAGGGAGGGAGTTTAATATTATTACCGAGTTATATTGTTGTCTAATATTTATCTATTTTACTATCCCTCTGGGTCTGGTTTTGATTAGAGAGGGAGGGAGTTTAAATGGAAGGACAGGAAGGCTTGTTTTGCAAGGGTTACCAAATTGTTAAAATTATTATTACCGAGTTGAGGAACCCCGAGGGACAGTAAAAGGACGAAAGGAAAGGCGAAAGAAATCAGAAAAGTGGAATCTTTGGAGAGAAAAGTGCTTACCCTTTTCTCGAGAAGCCCTTTTCAAAACAACATCGACGAGCTTTTTCAGGAGTTTGGGTACTGTATGAAGCATGAGTGAACAACCTTAACAACACGGGAGAAACTTTTTTTTTTTTAAATTCCTAGTGCGTGAACATCTGATTCTGGTATACTTTTTAGGCTCAGGTAGGGTTCTAAGGATTGTCCACATCTAATTCAAGAGTCCTATTGTCACTCTTATTTATTATTTCTGCTGTCAGTCTTATACCCTTATATTAATTTGAATAACCAAAAAAATGTTATGACAAACAATATAATGTGCATAAAAGTAATAATAAACAAAATAGAGTAACAATACTCACTCACACTTCAAATGGCTGAACCTTCCAAATATAGTTCAAGAAGTGACAATTAACAAGTTATATGTAAGATGATTCTTGGGTGTTAAAATTTTCACATATCTTTCCCCCTCTTCCAATGCCAAATAAATAAAATTCAAATGGCTGAAGAACCATGGTCATACATCTTTTATTTGCCATCATTCATTTGTCTTGACGAGTACTAGTAAATAAATCAGTGGACGATTCCCAGCACCCCAAACCAAGTTTTTACTTCTTTCCCCATTTTTAATTATTTTTCATGTTTGTTCCATTTAAATGGCAAGAAATGACAATTTTTAAACAATGTGAATGATAAAATCAAACTATTTTTTCAAATATTTTAAAATTTCTAATTATTTATATTTATGTGCAACAATCACTAGCAAAAATATTCAGAGATCTATCTAGAGCATCATGCGTGTGTTTTGTTTTTAGGGGATTATAACGGCCAAGAACCATTCCACCATTGTCTTATTCCATGGAAATGTCATGACATTGCTGTCTTCCATTTCTTGTGTTTAGTCATGATCTATTTCTTCTACTGAATTGGTGCCACTTATTCAAGGTCAGAATTGTGTTCCTTACAGTTTTATAGCAGAGGAATTCATTCCAGGTATACCCTGGACCACTGTTTTAGATGAAACCGACCATGATGTCCATCAAGAGTCAAGCACTTGTCATCCTTTAATATTGGTGTGTTGCATCTTGTGGCAAAACATGTTTTGGGTAAAGATTATTTTTAAGAAAATATTACATACTTTGCAAAAAAAAAAAGAATTAAAAGTTGACATATTTTCTAAATTGAACTGCACTAAACATGCACTATGGGGAGACATTTTGCTTGTCTGCCTAAATAACACTAAAACATTCATAGCTTATTGGCTGGTTGTAGGAATCAGAAACCAAAACAACCTTAACCAGAGAAAAACTAGTCATCATATTTCCAAAATCAGGGCTCTCCTACCCCGTAGTGCATGTTTCATTTAATTTAGTCATCACATTTACAACTTAAAATGACTAAATTACACACACATCTCATGAAGTTTAATAGAATTTCACCGGATAATTTTTTTCACCTTACACAAGTTTCATTTAATTTATGTAATAATATAACATCACACACCATTCTAGATTACATAAACTATCCCTGATTTCTTATACAATTATATAAATTAGGTCATATATGTAAAAATAAATAAGGAGGGGTATCAGAGAAAATTCTGTTAAACCTTAGGAGGTGTGAATGTAATTTACCCATTTTAAATTAATTCATGAAGCCCATCTATGTACAGCTAATACTGTGTAGGACATGGAAAAAAAAAGTAGAGCAAAAGAAAATCCAGCACAAACTAACATGCAGACAAAAAATGAGTTGATCAAATGTAGCTGACATATAACCAATACCCAATACAACTTACATCTTACTATGCACTCTTGCAACCGTAAGCACATGCCGCCCTGCAGTTACTGGCAACACAGTAACAACAGCCTTCAACTTTCCTCCTTCACTAAGCCAAAAGATCAAGCAAATGAATATACTCTCAAAAAACTGTACAACACGAAAGCAGGTGCAGAACTATTCTCATATTCAGATTAAAGTTATGACAATCCACCTTCGATCAAACAATCTACCCAGGGGCCTTCCCCATCCTTGAAGTAACACTTCCAGAACCGGAGGCAGTCATCAAATTTCCATTAGGGGACATGTAGAAATAGTTGTGGTTAATTCGGGTCACCAAATCAGCCAAATGAGGGAAGTGCCCAACATTTAGTTTGAAAGATAAGACCTGAAAAGCCAGAATAAGAATAACACTGTTAACCCTTTTTTTTTCTCTGGAAGATGGTGGAGGGGAAGAGAAAGGGAAAGGATATGACCAGATTCCTCTGGTAGAGTTAAACTCTCAGTGTTAAATTTCACATACTAAGAGTGCACAATCTTAAATGTAAAATGCTATCACAATAGCATTGAGGGAATTATTCCTCAGTGCTATTTGATGCCATCATATTCCATTTTGCTGCAACCTTTTCTTTTCTATATAAAAAGTCCTACTGAATAACCACCTTCCATGACAAAACATATCGCTAGTTGTAAAAAGTGATTAGATGAAGGCAAATTTCAGAAAAGAAATAGTTGCATGTCAAATCAAGCACCAAACTGAACCATGGTGTTTGATTGGGTAGTCAACTATGAATATGATTCCTCAATAATATTTTTTCCCACAAGTATTTTCTCTAATAGACATTTTATACAGACATGAACTTTAACTGTCAACTAGTGCATTTCAATCAACTCGGGTAAGCCAATCAAATAAATTCAAACCCTGATATTATTTATGGACTATGTACTGCAAATTTGAGGGCATAAAACAATCACTAAAACCTTTTCCCATTATGTGGGGTCAGCTACCTGGTTTAAATAACACCATTCTCTTTCAAAAACAAATTCTTCAGACAGGCCATTTAGATCTGATCCATTTTCAGGGTTTACATATATTTTTCTTATTCTTTTTCTACTTCTAATTATTCCACTATCATCTGTCAATTGGGCTTCTATTGATCCAAATTTTTTCCTTTCTAACTTGAGGGCATCTTAATTATAAAATCAACATGCCGCACATATCAGACTATAATATGATTGAGTTTGTGACACTCAATAGCAGCATAGAATCCCCGAGAGCATTTTGTTGTATGGTCACATACATCTGTAAATTTCTCCAGTGCTCAGTTTTATACAAACAACTTCATGAGGAAAATGATGATGCACATGTATTCTAGTCAAAGTATAAAGAATCCATTATTTTCATCAAGATCAAGTTGAACTGGCAGTCACACAGTATCAGCATAGTTAAATAAATTCTTAGAAGGATACCCTGAGTAAGAAAGCAATGCACTCATCAAACTGTTTTTCTATCCGGTCCACTTCCATCTCACACCTTGCCTTGATTGCAGAAACAGCTCCACCACTACTTAATGTCTGTTGTATGATATAAAAGTCTAAAGCTATTCCAAGGATGCTGTTAATGCGGCTGGCAATCAGAGCCCCCTGAATGCAATAAACATTACTGAAACTACTCAAGCTTTGCTCTATTATAAATTATAAATATGCCAGTCAAAACATTGATAAAATAAATGCCCAAATCAAGAGATACAATAAATCACCAGCTTATCAGGAACCACAAAGCACTGCCTCTGAATTGATAAAATGTAAGCTTCATGGACTTCAATGACTTCATCCAGTGATTTAGCTGCAGTCATACCTTCACATAGTTCACGCCAAGCACTGTGATATACCTGCATAGAAATTGTAGTGACAGGTTCCATTGACAAAATGACAAACCATGAAAGCATGAGTGTAATGGGAAGATTCCATAGAGTGATTAGCAAATACCATAAAATGAATTAGAAGGCATTAAAAGCAATTACCACTAGCCATTCTATTGGTAGGTTACACGTCAATGATTATATTCCCTCTTTTTTTTTCTCATCCAAAATCTAGCAGAAAAAGTTATAATAGCAGCTCTTATGTTATGTCGGTTTATGCTAGATCATTACTTCAATGGAATTAATCATGTCCTATATATATTGTGTCACAGATAAATATTTTCTTGGAACAATTATTTTTGCAATTATCTTAGTGTAATGTGTACTGTGTATACCCGATCCATCACATATTGGTGAAAAGCATCCACAAAATGAAGGAGTTTCTGCTCCACTAACCAATGATGCTTTCGGTCGTTTGTAATAGATCCCCTATCCTGCAAATTGTGATTTCAATTTCCAACCTTACAGTAAATACTCAGAATGTAGTAAAATACAAAACTAGATTCTCGAGTTTAGTTCATGAAAGAAGCACCTTCCACATCCATCTCCGCACTTTATCTAACACAAATTTTGCACGCTTGACCTTCAATAAGAACCGCATCACCTAATTTTTTTTTTTAATAAAGGAACAGAATATGGTAAGCAAAAAGAACGAACCAGATAGAAGGGACAAATATCATAATCTAAATGATGAAAAAAATTATAAGGCTACCGTAAAGAGAGAAAAAATCCCAAAAACAAGCTAGGCACCTGGTTGTACTTCTTAATTGCCTCTGTATTTGCAATGAGTTCAAGGGGCCAAGGGACCTGCCAGTTCCCAATTTCCATATACCTTTATTCATAATTTTAATTACAGAAACCCATACTAAACAGGAATTCAGTTAGAAAGGCAGAATAAATTGACTAAAGAATGACCTTATACGTGAACTTGAGCATATCAAGGCCGTTAATTCCAAAGCTACTGATATGACTCTTATGAGTACTCAAAACAACACCAGATGTGCTAGCTTCCTCATCACTGTCAACAAGACTTTTGGTTATTGACACTACCAATGAATCAGGAGCACTTAACAGCATACAATCAGCAGAATTTCTGATTGATTCCTGTAATTGACATGCATAGATGGATTATGATCAGAAAATTGTATAAAAAATAAGGGCATATAAATACTCATAAATTTATTAAATAAACTGAAGCACACAATAGAATCCATCATTATACTATAGCTAATCTCTTTTGCATTATACACAGCAATAGTGACTAATCACATGATTGCTTTACTACCAATTTGCCAAACTAGTATAGGAGGTAGAATCCACAATTTGACATCATCATCCATTTTTTATGGTGATTAGTGTAATACAACCTCGTCCCATCATTTTCCCATTGAGTCAATATGTCTAAATAATAATACCAGTAACTAAATGGACTATAAGAAAATCCACAAGAACAAACCATTACAGGTGGGTAGTAATTTTAATCCTCATAACTGTACCCTTTGGATATCCATATACCCATACCTTTTATATATCCACATACACATACTCACCTCTATTACCTACGCTTGTCTAAGAAAAAAAATACTTATATAATTTTACACAAGTAGCATGATAATACAAAAATTTGATACGTAACTTTTGAACAAAGTTTAAGCATAGATAGAAAACAAATATTCAAAGATAACAAGTGCTAAGTGCATTTTAATACATTAACTTTCTAAACTAAAGTACTTAGAAACTATAAACAAAATTTCACACATAATCTTCAAGACATCTAAAACAACCAATTCATGAACTTGAGAGTCATGTATTGTCACTCTCTAAGACCTAAAAAAAAGAATATTAGTTAATTATTTATTATAAAATCAAAATAATAGATATAATTAGGCTATTTTGCCTTTTCATCAAAACTAAATAATCTAAATTAGAGCAAACACTTATCTTTTAGGTTTACATATTGCTTTGGTTTAGGAATACTAAAAAAAACTAGAACATACAAGTATTTAATAAGAATTAATTTTTATATCAACCATGTAATAATTAAATTATACTAGCCTAATTAAATAATATAAAATAATAAATGAATTTTTCTATTAAAAATATGAAAAAAATTATTTTTATGGTTTAGTTTATTGGTAAATATATTTTTATGTTAGTCTTATTAAACAAACTTAATTAGATAAATTTTTATATCTTTAAATATACATTTTTTTATTTGAGTAACATAAATATTTATGTTAAATTTTTCAACCTTTTATTTTGCATAGAAAAAATTTTAAAAACAGAAAATTATAAATTGAAAAATAATTACTCAAAAATTCAAAATAAAAAATTTGTCCATTCAAAAAAATAAAATAATAATGGCCTTCTCAAAGAATTTTGAACTGAGTAAAAAATATAAGACATGAAATTACATAAAATAAATAGTAAAATCTTTATATTGACCAAAATTTTATAAATATATTCACAAAAACTTCCTAAAAACTAAAAATGAGTTATGTTATTGTTTTCTTAAATTCTTAGTTACTCTATTGTAAGTAAAAAATTATTCAAACAACAAAGATAATTAGAAATACTAATAATAATAATAATTATTATTATTATTATAATAGAGTTTTCAACTTACTTATTAAAAACTAATTTAATATGAAAATTGTCAAACTTGATCTCTCAATCCTATAAAAAGTGATAGATTAGATATTTATCTGTAAATCAAACTTCGAAAATATAACTCTCGATAGGGTAAGTTGTAAAGTAACTTATATGATTATATAATTGGTAACGATTATAGAGAAAACTTAGCCCTATAAAATATTAAATATTAACTCTAATTTTCTCCCATAATAGATTTTTGGGTCAAGACTTCTCTCTCACATAAGTAACATAATTAATATATATATTAGTATATGCGGATATGAGGCGTGTTGGATACTTAGGTATCTATACTCGCACTCATCCCCATTAAAATTTGTAGGTATTTTTTCATACTCATACTTGTACCCATTTAGTATGTAAATACCCTACTCATTGAGGGTAAATTTTACAGGTACCCATTAAGTATTTTACCCATTACCATTCCTAAGTGGAATAGTTTACTGTGGTTCAATTCTTGCATTCCTCGGTAGCATTTGAATCTAGAAATGACAGCACAACAATTAATTCCAAACCATTAATAGTTAATAATGGGCATGAAAATTGCAAGAGTTATACAATAACATAAGATCCACAAACAAGCTCAATTCAACAGTGCAACACACCAATGATCCCTCAAAATCATTTCACAGAGAAATGAGGAAAAATGTGAAATTCAAATAATCATACCATCAAGTGACCAATTGGTACTTACTCCTTGTTGAGCAGTAATATTTCGATAAGACAGAGTCACATGCACAGGGAACAGTACAACCATTAAAAAGTTCAAAAGTCTATGAAGTTAGCCAGAAATAGATAGGTACTGAGGTCCTTTCTAGTGGCCTTACACACTATATAAATTTACTCTTTCTAGATGGAATTAGCCAAAGATCTTATGAGTTATGACCTTTCTATCACTAATCAAGCATTTCAATGATAACCCATGCCATTAATCCTCAAACCTTTAAATAAATTTAATTTAATACAAGAAATTATAATTTAGATGCAACTTTCTAGTCTAACTTGAAGAAAAATTGCAGCAGATGTTAGATGGACTCAAAATAAAGTAGAACAAAAATGTATACTAGAGCAAATAACAAGAACATCTACCTGTAATATTGTGTTTAATTCAAAATCATCATCCCATGTTTCACCCTTATCCAACTTGTTGAAAATTACAGTCAAAAAGTGTTGCAGCAAATCACCTGCACAAGACAAATTATCAGTGCAGAAGACAAAGAAACCAAGATGACTCCACTCCTACCCTATAAAGCTCAATATACAACATAGAAAAAGTATAAAACAATTAAAATAATAAGCAAATACCTGAACCTAGCAAGTATATAGCACGCAACACTGCAAGCTCATCCATCAACCTCCATTCGTTCATCAACTTTAACAACATATTCACTCCAATATATTCTACCTGTTCAATTCAAAATAGAGCTATTGTATATTGCCATACTCTTAAATCCTGGATGTCAGATGGTTTAATTTAATTCACCTGTTTCTGAATGTAGACAGTTAGACAGTACTGCATAATAACTAGTGGAAGTGGAGTAGTTCTTAGGTCAACATTTTGCATCCAACGAAGAACTCTTGAAGGAAGACTGCTGTTCCTCTGAAAAGGCAAGAGCTCTGACACAGGAAGATCATTCTGTTTCAAATCAAATATTTGTTCAATATACTAAAGTACTGCACCCTGCATCTAAAGCTGCTCAGTCTACCGGTACCTAGTAGAAATACCTGAAACAAAGGCAAAATAGTGGGAAAAGGAAACAACATTCCTAACAGATTTCTCTCATCCTGTGAGCGAAGGTATTCAGATTCACCAAACTGAAAGCCAAAAGTATAGTTTGTTCCCTCGCTATCAGAAAATGCTGTACTTTCTCCACCAAATATTGCCTTTCTTAAACCCTCATCATTTAATGAAGGCAAGCAGAATTTCTGAGACAAATTCAATGTTTTTAAGGCATCCCCATTCTTTCCAAGGTTCATTTGACATACAGTAATAACCGGATTTTCTACATATGATCTCAAGAGAATCACTTCATCTTGAACAACTCTGGCCCCTCTCAGGTCTCTTGTGTCACTGTTTATGCCTTTGTATTTTAGCTTCAAATCAGTTGATCCTTTCAGAAATAATGTATCGATCAAGAACTTATACCAAGTCTTCTCTGAGTAAGGTGGAGGAGATGATTTATTATTATTGTCATTCTCTGTGCTTTCCTCATTTACATGAGATACAACAGAAGAAACAGATACAGATTTGTACCAGTCATTTTGCCAAAAGTACTTAAAAACATGGTCACCATGACCAACAAGTCCAGCAAGTGATACGGAAAAAACTTCTGACAACGTTAGCCCAGACAATCTCTGAGAAGGATATAAACCATCGTTCAAATATTTGGTACTTCCAGTCTCACAATTACTTCCCTTGCTACATGCTGCTGAGGAATTGGGGACATGACACATTAACTGCAAAGATTTACCAGCAGAGACTATTGATTTAGCTAAATCCTTAATAAAAAAAGGACAAGCTGGATGGCCTCTAGTGTTCTGCTCTTTTCCTTTAGTTGTACTTGACAAAGGGATGGAATCCCTTCTGTCCATTTCCTTCTTGTCATTTGATGCTGACACAGAATCACTGGCATAATTCATGGAAGAGAACTCTGAATCAAACTTAACATGCTGTAGCATTCTTAATAAATAACTCCTCTCCCAGAACTCAGCCTCATCAACTGACACTTCTTTATTAGTAAAAAAGAACATCTGAAAAGAGAGATGATACAATCAATATAGCATTTTAATACACAGTAAGATTAATTTATTTTATGTTTAGAAAGTTTATGGTCAAAGTTGAAAGTTCTACATAAGGATGTTGGCTGAAAAGTTTTCTTAGTATGAGTGGAAGTGTAAAGATTAAATAAAACCATATATGTTCTTAACAGTATGTGTCAACCACAAATACTCACAGCATCAATACAACCTACTTAAATCTCAAATTGCTTAGGACAAATTGAAAATTATGCACTCAAATGATTCTCTTGAGTGTCATGCAAAACCATCATAACCACTTCAAGAATGCAACAGGAGGAAATAAAGGCATTCCTCAGCAATTCTAGCACCAAAAGAATCTTGAGAGTATTTCTTGGGACCCTATTTGGTTTAGGGTTGAGAAGAATCAATTTTAATAGAATTAATTTTGAAGTTTAAACCATTGAACATAATTGGAATATGCACCAAAATTGATCTTAGCTATAGATTTTATTGAAACACATGATATTCAATGGAAAGTACAATAATTGCTTTTTAAACAGTACCAAGCAATGACTTGGTTGGACAACATAACATACTTATTTCTACAACATTCTTTAGCACAACATAGAGAAAGAACTTCTTCCCCCTCCAGCAATTGAGAGATTCAATAACCATTACCTCTTCAGAAGGATCATTAAGAATTCCTTCAAAAAGCCAGGAATCAAGACCCTCAATATATGGTAATAAGCTTCCAAAATACATATAAAGCACCATCTGATAAGCTTCCTCCTGTGATTAGGAAAGTTTCTAAAGTTTGACAACACGAACCAAGAAAAACATTTTAAAGATACGTAACATGCTGCAGGAAAAAATAGTTACGACCTCACCACCTTCAACAAGACACATTTCATCAAGCTTTTTATGAAGATAGTCAAGCACATGAACAGCCAGTTCTGCCGCCGGTACAGATGCACCAACCTCAAAGTATACCGCAGGGATGGCCTCATGAACTATTCGCAATAGGAACCCAGCCCCTGAGCAGAGACTGTAGTCAACAAATGACCATCAGATACTATCACAAACTTCACAACCCCCAGAAACAAACTTAACTTGTAGAGATGATTCAAAAGAACAATTCAGGAAGATTCCAAATGTGAACTCACTTTCCTAAAATCAAATTCTTGTGACACAATAGACAGAAAACTACCAGCCTACATGCAAAATAACCCTAACTCCGCTACAGATCAAAATTTAAAGAAAGCAGAAACCTCGATAAAGAATTAGCTAATCCTAACAAGGTTGGAGTGGTTATGCCATCTGCATTGCTCGTGGACACTTCCTCCTTCAACGCAATATTCCGTAAACGCTGCGTGACAGCAAAAGTAGACTCAGATTTAAAAAAGAGAACAGAGAAAAGTCGATACAGAATAACATGTATAAATTTTGGATTCTATGAGAATAAAAAAGAAACCTTAAGCCACGCGGAAGCAGAGGACGCAAAAGCCTTCAAAGTTGGAGGAGGTTTTGGCACCGCAGTTTCAACTCTATTGAGTGTAATATCTACCAATTGGAGACAAGTTGCTGCGTGGATAAATTGATTGAGAAGAGAGTGGAGACTATTCTGGGAGAGATGACTAACGTATATTCCACTCTTGGCACGAAAACGGTTTCCACTGTTATCCCAAGAGAATAAAGAACCGGAAAACCCTTGCAGCATTCGTAAAACACCTCGCACCTTTAATCAGATTAACGAGGTGGATGAGGAAAAGCACCAACGAATTGACACATTAGTTAAAGGATAATGCAAATCAAGAATGAATGAATGAGAGAGAGAGAGAGAGAGAAGAGAAGCATACAAGGTCAAGTTCATTTGTTCGCAAGGAGGAGAGAGGAGTTGCAAAATGAAATTCATTAGCCAATGGAGCATAGATTCTGTTGATTAAGCTTCGGGAAATTTGTGCCTCTGCACCCATCTTCTTCTGCAGAATTATTAGCGAACACTCATGGATTGGTCCGCAGAGAGGGGAGGAAAATAAGAGTTAGTAAGAAACAAAAGTGTAGACTGTGGAGATCGGAACGGAACAGGCTTATAGGCTTGGCTTTCAAATGTTAATGGCGGAGCCATTACTGATACTCAGACTTAGTGGACCCCCTGGCACCTGGGTCTGCCCGAGATAACGCACCTTAATTGGGCTGCGAATGGGCTGATGGATAAGTAGTTTCAACCCATGTTGAACGACCTTTTTTTAAACTTGACAATCTGACAAAAAAACGTTGTTATGTTGCCTCTCGTTCGTATCTTTTTCTATTGGCTTATTCAATTTTAGTTTCTTTAGCTTGAATTATATAATCTTTTAGCTAATTAAACATTTTTTTTAAATTTAGCAAAATTGGTTTTATTTATTGATATTTTATATTTAAATTCCTCAAATTATTTTTTTTTATCCAAATGTTTGAGATTTACAAAAAAAAAATATTGTATAGAATAATTTTAAATGTTTAGAAGTCAAAAAGTTCAGTAAAATTTAATATATTTAGTTTATAAATATTTTAATGAAAAGCTAAAAGTTTCTGGCAGAATAAATTGATAAAGGGACAAAAATTATTTATTTTTAAGAGAAGAGAGACTTAATTAACTTATAATTTTGATAGAAAACTTATAATCCATATTTAATATCATGAAATAAAAACAACACTTCTTAAGTCAATGACTCACGGTAAAAAAAAAATATAATAAACATTTTATAAATAAAATATCATGATCCACTAGATTGACAATATTAAATACTATAATTTCAATAAAATATTATTTATTAATTTATTGTTTCCTTAAACAATTAAAAATAATTAGAATAATTCATTATAAGATTTTTTTTCCGTTTGGTATTACATTTCTCTTTCTAATATTGAATTTTATGTGTGACGGGTGATATTGGAAATTCAAAAAGGCATCTGCACCTTCTCAACCATAAAGTCTAGTTGTACGTGTCAACAGATCAAAGATGAAGGATACGACGGAGGATGTAAAATTGTAATGTAAAAGAACAAATAATGATTATTCCTAAAAGATTATATAATCAATTAAATTTACATGTGAACTTCTCGCGTGGGAATAGGTTCAACTAACCTAGACTTGTTATTATGTACATAATAACTGCAAATGAATGTGAATTTATCATTTCTTTTACCACTTCGGGTTGATATATTTTTTTAACAGCACGAATAATGCCTAGTTTCCAAATCCCTGCAACGATAATTGTCCTTTACCCAGTGAGAGTACTGACTGTGACAAGCTTCAAATGTGCCTGATGATTCTCATAACGGTGAAGGGTATGTTGCCGGAATTAGTAACAGTCATGTAATTGAGTGCGTTAGATCTCAAGGGAGATTGAGGACTGTTTACTTCTGTCAGTGAGCAAGGAGAGTCGCGAGAAGATGTCATATGATTAGATTCAGTATCATATTTTTTGGAAGTGTCACTGTCAACAACAAAAACAACAAAGAAAATTATTCCGATAAGGTAGCCAGAAGCATATTTCCAAATTTAACATATATGTAAGAAATACCAACAGCAAATAATGACGAACACATACCCTATTAAATTATTAATTTTATTAAAAATTCGTGTGCGAAAGGCTGGCACTAGACCACGGCTATTTTTTGAAGTGTGACCGGGACTATGCTTACGTGAATAATCCTACAAGCACAAACAATTGGACAAGTTAGCAGCGAGTTATGTCTTCCAAACAGGTTAGCACAAACCTATAAACCCAAGCAAGTATTGGGTTATAATTCACAATGATTGATCTCCTTGGACCATTGGACATGATCAAGGAGTTCAAATGTAAATAGCACTTACTCCTGGTCCAGGGTCTCCTCTGGGATGGCCATGTGAATGAACTACAACATCTTGATCATGCAAATTTTGTACAAAGACATGCGTAAGAAGTGTTGCCGCCGATGGTCGATCAGCAGGATTCCTTCTGAAACACTGCTGAAGGAAATCCTGTCCCTCTGATGACAAAGTTTCGGGTATATCTGGAGATTTGTGAAGTACCTTGAACATGGCTTGAGGCTAGTAGACAGAATTCAATCAGGCCATTATGTTCACCAAGTAACAAAAAATGAGAAAACCAATGCCAATAATAGTAATATCAAAGGGGAGCAAGGATATTCAAATTCCTTGCTTAGACATATGTGAAAGCAAAATCAAATCAACATGTATTAATATAAAAAAACAAAAAGGAATCAGTAAATGGTCAATCTAAAGGGCCATTTGGTTTGCAAAATCTTTTTTTATGTTCTAGGAATTGTTACTTAAGAATCATTATTTTGAGATTGCTATAAATATGATTGTTATGCCAAAAAAGAATTTTAGACAATGTTTCATGCCATGAGTATGCAAAAAAAATTTCCACCTTCATAGAAATCATACATTCTCACCCCATCGCTAGGAAATGTCTGTCGGAAAACATGTACCGAACTTATAAATTTAAGCTACACGGGAAACTTGAAAGAACTCCCTTTTGTGTTGGGGGGGTGGTGAATAACTGGTACCGAGATGTTTGTTTTACATATTTACCCTGCTGCCACCCAGCCGAGGTGGAGGGATTATTGATCTTATATTAAACCAACCAACTAATATGCAAAATCCTTGACTATAATGAGTTAAAATGCTTAAAGTGCTCACCCCTTCAAATTCACTCCAAGGAGGTTTTCCTGTCAGCATTTCGATGATAGTACACCCTAAGCTCCATATATCAATGGCCATGGCAATGTCAGGATTGGATTCTTTCTTTATGGCAGCCTTCATGAGCTTCAACGAACAAATTACAGTAAAAGAAGGGCATGTCATTACTCATTACCCATCAAAAGTACCATAGATTATACATTTAATAAATTACCTCAGGAGCCATCCAGTAGGGACTGCCCTTCAATGAAAGTTCATATGATTTTTCTGTCAGCTGAAAGGAGCAGATTGTACAAATTACACGACCTCCAGAAAAAGAGATAAGAGAGGGGGGGGGGGGGGGACAAAACAAAAGATTGGCAAGCAAACTCTCTCTCTAGACACACATGCAAAAGCACACATTGATTATTACATAATTAAAAGTAAATAGAAGAAAATAACTTCAAAACTTACAATTTTTGATACCCCAAAATCTGCAAGCTTAACTATGCCTGATGCATCAACTAGCAAGTTTGCACCTTTGATATCCCTAAAAAGCAAAAATTCAGAGTAAAAAAAAATTCTTCCTGATCAAGAACAAATTCAATATGTTCTTCTTTATTTAAGAGTTATGATTTTAGCTAGAATAAGCTTTATCCTCAGATGCCAATAGATTGTTCACAAAATATAAAAAGTCATCAATCAGAGAAATACCTATGGATAGTCTTGGTACTATGTAAGTATGCCAATCCGGAGAGAATATGCCGTGTAAAATTGCGAACTACAGATTCTGTCATAGCTCCACAATGTTCATGCATAAACTTATGAAGTGATCCAGGATGAACATACTCCATATATATGTACAGTCGATCGCCAACCTGAAAACAAATGTTCCACAAATTCAATCTTAATTCACAGCCATAAAGATCCTTAAACTTTTCATTTCGTATAGTATAACTGGAACAAGAACCAACAATTAACTCACTATTTCACTGCCATAATACTGCACAATGTTGGGGTGGTGTAGTTGACGGAGAATCCTGATTTCCTGAAATAATGGACTATTCAGAACAACGGGCTAAACACCAACAAATTGGCAAATGTGAACAAACAATTATAGGGTACATAAGAAAAGATATCATGGAATGGAAAATAATAATAATAATGATAATCAAGTATTATTATTATTATCTACTAAAGAGAAATATGAACTGCAAATCAACACTGACAGCATAATTGACCAGTACAACAATTTGGCTTCTATAATTGGAAGCAAGTCTTAGTACTAAGAGGCTCTCCGTGAAAACCTCTCCTTGTTTGTGTGAAATGTACTAACAGGGTAATTGATTGATACCTCATGCATTTCAAGAAGTGGTAATGTGGTTAAATCCAACAGTAGAGCAATAGCAATATATGTAGCCAATCAAATTGTGCTATGGAGTTGGGTTGACCATGTTGTAAACATTTTTTTACTATGAGGAATGTTAACAATACATTCTCTAACACTTTTTGTTATTAGTTAAAATTAATAGAAAATTATAAAAGTATGAGAGAGAAATATAAAATTAATAGTAAAAAAGAGTGGGATCCATGTGGTTTTTATAGTTTTCAATATATTTTAGCCAATAACAAAAAGTGTATTAGAAAAAGTGTGTTAAAGATTGTGTTGCTAACATTCTTTTTTTCACTGTTAGCATAACATTGTTCTCTCTAATAGAGGTATTCTTAATTTAGAACATGATAAAATAAAAGACTTGAGCAAAGAACCTGCTCTAGTTGCTTAATGCAGTCAGCAGATTTAGGATCATCAGGGAACAGATCCACCTCTTTCATTGCACAAGAGGCGCCAGTCTCTCTGTGACACAAACAGGAACACAAGTGAGTAACTACTGAAAATGTAAACTGTAAAACAGATAACAGCCAATGAAAAGAAAAAAAAAAAGGAGTGCATACAAATTGGTCGCATGATAAACACTTCCATACGATCCACGTCCAATAAGTTTTCCTTTCTGCCATTGACCTTTCAAGGAAGGTGAGTTTTCTGTGGTGTGATGCACGATGACAGGTTGATGCTGTGAACATGACTGTGCAGGCAGTGAAGCTCTAGGAGGAAGAGGAAGCGGATGTGCATCGACATGATTACTTTCAGGCCACACTCTGGAGCAAAATTTATGGAGCTGAGACCCCTCTTGAATATTAGGATTAAGGTAAGGACTGTGCAGAGGAGACCGGTCTGGACTCTGAGTAGTTTTAGGCAGTGAAACTTTCAAAATATCATGAAAATCTTGAGGAAAATTGAGGGAAGGATCGTGTAAATCTACATTACTGGACCTACGTGGACTAGTAACAGGACTGGAGAATATACTGGTTGGGGCACTCTTAGCAGAAGAACGCAATCTCAAGTTGGAAATATTCTCAGAATCATTATCATGAGAAACCTCTTTGTGAACTTTACATGAACTAGTATTACCTGTATGAACGAGGAGACATAATAAAAAACATAGTAAAACCTAAATTTAATTGACAACAAGAACGCATAACTCACCCGCCAAGACTCTCGCGTGCGGAATATTCACTCTCAAATCATATTTGGCATTAGCAGTAGCCTGGTCAAACGACGGTCTTCCTAAATTGCTCGAAGATCGTAAACTTTTCACCGCATCATGATCCACCGACTTTCTGAAACGTAAAAATGAATTCACAAACGGATCAACACATGCTTGAATTGAAAATCAAAGGAAAAAACACAAGAGTTGGGTTTACCTGGGAAAAGCGAAGGGAGGGTGTTCGAACGGAGGAGATCCAAGATCAGGTCTGCGAGTCAACGGGGAATCGGGACGTGGAAGGGGTTGAGGAATAGCAGAGGAAGACCAGTGGTCTGAAGATTTAACGAAGGAGGGAAGAGGAGAAGCAGGTAAAGAAGAAGAGGTTGGATGTAACCCTAACCCAGCGTCTTGGTCGCTCATGTAACGAAGCCTTCTCTGTCTCGTAAGCCTGCGTTGCTGAATGGTAGGTGAAGGAGACGTTGGTTTGTTGGAGTTATTAGAATTAGAAAAACTCATTGGAGATGTTGCAGTGTTCATTGCTGGTTATTGAACTTGAAGTCGTCATGTGAGAGTGGTGCTTTCTTTGTTTTTTGGTAATTGGTGTGGCATGGAAAGTGGCAGCGAGCACCAGAGGAAGGAAACACCTACGTTGTTTCTTACCTTTGCTCGCTGTTTTTTCCAATTCAAATTGCCTCTTGGGTTGAATAGCCAATATTTTGGTTTTCATGGTCAGCACTTCTGACTTTGGATTTAATTTAATTCAATTTAATTCAATTCAATTCAATTCAAGGAAATTGGAGGAGAGAGCAACGCTGGTGAGTCTTGCCTCTTGACTTGGGCTTCTCAGGTCTAAACTCAAACCTAACATCTACTCCACCTATTCACCTTATCTCAATATATTTTGATTTAATACTTTTAATTTTATTGTCTTTACTTGTACATATTCATTCAAGTAAGTACATCTTGCAGCCTAATTATTTTGGTATTGATAACAGGAATTAAAATTTATATTTTTAAAATTGTAAATATTAAAAGTTAAACTTTGGAATTAAAGTTGAAGCAATTTTTAAGACAAAGGTGTACCAAGTTAAGATTATAAAACACGTGACGTAACCCACGGAAGAAGAAGAAGGAATAGAAAAGCACGATGAGGATAAAGTAAAAGAAAAATGAATAGAAATGTTACCCACATACAGAAATACTGAAATTGTCAGAGGACCGGGTTGACATTTCCGCCTACAATGCGTTCCTGACAGCTTGAAGTGTTTTCAACTTTTTTAGTATGTATTCAAACATGTTTATTTATATTAATTTTATTATAAAATATTTTATTTAATTTTTGCAAATGTGTGTCTATCATATTCTTTTTTGTATTTTTAACTTTAAAAATCATGTTTTCTTCACAGTTTATATCACTGTTTAAGCGAGACTGGATTGAAGCGAGAGGCTCCATTTTGTTTCTTCTACATTTGCAACATCTGTTGGTCGAAACACAATATTTTATTTTATTTTTTGCTTTGATGAAATTTCTTCCATCAATTGATCAAGTTTTATCTATTCTATTACTTGATGTTTTTCATTTCTATTCCGTTAAACCGTTTAACATTATTAAAAGTATATTAATATTATAAAATAAATGTAGTTGTGGAAACATACTAACTGTCTAAAAAAAAACGAGAACCAATCCACTTATTTCACAAACAAGTGTTGTTAATTTACTCTTTTAATAATTGTTTACATGAAATTTTCATTAATCTAATTATTAAATTATGTAATATTATCTTTATAACAATGCATAACAAATTTTAAATAAATTAAACAATTATAAAATTATAGTATTATAACTAACATCAGTTTATATTTTAAAGATTATATTATACGTTAAAATAAATTTTTTTAATAAAATTTATTTTTTGTAAAATTATCTATTTATTAATAATTTAAAAATAAATTATTAAACTAAATAAATTTATTATATATAAAAAATTATTAAGAAAAATAAGTTAGTCAATAATTATCATTAAAGTTGTTACAACATAATTATATATGCTATTTAAAAAATATGTTGTGTTTGTCATTCATTATTTTCTTAATTGTTTATTCTTTTTAGGTCTATATCATGTGTATTCTTGATAAGAGTTAAATTTATCTGAGTTGAAAACTTTCACAACATAATAAAAGTCAACTCTCCCAATATTTTTATTTTTTTTTATAATTATGTTACGATTTTATTAAAACTTTTATACATTAACATGTTCAGCATTATTAAATAGGTTAATAAAATAGAAAATGAAGAAAGTAAGTTAATGAGTTAATCAATAGAACCAAATGACATCAGATATTAAATAAAATAAAATATCATCTTTAATAACTTCATTATTAAAAGTTAATTTTATTAATCTAACTCTTAAATTTTTTAATGTTATACTGAGGACTACACACAGGCACACGCAATTTGTATAAAATTTTGTATACTTGATTTATTTTGTAAACATATTGAGTTAAATAATTAATTTTATTAATTTTATTTTTAATAAAAAATTGTCACAGGTGTTATTGTCTTAAGTTTGACACCTTTTTCACCTGATTCTGATATTTATTTTAAGAAAATCAAATATTGTTTAAATTTTTATAAAATTTTACAAATTTAAACTACTCTTAAAATGATGGTTGGATTCATAAATTTCAATATGTATAAATTAAGCATAATAAATTAACCAAAGCCTCCTCTTAAAATAAGTGAATCGATCAAATATTAACACGAATAATCAAAACAATGTACAGTTATAATTCAACTATTAGATTTATAAAAATTGCATCCTATTAACAATTTAACTATTGATATTATATTTTAAAATATTTCCGTTTAAATTCAATAATGAATTCATTAAAAAATTTGATAAATACGAGAGGGGGAGAGACCGACCAAGTAAAAAGATTGATTGGTAAGGTGGAAAACCAGATAATGTGCAAACGAGAAGCGGAGAGAACGCATTAACACTAACAGATCGCAAATTTTTCCTGATGTCAAGTCACACTGTTAATTTCAATACCCCTTTCCTATCCATTAAAGTATGAATATTTGAAAATTCGCAGCACCCCTCGAACACGTAACTACATAAGTGATAACTAATAACTTTCAGCAACTAAAAATATAAAAACGCCGGTCCATAAATATGTACTCTCTCCACCCCTAATTCACGAGTCAAATGGTAACAAATTGCGGACCCATAAGAAAAACAAGATAGCAGAATAAAAATGGTTCACGTTTTGCTACCAATGTTGTCCAGTGTATGGGAGCTATTATCAAACAGCAACAGGATTGAGAAGCTGCCCAATAAAGAGTACTGTTCCAGTTACGTCTTCTCTGATGAGGAACAAGAACGGATGATCAGCAACAAAGTCTATTTCAGTCATAATTGACGCACTCCTCAATCGCACAGTTGCAGCGGTGGCCGCTGCTGCTTCAGTGCCCTCTTCATTTACTTGAACAAAAGTTTTGTGGAAAACGTTGGAAACGTATAGGTTTCGTCCCACAGGAGAGTCCACCATTTTTGTCAAATATCCACCAGCGAAAGGCAGAACCACTCCCAGCTCTTTCAGCACATTAGATGCTTCAAACCCAAAAGAAATATTGAATCTTGGGATCCTGAAATCTCCTACTTTCACTTTTTGATGAGGAAGCTTGCGTTCCATGAACCCAGATTCAGAAGCCAACTTCTCAGCCAAAGCTGACAACCCATCTTTTTCATCTGGAAGAAAAATGTACATAGAGAATTGACGCTTATCTTGGCCTTGTTTATAGGGAAGGCCAAGGACTTTGAAACCATCAAAAGCCCTAACGAACTGCTCCTTCTTGCTTGTCATGAAGGGAACCTTGACTAAGCTGCCATTAAGAAGGTGAAAATCGTAGTCTTTAGTTGTTGAAGCATCAAACTTCTCATTCCATGCTCCTTTAAAGTACAGTGCATTTGCAAAGATGAGCCTGGTTGAACTGTCCACTGATCCAGCAGGAAGAAGCTCTTTAACGAGGCCATTTGTCTCTTTTTCAGACCATGAATTAACTTCATTGGTCACTTCAACAGCCTTAAAACCATCACCGCATTTAAAATCAAATGCGTAAATATCTCAGTTGATCTTTTTTTTGGGTAAGCATTTTAAGAAGAATTTAACTTTCTGCTAATCTTATTTTAGCATATTTATGTTAACAAATTAGTTAGACACAGTACAGATCAAGTATGGGAAGAGTTACAAAATAGACCATCTAGTTGCCAAGAAACTCAACACTTATGCTGTTCTAAACCATTTCAGTGGTATGTTAAAGGGATCTGGGGAGTCACTAAAGGATATGCCACCAAGAGCCAGAGCCTAGAAGCTTACTGTGGCAAGGTAGTACTGCACTTGTTTGGTATCTCATTTACACTCTTTTTTCACTTGATGACACACTCAAAAAGAAAAGATTAACAGGACTAGCCTAACATTTGAACAACGTATGGTATCCATCAATGCTTGGATCATTATTAAATTGGTGATGACTTCAAAGATGAAGTTCGGTGAGGGGTGGGGCGGTCCACGAAGGAGACGAAATAATACATCAAGTGGAAGATTTATTTTACATTTTTCAAAATTGCGTCTAAATTAGACGGTTATCTGTTAGGAAAATTTAATTGTTTGTATGAAATAAATAACATTTGTTCTAAATTAGGTTAAGAAGTAAAAAAAAATAAAAATGCATATATGTGAAGGTAAATTAATAGCTAACAAAACAGGGCAAGGAAGGATTGTGATGAAAAAGATGGAGAGTTATTTACCTTGGTCTGGAAATCAACGGAAGCCAGAGTGGCCTTATAATCAGTTTCGACAAGTTGTTTGAAGGAAGGGTGAAGAGAAAGAGTCTGTTCAATCCACACGCCATCTGCGAAAGAGAGGCGAGGCCCGCCGGCGGGAGCACCGTCGGAGAGGACGACGGAGACGAGCTGAGAGGCGAAGGAGTTGAGATGGTCTGTGGATTGAGATCGGAGAAAGGAGAGAAGTTGATTGAGTGTAGGACCCTCAGAGCCAGCAGCGACGATGCTGAGCACAACATGGAGCGACAGGGGCGAAAATACGAGGTTCTTGTCGGAACCTTCTTTCGAGAACAAGAGTTTGGCTATGCTCAGAGAAACGTCGGTTTGGTTGCTGATTGATTCACGGAGATCCATTGTTGTTTCGATTTCCAAACACACTCAAGAGTCGACGCCCGAATTTAATTCAGGACAACCGTGTCGCGCTCCCACTTTGACATTTCTCACTCTCTGCCTACGTGGCCACGCCGATGCTTCGGGATTAAGTTTGGAATTTGGAGCTTTTTGTTATTGAATTTGGAGTTTAGAAACTTTTTAGCCCGTTTTTTGGGGTCGTGTGGCTGATCTTGTCCAATAAAAAAACCAAGCCCATGAACTAAAAGCTTACCCATTACTGAGATCCTCTGTTCCTCAATGTTGTCTTCTCCTGGGCCAATCTTAAGAGATGCTTTTTGCTGCTTCTTTTTTTAACACGTTATTAATATTTTTTGTATTTTTTAATTCTTTTAATAATAATTTAATTTTTTATTTTTATTGAATAGTTTTTTTTTCTTCTTTAAAAATTCACTCTTTGTCTCTTCTAACATTTCAATTTTTACTTTCAACTTTTTCAAGTTTCATTGCTGATTTTAAGCATGTTACACTTTAAATATGTCAATTGTTTTCAATACATTATATAATAACTAGTTTATCGTAAAGAAAAAAGTTTTTTATTTAGTTTCGTTAACTATGTTAATACTCTTTCATTTCAAAAATAATTTTCATATATTTTTATAAATAAATTTTTGAAATTAAATTTTATACTTCTAAAAATTAATTTTCAGAATTATTAACCATTTTCAAAAAAAAGTTTTATAATTAAAATTTTACACTCCCAAAAATTAATTATTGAAACTATAAAATCTTAATTATGAAAACTTATTTCTTGAAGTGTAAAATTATAAATTTGAAATTTTATTTTGGGAAATTTAATTTTTAAATGAAAAATATAATTTAAAATAATTATTTAAGAAAATCCTTTTATTATTATAAAGAGTATTTAAACAAAAATTGAATAGAGGTACAAGAAAAGTACAAAAATAACCCCAACAATCTTCTGTGTGAGACAGGTCAATATACTTTGAAGAAAAAGAAAAAAAAGATGAAGTTGAGTATAGTATCGACCAAGAAAAAAAAGGTATCTTCCAACTTCTTCAATTTTCTCTATTAAAATCGGATAGTTGGATAAAATAAGTTAAAACCCTGAATGGACAACAAAACCTGGGTTTGGAAGAAGGGAAGAACGAAATCAAATTCTCAATCAGACAAATTTCATAATTTTTAAATCAAATCTCGTACGACTAAACTTGATTGAGGAATGATCTAATATTCTAATGGCGATAAAGGACCCTTTTTTTCGGTACATTAAGTTAGTTTCTTTTGCCGCTGCTTTTGCAAATCCTTTACCAAATGGATCCCACTCTCCATACTTATATGCTTGTGGCTGGAGAAGATAGTGTTCCGCCTTCACATGACGACTTTTGGGTTAAGTCATAAATTGTGTAGTGGCAGATAATAATAATAATAATAATAATATCTTAAAGTTATATATTTATTATTTTATATAAAGGTTTTTTTCATTAATTTATTTGGAGAGATGGGTTTATTTTTGTATTTAAAGAGTTTCAATGAAAAAAAATGTTTTAAAGGTAAAATAGAATTTTAAAGTGATTACATAAGCTTTTAAAAATATTATATTAAGTCAACAAGTTAGATTTAAATTTTAAATTTAAAAAATAAATTACAATTATTTAAAATTAGTCTAACCTTACTTCTAGTTTTTATCCGTATTAATATATTATAATTTTAATTTTTTTTATTTAATTTAGATTTGATTTGAATCATACACTCGAATGTACTGAATTAGTTTATTACTAAAAATATTTTATATATACATAGACTTAAATTCAAAATTTTAGTTAAGCCACTTGAATTATTTTAATTTTTTAGTCTGATACAGCTGTCCTCCTTCTTAACATGAGATATTCATCGATTATGATACTTGCGAATTGAAATTTGGTGTAAATTTAAAGGTAAACATTTAGTGGTAGAAGCCCTCTCTCTCTCTTGAATGTAGGTGGTATACACATCAGTTTATTAAATAATTCTCATATGGAGTCAAGAACTTTCTAACCATTTTATAACAATACACGAGACTTGTTAGTTGTTATTCTGGAATCAATTTTGTAAAGGTAGCCCAACACTACAATTTTTCGCCAATCGCAACCTTGCGAGTACCTCGGGCTTTTTCACGTACTACGTGTCGTTTGTAAGTATCACAAACAAGAGACTAGAAAGATGCTCCTCAAAGTTTGCTTACTTACGCAAGTGGCTGGAAATTCATTCGTCATGTGATGGAAAAGTGGTGTCCTATTAAGTGCGTGGTTAGTAATATACGCGTTGCTATTTGGCTATATTTGTTTAGGTATTCCATAATAAATCATCAAGTACTTTTTAAGATATTTGGAATTAGAAAGGGTTTGTCACTCAACTTGTTACTAAATATTTAGTTATTAGAAAGTGTCGAGCTAGATGCTGACAAAGATGCTGATAAGCAGAAACGATGAAGGACGCATACGAAGTTAGTGTTTGGAGCAAACGTTCAAGATGACAAGCAATTCAAATTTTAAAATACTGTGGAAACTTTGTATCTACCTTTAAACAAACCCTACCCACATATTTAGCAATATTATCTTCCAAGGGAAACCAAAGGAAAAATGAATATACATTAATATGTATTATGTGAAATATATTAATTTAATATATAAAAAATTATCACAATTATTAATTATAGAAACAATTGTGTTTTAAAATATTATGTGACATCAGACATTGTTAAGACAAATTAAAGCATTATAATATTTATAGAGTTCAGTTTTTTTTTATTTCAATCATCTATCAAACAGGCATTTAACTATGATAACCGTACTTTTTCTTCTGTAATTAGGATAAAGAAATATATAATAAATTCATATTAAATAACCATGTAAATCTTTGTCATACGATAATGTGCTGATTACTAATTAATTTATTTCTTCGGCCTGAGTAAACACCATTTGTGTATTGTTTCAAGCTACAATAAACACGTTCTACTGTCCCTGTGATAGGCCACAGTTGCTTATACTGCGGATCTCAACTTGTTCGTTAAAACCTTTGTCTTAATTAACTCGAATTGATTCACGCAATAAAACAATAGGCTTACGTTGGTTGGATGTGGAATATGTTGAGCTGTGATGCTGGTTTAATTGTTAACACATTTATTTCTATTGCTAATTCCCACGGACATGCAAATACTGTAGTTGAGATACATATTTTGTAGTTATGACAATAATCACACCACGTCCTTATATTATATACAAATTTAATGATGCTTTTAAATTGACACACACATATATAAGAGGATTTGTTAATACATTTCTATATTTTAGAAGAGTATAAAAATAAATTGTAATTAATTCTATTATTATATTTTTAAGTATATAACTTGTAAATATATTTTTTAAATAAAATAAGTGAGAGGATAGTAATATTTATGGTTGTTAACATATTACTATTTATTGTAAAAATATATGTCGCTCAGTAAATTAGGCATTTATACGCATAATTTTATTATTGATATTTTTAAATATATTGTAATTTAGAGTAAAATTATATAACGAAGCATTAAAATAGTTTTAAAATTATATAAAATTTTATAAATTTAATTTACAAGTGTTTAATTTAACAGTTAATTTGTTAAATTATATATATGTTGGGCCTAGCCTAGCCCTTACCGGTTAAGTGCATAGCACGTAATGGAGTTCAATCATTGCACGCAGCATTTGTTACAAATAGTTTTGAAGTTTAATGCATGTGTATCGGATAGGGTGGTAAATTAAATTAAAATTAAAATTAAAATTATTAAATAAAATTAAAATTTACATATTTTAATATTTTTAATTAATAACTAAAAAATAATAATTAATTTTTTACTACCATTTTTCAATAACATAATATTATAGTCATTTGTGACTACTGTTATTGAATGATGGCTGTCTTCATTTTAAGAATAAGCCAAACTGCTAATCTAACCAAAATCATAAATTTCTGAATCCAAATTCAAGTTCTATTGTTGAGATGAACTGAAAATTTATCAGAGTTAATCTTGTTAACATGTGTTTCGATTTAATGCCTTTCATTTTCTAAGTAAATATTTAAATACAGAAAATAAAATTAAAATAATGTGGTTTTTTAAAATAAAATATAAAAATTTTAAAATTAAAAAAAATGTTAGCAACATACCCTTTTTAACACCTTCAAAACTAAATTATATTCCAAATTATAAAAATTATATAAATCTAATTCTTTTTTACTTTTATATTAATATTTTTTAAAAAACATTACACACAATCATATAGAGATATTATATTACATACGATCTAAAACTTTAAAATATTAAATTATAGGTGTCAGCTTGTTTCTTTTTATTTTAACCAAGATTTCTTTGCTTCTACTTGCTATTTCATAACAAACAAAATTTGAAGAATCTTTAATAATATTAGGAAAAATTATACAAAAGGAGTGGGAGCATAAGCAGCATCAAACAACAGAAGAGGCAAAAACAAAATCCAAACAGAAACGAAAATGTACACTCTAGCCATAATGTACAAAAGAGCAAAACGCTAACCTCAAATATAAAACGGAATTGACCCTTAGCATAGTTGCTGTCGGGCGAAGTTCTAATTGCAGAAAAAAGAGGTTTTTTAGTTTATGCTTCTGCATGAAGTGAACTATAGACTATGCGAAATGATGCCTTAATTATAAATGATATCAATAAACAAATCATTAACCTCTAAATCTTCTAAAACATTGACCTTCAAATGTAAGTACCCGTTATATTCAAATTTCAATGATTACCTAATTTGATTTTTGAAGAAAGTAAATGTATAAGAGACCGGTTAAAGAAACAAAATTATAAAGTTATTATTAAAAGATATTATTAATATATTTCTTTCCTAATTTTTTATGCTTCTAAACATAAATAAACAGTATAGAGACTCTTTTGTTTATAGACCTAGTAACTCTAGTTTAAAAATTATTTTTAACTTATAAAAAACATTTATTCATTATATATATATTTTAATTTATCCACAAGTTCATTCAAACATATCACAGTTTTTTTTGTCACCCTTAGTTTTTTTTTGCTGTAGGATTAATCTCCCACTACTTTGTAGTCTCAACAACAACGTTGCAACTATAAGATACTAAGATTATTTTGTTAAACCAAAGTCATGCGTGTTGCCAAATTAGAAATACGGCTATTACAGCATTCGGACGAGGAGACTTGTTTATCGTGGTTGCATAATAATCCTTAGCACAATTTTTTATTCTTGTCAGATTCATAAAAATTGGTTTTTTTTTTGGTCAAATTAGGAATTGACTCACAACTATGTATTGTAAGTTTGGAAGCCATTGCCAGATATCAGGATGGAACTCCAAAATTTTCCCAACAAGGTCCATACAGGTATATACGCATTGATACATCATACATGCATGAACAAAGTAGTTCAGAGATGCCAATCAATTCCATTAACTAACGTGGTATTCAACTGTATCAGCATTTAATTAATTCGTTCAAGTCATAAAAAAATAATTAAGTCAATTAATATGTTCAAATCATCCGCATTATGGGGTTGGGTAGGAGAACAGGAATAGAGCTAAGCTTACAAAATGTGACCAAAATTATTTTTCTAATGCCAAGTTGACATTCGATTTTCTTATGGCTTACTTCAACTGCAACTTGGTTCCTATAAATTTATGTTGAATGAACCACTAATTCCTTAAGAAGCGGGAGTTTCTGTCCTTCGTATCAAAGAAGGCACTAACAATGGTAATTAATCCTCTCGTTTTTCTTACATGACATTTTTTAATGTTATTCTAATTAGACCAATCATGTTCTACAAAGGTTTCCTTAATCAAGCTCAATACCACTTGTCCTTAGTGATCATGATTCTTGAACCTCCATATTTAAGTTTAACCTCGCGCATTTAGTGTCATATTTTGGTTTATTGAATTTTGTTTGATCACTCACCAGGGAATCTGCAGAAACATGGATACACAACCTAGGCTACAAAGAAGGCTAGGAGGAAGCAGAGCTGTACTTTTTGTATATGGTAACAGCATGCAAAAACCTAACTCCATGTACCCTTTTATGTGTGGAGGTACTTATTTTGTGTTTCTCTGATAAATTGAAATTAAAAATTGTGCATGCAGCTATGGAAGGGCTAGAGAACATGGCTTTTGTTGCCAATGCAGTGAGCCTGGTAACTTACTTCTTTGGGTACATGAACTTCAACTTAACAAAATCCGCCACAACCCTCACCAACTTTATGGGAACTGCATTTTTACTAGCACTTGTTGGAGGATTAATCAGTGATACCTATCTTTCTAGGTTCAAGACGTGTGTTATGTTTGCTTGCATGGAATTGCTGGTAAGTTGAACTAATTTCTCTCACAAGTGCATTGCCCATCAAAGATCGAAAAAAAGAGAACCCTTTCAGCATCGTTAAATAGTTGTGATTAAAACGATTAGGGAAGAATCATATGAATAATAATAAGCATCTCTTAAATCTTGTTGAACACTTTAGATTAGAACCTCATAACCATAGTGCTCAATTATTGAAGCACAGCTTGTTCCTTGACTAGCATGTTTTTCGGTAAACACCAACCAACAACCAATAATATGGCGATGGGCACGTCCCAAAATTTTATTAGAAAGTTTAGCGCCATCTGAAGAGCAGGATGCCGACACCAAAAGACATCAATTATTACAACAAAAATGCTATTTTAATTGAGGTCAACATCGTACTTTATCGTTAGTGAAAATCCAAAGAGACCATTTTACCCGGAAACTTTTTTCTTTTCCCTTTTATCAGAAATATAAAAATTTTAAAGTTTTCCACTGGTTTAGTTCTTAAGTATGTAATACATGGGAAAAAAAAACCTTATAAAATTAAATTTAAGATAATTTATACCTAAATTCAAACATACTCTTAAGTTTCCTTGTCCCAACTTAATAATCCATCGATCGTTCATCAAATTTCAAGGAGAATGTTCACGCAAACATTCCTGATTCTTTCACGTCAAATTTTTACATTTATCTTATTTTTTCTCTATTTCTTTCTCCCAAGATGTATTCGAGAAATGTTAAAAAAAAAAAAAAAACATTATATCAAGAAAGGGCAAAAGGATAACATGAATGACCAAAAATCTTAGGAGACAACTGTAATTTATCTTCTTTATTTTTAAGATGTGTGTATATTTTAAAAAATTATATACAATATTACGTACAATACTACTATGTTAATTATTTAAACAACAGAATTTATCAATGAATAAGTCCAACCCATCTATACTTGGGAGGAGGAATAGAATCCTTTAGAACTAATTATTTTAATTGTAGGGATATGGAATTCTCACAGTTCAAGCACGTTTCCACCAATTAAGACCCATTCCATGCAAAGATTTAGCACCAACCCAAATGAGCCAATGTAAGGCTGCCGAAGGTGGCCAGGCTGCAGTGCTTTATATTGGTTTATATCTTGTTGCATTAGGAACCGGTGGTATTAAGGCAGCTTTACCAGCATTGGGTGCTGACCAGTTTGATGATAAAGATCCCAAGGAAGCAGCTCAACTATCAAGCTTTTTCAACTGGTTCTTGTTCAGCCTTACCATGGGATCCATAGTTGGTGTTACTTTCCTTGTTTGGATTGGTGCCAACCTAGGATGGGATTGGAGTTTCACTGTATGCACTTTAATAGTTATATTTGCAATTTTGTTCATATGCATGGGCAAGTCATTGTACCGAAACAATATCCCAAAGGGAAGCCCTCTAATTCGAATCATACAGGTAAATAAAGTTATTTTCATTTATTTTTATGCTCACTTATATATTTTAACATGTTCTTGTATTTTGAAAGTAAATTTTTTGACACTTGTCGGACTACTATATTTACTTCGTTGTACTATCAGGTGTTGGTTGCAGCTTTCAGAAACCGAAAACTTGAAATTCCAGAGAATGCAGACCAACTACACGAGATTCATGAAAAAGAAAGAGGGGACAACCATGAAATCCTTAAGAGGACAGATCAGTTCAGGTTATAAGATAGGACAGATCAACATTTTGAGCATCTAAAAATTATAATTTTTATTAAAAATTATATAAATATAAAATTACGATTTTATTATGCTCAACTTTAAAAGTTGAGTTGAAGTATTAAAAAAGAAATATTTATTACACTTATGTATCATCAGTATAATAAATATTTTTAATAAAAAAATTATTATTTTAAGAGATTTAAACTTAGTGTAGAGACTGAGGTTCATAAAATTGTAATGTATGGTGCTCTAACTCTAATGTCCAGTAATCTTTGATTAGAAATAAATGTTGATTTGTTCCTCATTTGGTGTTCTTCGAAAAATGGTTAATTTCCCAGATTCTTGGACCGGGCAGCAATTGCTAGAAGCGGCGCAGGTGCTGAAGCAACATCAGGACCTTGGAGTCTCTGCACAGTAACACAAGTAGAAGAAACCAAGATCCTAATCCGCATGCTACCAATAATATTTAGCACCATATTTATGAACACATGTTTGGCTCAACTTCAGACTTTCTCTATTCAACAAAGCACCACCATGAACACCACAATCCTGGGGTTCAAAATGCCAGGACCCTCTCTCCCTGTCATCCCTCTATTGTTCATGTTTGTCCTAATACCTTTATACGACCGTTTATTTGTCCCACTTGCTCGAAGAATCACAGGGATTCCCACTGGAATTCGACACCTTCAGAGGATTGGAATTGGGTTGGTTCTCTCAGCTATTTCGATGGCAGTTGCTGGTTTTGTGGAGACACGCCGCAAGTCTGTGGCCATCCAACACAACATGGTAGATACCACACAACCTTTGCCAATAAGTGTGTTCTGGCTGGGTTACCAATATGCTATTTTTGGAGCTGCAGACATGTTTACCCTCATTGGCCTTCTCGAGTTTTTCTATGCAGAAAGTTCAGCTGGAATGAAGTCACTTGGCACAGCAATTTCTTGGAGTTCTGTGGCATTCGGTTACTTTACAAGCACAGTGGTAGTTGAGGTGGTTAACAAAGTTAGTGGTGGGTGGCTGGCAAGCAATAACTTGAATAGAGACAAGCTCAATTACTTTTACTGGTTACTGTCCGTGATAAGTGTAGTCAACTTTGGCTTTTACTTGGTTTGTTCTTCTTGGTATAGATACAAAACAGTGGAAGACAAGCATGGTGATTCAAAAGACAATGTTGATATCCCCAAGGTTTAGATTATTAGGCCTACAAGACGTTCACTGTAACTTTTACGTTACTGTTCCACTATGTACAAGCTAGCTAAATCTGCATAAATAGAAAAAAGGGTTATTATTATTATAATAATATGGCGGAAACGGTAGTTATCTTCTGTTCTAATTCTAATTTCTAAATTTTTTTTCCTTCTGCTGTGAAACAACCAACAGAGATCATTTGCAGAACAGTGCTGACCGGAAGCAACTTGTCAGCGGCTCAAGAAACTCTGTTAGAATCGCTATGATTGATTGTTATGGTGACAAGGTCGCATGATAAATCAAATGCAATGCTTGGATAGGATAGGAGAGCTTGACCATGAAACAGTTATTATTGATTTGTTTGTTTTACGGATATCAGTTTAAACCTAATTAAACTAAAAACATGGCTGGTCAATTTTATGCACAAAACAAGCACGAACAATTACGATTGATTGCAATAGGTTAAGTTCGGGCTCCATAAAGCTTAAAAATAAACCGAAGCTTGGTCCAGTAGGATTGAGGCAAATAATAATAATAATAAATAAATAAATATATTAAATAAATAACAAAGATTAATGCTGGTCGTATCAAATCTGGAAATAAAAATGAAGGATTGAAAAACGAATTCGGGTTTGTGACTTTGTCTAAAATGTTCTCACCATAACACGTTTTGAGATGCTTCAGTATCGATAAAACCTTTATCTTATTAGATGACATCGGCAAATGATTCATGTTATTAGACTGAGATGTAATTTACCATCCTCACTTGTGCTTCTAAGTGATTTTCTTTTACTTGGGGCCAATATACTGCAATAGATTTTCTATCATCTTCCCTTTGCCAAGAGTTACTCCAATATCCCATCAAATATAATCGTTTTGTATCTTATCCTTTGTATGGATACATTCATTTTATCATTCTTATTTTTCCTATATCTTATCGTTCTTATTCTTCCTATTTCTACTTTTTCCCATACACTGACTCTCAAACATTCACTACCATAAAAGATATGTAATCACATCAATTCCATAAAATTTTCCTTTAATCAGATCAATTTTATGTATGATTAAGTGGCATTACAGAGTCAAATTAGGAGGCTGTTGGCCAAAATAAGAAAAAAAGACTGAAAAGAAAGTGCGAAAATGCATTCTTGATTTTTAGAATTGGCAACCATAATCGTGCCCATACAATTTCATGCATGACTGAATGGCATTACAGATTCAAATTGGGAGGAGGCTTTATCATGGAACTTACAGGAAGTCAAGTAGCTCCTTATCAAAGCTTTCCACCAGTTTCTATCATTCAGACACTTGCATATATGAAAGGATACAAAGCAAAAACAATCATGGTGTTTCATTTTTTGGGGTAATATCATCATGTTTCTTCAATTCTTTTTTGTTTTTGCCCCGAACTTTGGCAAGAGAATACATCTCAGGAAAGCATTAAAGAACGCATAATGAATGTATTATTAGGTCATTGACAAATGCGCATCAATGAATAAGATATTCATCCCAAACTGTATTCAAGATAAGCTGGCTCTTCTTGGAGAATCGTTGAATATCAACTCTCCCGGGCCAAAATGAGAGAAGCCATCGATTTAGAACGTATGAAAATATCTCAAACCCTTCATCGCGAAGCAGTGGGAATCATGTCAAGAAATTGCCACAGGACTGTTTCCAGATGGGAGTTTACGAGGGGTATCAATGTCAGATACCTTGGATGGAGGCCAGTACCGAAACATGGATCTACCAACAATGTTCTCAATTGGGAGGGGACCCCTGATAGACACAAAAAAAGTAAAACGGTTCAGTCACACATCATAATTCAAATGTACATATACAAATATATATTTGGAACTTCAGAGATCTGATAGTAGCAAGTTTACGTAAGCTATAGATGTTTTGAGAAGAACAGCATCAACAAATGGGCCGAAATCTGTCTTCGACCTAGAGCAAATATCCTCCAACAGAAACAGAGAAAAGTCATCAGTAGGACTGAAAAATTACCAGTTATGAGAATCAAAGCTGTTATTACGATTGTCTCCCATTACAAAAACATATCCTTCGGGCACAACCTGCAACAAGAAAACAAAATTACCATTAACCCTGTTGCCAAGCCCCACCCCAAAATCAAATAACAAAACACCATTAACACGGCAAATTATAAACATTACCACTGGATCCATCTCATATGCAAGAGGCTCTAAAACAAATTCCTCTTCTTCACCAGCACCATTCACTAGTAGTTTCCCACCACGAACCTACCACAAACCAAAACAAATATAAGCTGAAAAGATCAAGGCACAACACATTGAAAGAGATCAATTAATCACTCAAAAAAAAATAAGTAAATAACTTACTTCAACAGTGTCCCCAGCCTTAGCTACAATCCTTTTAATAAAAACATCAGATGAACTAAAACCAAATTCCTACACAAGAAAAACGAATCAATGAACATCACAAATTCATCATCACCTTAACATTTAACGAGAAGAAAGGCCTTCGAAAGATACCTGCAAACTAGGAGGCGCTTTAAAAATCACAATATCAGAAACATCAGGCTTTCTAAAGAAGAAAGAAACCTGTTACACCATCAACAATCTTAATCAGTTAAAAAGTGTGAAATGTCTCACATAAGAAAACGAAAACTGCATACAACTAGTAACTAACCTTCTCCGTTAGAACACGGTCACCCACTTCAAGAGTAGGGTACATAGAAGCAGAGGGAATGGATCTAGGTTCAGCCAAGAAAGACTTGAATAGCAAACTAACGGTAACAGCGGTGAACGCAGCTTTCGCATCTTCGGAACAAACGTTCATCAACCGCGAAAGCCAACTAGTCTTCTCAAAATCATTGGGGTTGAAATTCGGTTCCACACTCGCAACAACGCGGCGCGTGCCTCCTTTGTCCACCTCCCACGTGGTAGGGTCAGGAATGGACTCGTTGCAAGGAAGCCACTTCGAACCCTGCAAAAAGGGCATGATGGAAGTTGTTTTGAAGGGCGAAATACCCAAAATACCCATAGCCGCCGCGGATGACCCAGAAACGCCAACCGTTGACTTCATCAACGAAATCAAGCCCAAGATGATCGGGTTCTTGCAGCCGTCGCCGATAATATCTCCGGTGAGGGTGGAGTAGGCGCAAGCAGAGGTGTTGGGCCAGCAATTGGGCTTGGGCTTTCTGAGATCGGAATGGAAACTGCGGACTCCGCCGGCGGAGGAATCTAAGTCGTGTTTCTGGTTAATTCCGAAGATGCGAGAGCGGATCCAGCATTCTTGGACGCAACGAGAATTGGCGACCCGGACGCCGGCGGAGGAAACGAGATTTTGGGCGACATAGCCGGAGAAGGAAAAGGTTACACGAATTGCCATAACAACGAAATTGAATAGTCGGAGGAAGAAAAGGTACAGTGTGGTGTCGGGGAGGGAGGTTGGGGAGTGGGGAAACCCTAGCAAGCGATAAGATGCATTTTGAAAGAAGGAATCAGTGAGACGAAAGCGGAAAAGTCGAATTGAAGAGTGGAGAGGTGGGGAAGGGAGGGAATCGCCGGCGATGCGACCCCCTGAACGCCGGAAGAAGGAGTTGAATGTAAGGGTGATTTGGTTTGGTTCGGTTGGGAGAGGGAAGAAGCTTGAGAAAGAAGAAAAATGAAAAAGAAGCAGAGAAAGAGGGTTTTAATATATGGCGGCTTCCACTCTTTGCTTTTAATCATCGGATTCGGACTTGTTTCATTATCGATTTACGATTTTGCCTGTAGTTGACTCAAGATAGTAAATCGATAAAGTGAAAACAAAAAACACATTTTTTTTTTTATTTTGAATTTCAAAATTCTTTCTTTTTTATTTTTTATTTTGATTATAATTTTTATTTTATTTTTTAAATTTTGTAAAAAAATAAAAAATTATTTTCAGTGTTTTATCTATTATTTTTTTAAAAAAATAAAAAAAAATACTTCATAAAACTAAACAACTCCTAACATTTTGCACTTTGAATTTAAATTAAATATTTTTTAATGTTGTATAAAAAATTATATGATAAAAATAACAAATATTAAACTTAATTGAAAATTTTTAATATTTTATTTTATTAATATAATGATTATTATAATATTTTACTATTTTAATAAAAAAATTTAAATATAAATTTTTATTGTGTATTTTCAAAATTTGTAAATTAAAAAATAAAAATAATTAAATTAAAATCTATGAAAAATAAAATCTCAATATTTTCACTTTACATGTTTTTTCCTTTAAATCAATCGAAATTTCGTATAATATATACGTGATAAACTAGTTAAAAGACTATATGTTAAATGAGTTAAAATTTTTAATTGAATTAAAATTAGTCATATAAAATGATTACAGGATATATATAATATTATATTATATTAATATTAAAATAAAAATAAAAATATTATTTTTTATTTATTTATGTATTTTTAATAATTTAATTAATTAAATATTTAATGTCATCCATTTATATGAATGTAAATTATTAAAAATAAAAAATGAAATGAAGTATTAGCAGGTAACCTTCAATAAGATAAATGATATATAAGTTTTTTTAATTCACAGTACAAATTGATCATTTATTAATAAAAGAATTAACAAACCTTAAATAAATTATAAATTTATACTATCAAATACATTCGACTGATTAAGAACTAAAAAAGTTCAGTTATAATTTTACTTAATGAATATTTTTTATTTTTTTTAAGTTTTTACATGGAGGAAATTTTAATGTTTATTAAAAACAATACTATTTTTGTTATTAATATATTTTAATAAATTTTAATAAAAAATATATTATTTATTAATTCTGTAATCCGTGGGCTTAACCCATGTTAGTAGGTCTTGTTAAATAAAGATATAAATGCTGGAAACATTGATTAAGAAATATAAATATTTTTTAACATAATATATTATCAATGTATTTTAACATATTTTATTTTGTAATTCACACTTTAAAGATACTAAATAATAAAATTTCTAAAATAAGATTTATAGATGCGTCATCACGTGGGTTTCATAAAATGGGAAGTTATAAAATATATAATTTAGTTGCGATATTAAAATTGCTTAGTAAATAAAAAGAATGCTTAGTAAATGGCCTCCTACTTTATAAGGGACGTAAGCGCGTGTGTCATCTAACATTAAAATACACGGTCAAATTTTTGAGCTAGTACAAGTCAAAGGGTACACAAAATTAAAATAATCCCAATTCCGAAGTTGAAAAGTGCAAGAATGATCATGGGTCAGATCACTTGCGCCCCTTAAAAGAAATTAATTTTTTATTAAGGATGACTAATATTTCAAATTAGTTTAATCATTTAAAATACTAAATTTTGATATTGTATATAATATTATATATATAATAGGCGTTGGAAACTAAAGTAAAAAATAAAAATAAAAAACTCATGTGAAACTTGCAGAACTAAAAAAAGCAAACATAAATTAGATTTCACATAATGCGTAAAAAATGTATGAAGTTCAAAGTAATAAGGGTTGTTCGATGGATATAATAAAAAAAATATAAGATAATTTTGTTTAAATATGTCTTATTCTTTATTTTTAATTAATTATATGTAATAAGTCTATTTTATATATTTTTAATTAATCATACGTAATAAGTCTATTTTATTTTACTTTGCCGGTTAACATCAAACTTTAGTATCGAAGATAAGAAATATAAACAATAATTTTTCACTATAAAAATATTTTTATTATATCTAAGAATATAAAAAATAAACATTATATTTCAATAAAACAATTATATTTAAATATTTAAAATCAGTCTTAAAAATCAAACTTAATAAAATTGTATTTTTATTATAGTTTAAGTTTAATCCATTGTTGATATAATTTTCTATATTATTTATTTATTAATCACATTAATATATGATAGATATAATTTCAAAATTAATTTTATAAAAATTAACAATTTGTTAGTATGATAATATTATTTGTTTATGAAGAATAGTATTTGATGTTTTGGCCTATGATTTTATTGTAATTTTGGCGATTTATATGCTTGGTAATTGGTATCCAATATACAGGTCAACTGGAAAACAATATAAAATATTTAGAGCATATTTAATATTTTTTAAATAATTTTATGTTTTTAAAAATAAAATACAGTACAAATTTAGTACTATATTTTATTTTTAAAAATAGAACAAACATGCTCTTAATTAACTTATAAGTTATGCTTTGTTAAACGTAAAAAAGATGTTTACAAATCTTGATTAAGTCTCAATACATTTTCATTAGCCAAACTCATTGACTACGACTAATTAGTTGGCAATTTGAACGCAGCTCCACGTCTCGGCTTAGGGAGCTTGGATGGTGCCCAATTCCATTATAGTATTAGACTTATAAATTTTTTACCTTTTCTCTCAAACAACAGTATCATAAATTCTAAATTTTCAATGTTAAACATTTTAATAATGTAATGATATCACATAAAAAGGATCGGCTCAATGTTTTTAAGTTTAAAACAATTTTTAAAATGATTTTTTTAAAAATTAATAACATAGTATATTAAAATTATTATAATTTTATTTAAAATATATATTTTTAAATATTTGCAATGTAAAATTACTTATTAAACGTCGTAATTAATCTTGTTTAATTTTTTTAATCTTTAAAAATAAAGTGTAAGCTTTTTACCAAATAAGAAGAAGAAGAAAACAAATATTACAATATGTCGATGGGACATTACATATGAAGAGAAGATCGATAGAACGACGTTAGTACGGGAAGAGAATGAAATAATATATATAATTTTTTTATCGAGTAAGAAAAAATAACAACAATAAAATGATTTTTTTTAAAGAAAAATAATTATTCTCAATAAATCAATGTTTATTAAATAATCAATTTTTTTTTATACATGCACAAATAATTATATTATTTAAAAATTAGAACTCTAAAACGAAAACTTTACCTACTTTCAGGTCGAGTTCACCCAAAAATAAAACTTAAAAATTATATTTTGATATATATATTATGCATACTAATAATTTAAATTTAAACTAATTTTTGTTAATATAATTTTTTAATAAAAATAATTTATTAATACAAATATCATCAACCTATAATATTTTGATTTGCTTCATAAACTTAGTTTCTTTTAGTACTTACTTATTCTTCTCTCTCGATTCCTATGCTTAATAATTTATTTATATAATATGATATTGACAAATTTGACTCTGAAAATTTTTATATTATCTTTATAATTATATATATATATATATATATATATTTTTATCATTTAATAATTTTATATAAAATATTATTTTGTTCATTTCACTGTTAAATTATAAATATGTATTACTTTTATTATCTATATAAAATTTTATTAAAATTAAATAATCATAGAAATATAATTAAATCATTTATTTTTATATTTTTAAAAATATATATTGCATTAATTTTAGTATACATAAATAAGATATTAAATATCTTTATATTAAATTAAAATTTTACAAATAAAATTTCTGCGATAAAAACTTTTAACATTAATGATTAATTTTATAATAAAATTATTTAATAAAAAATAAATATAGATTGATATAATTTAATCATTTCACTCAATATATAATTCAAACTCAAGCTTAGATAAAGTAAAGTATTTGTTCTATTAATTTAAAAGAAAAAAATTATTAGTTAAATAGAATATGTGCTTTTTAATTAACAGAGAGAAAGTAAATTGTTTTTAATTGTAATACCGATACATTTAATCATAGTATCATATTTTTAATTTTTCTGTGTTTATTTTCTTCCCATCTCTCTTTTCTTTTACCCTTTTTTATACATTACACACTCCATTCTAAGGTTTTCAGCATATCATTTTCCTTTTGGTCAAGAGATAAGGTGGAGAAGCAAAATATAATACATTATAAATTTTCCTTCATATAATCTTTAATTTGCCCTTTCAGTTAAACTGAATACAAGATATTTCGTGAGGGAAAGAAAGGCAAAAAGATGTTAGTTGGTCAATGTAGGCTGTGATGCAGGTTTGAAGCTAGGAACTACTAAAAGTGGGAGTAAGGTGTTGAGCCCTTTTAGTAGCCGCTGATGACAGGTGGAGGGGGCGAAGCATAAGAAGAGCCAAAGTGAGGGGGAAGAATGACGTCTTCTTCTGGAGGAGGAGCTGAAACCGATGATGTTGGGGGTGGTGGAGAGTGGACCGGCGGCGGTGGAGAGTAGACAGGTGGTGGTGGAGGGGAATGAACTGTTGGTGGTGGAGAATGAACCGGTGGTGGAGGGGAGTAAACTGGTGGGGGTGGTGGAGAGTAAACTGGTGGTGGAGGAGAGAATACGGGTGGCGGTGGAGAATGGACTGGTGGTGGAGGAGAGTATACAGGTGGTGGTGGAGAATGGACGGGTGGTGGAGGAGAGTATACGGGTGGTGGTGGAGAATGGACTGGGGGTGGAGGAGAGTGAACTGGTGGTGGAGGGTAAACCGGTGGAGGAGGGGAATGTACTATTGGTGGTGGTGGGGAGTGAACAGGTGGAGGTGGAGGAGAGTGGACAGGGGGTGGTGGGGAGTGAACTGGTGGAGGGGGAGAGTGGATACGGGGTGGTGGGGAGTGGACTGGTGGAGGGGGAGACTGGACAGGTGGCGGTGGGGAGTGAACTGGTGGAGGAGGAGAATGGACAGGTGGCGGTGGAGAGTGGACAGGTGGTGGTGGAGAGTGTGGAGGCCTTTGTCTTCGCTTAGGTGATTCCCTATGAGGATCATCATCTGGGGGTGTTTGCTTCTCATGTGAAGGGTTAGAGGGAGAAGGGGTAGGTTGGGGTTGGGGCTTTGGTGTTGGCTGTTCATGAGTTGGGGGAGAAGGGGTAGGTTGAGGTTGTGGCTTCGGTGATGGCTTCTCAGTGGGAGAAGGGGTAGGTTTTGGTGTAGATGGAGATGGTGTTTGTTTGTGAGTAGGAGGATTGGAGGGAATAGGGTTAGATTTTGGTGTAGATGGAGATGGTGTTGACTTCTCAGTTGGAGGATTGGAATGATGAGATGGGTTGCCACTGCCACATTGTGCCTTGCTACAATCTACAGGCTTGCTTATCACATCATTGCATGCATTTGCACTCTTCTGCTTTGGCCTGTCTGGTATGCAGTTGCTCTCATCATCCAATTCTATTTCCTTTCTAGGAGGCACACAACCTTCTTCCTCACCATTGAAATAGTTATCTGAGAACGTGAAATTGACCAAGCTAGGCAAGCTACAAACACCACGTGGCACAAAACCTGTGAGCTTGTTATGTGCAATGGACAATTGTTCCACCTTTTTGAGTTCCTTCAAGGTCCTAGGCAACACGCCAACAAAAAGGTTTTGGCTTACGTCAAAGACAGAAACTTCGTGAAGCTTTCCAATGTCTTCGGGCAAGCAACCGGTAATTTTGTTGTTGATCAAAACAAACTCGTTCAATGTCTTTTTCATGTCACCAATGCTTGAAGGAACACACCCAGAAAGATGGTTATGGGCCAAAACCACAACAGAGGCTGTAGAAGAGCCAAGATTCTCGGGAATTGTGGAAGTGAATCGATTATTGTTCAAAAAGATAGCATCAAGTGTTTTGTTGAAAAGCTCATAAGGCAATTCCCCTTCGAAGTCATTGTACCTAAGATCAAGGTATTTGATATCTGGGATTGAAAGGATATGTGTAGGGAATTTGCCAACAAAACGGTTGTTGCTAATATCTAGCTCGTGCAAAAGCTTTAGCTTGGAAAAGCTTTTTGGGAGAATACCACAAAACCTATTTGAGTTTATATGCAAAAGAGCAAGGTCAGTTAACAAACCGAACTCGGGAGGAATATAACCTGCGATGTCTGCATGGTTAAGATCAATCCCAGCCACAACCTCAATCTTAGAATCATCAAGAGCCTCAGCACAGAAAACTCCATTATAAGAGCAAACATCTGGGCCAACCCAATTTCCTGTGAAGTTTGTTGGGTCTGAATAGATTGCCTTTTTCCATGCTTCAAATGCAATGTATGCACTTTTGACTCTTGAGTTGGAGAAAGTTAGATCTGTAACGTAGTTATCTGCATAGTTGTCGGGTAAATCATTGTTCTCACGAAGGTGTAACAATTGGCGACGAGCAATGAAAGCGGCTTCAACATTGGAAAGTGCATAAGAAAATGAGGATGAGAAGAGAAATAATGAAAGTAACAAGAAGCAGCCCGAGGCCCGCATTTTATGAAAACGCACAACCTTGGAAAGCCCCAAGCTGCTTATAAGAGTTAAGGGATATGAAAATGTTACAAAGGGTTATATTGAGAGATGCAGAGATGCGTTACAAGCCATATGAATGATTTTGCTATTTCCTATGATTTCTGAAGCCACAATGGGAACGTCCTTTATACAAACGTTGTAGTCATAAAAATAGATGGTGCTTGTTTCTATTTTTATTTTCCAAGCTCTCAATGCCCTCTAATATTGGATGGTGCTTTCAACCATGGAATCACTTATCTTAATTAGGCAAATTAACCCTCCTCATTGTCTTAATTAGTCATAAATTTGTGCTTTCAACCAGAGTCAATTACATGTCTGGTTTAATTTTCTATCTTTGGACGCCCTTTCCAAACTTCTATTTTCCCAATTTCTCTTAAGTGAACCTTCGATTGGTCTTCCTTAAGAAGTTCTCCTTCGTTGAATCATACCCATGCCTTCAAATGTGCACCATGAATTATTCTTCAATAGACTTTATTTATGTTGCTCCTACGCATATCATTAGCATCATGATAAACATTTAAATGCATAATATATTTATTTATGTTAAAGACCAAAATTACGTTTTGCTTTTATTTTTAATAATCGGATATCTGGGTTTCAATATTCCAAAGGAAAATATTTCTTAAACATTTAAATATGAAGTACTAGTAATTTTTCCATACACTGCACATGTATCATTAAACTAAATTTTATAAATTTAAAAAGTAAACATTATAATTATTAATAATAAATGTTATATTAAACAAAATTTAAAATAAATTATAAAAACTAAAATTAAAATTAATATTAAATTAAAAATAAATACATATGTGAAAACTTCGCATAATGAAAAGATTAATCAATAAAAATGCTTTTGTTTAAGAATTAGTACTCACAAATTATACATAAAATTAATATTTTTAATATATATATATATATATTATAAAAATTAAAAATAATTATATAATATCTTATGAATTTTTAACATATAAATGTCTAAATTTAAATAGCAAAATATAGCAAGTGAAATGAGAAAGGTGGACATGGGGAGTTGTGGCCCACCTTTCCATATTTGAAGCATCTAATCTTGATTCATCGTTGCTGGCCTATCAACCAATCAATTTGAGAGTCCCTTATCCAAATAAATACTCGCTTTCCCTGCCATTAGATCTTGGTCGTTTAAACTCCTCTCCACACCACAGGTAAGTGATCCTTGAGCCATTTAACTTCACTCTGCAAGTTTGGTTCATCAACATTCGTTGCTGGGTCATCATCAATAAGGATCAAATGGCCATGGCCACCGCAATCCTCTCTCCTCAGAGCATCACCGGAGCCATCGTGAGCTCAACCAGCAAGACCAAGAAGAGAATGAACAAAGTAGTACCCATAAAAGGCCTAAATTCATATGGGGGACTAAAGGCTACCAATGGCGTTCTCTCGTTGGGGCTTCCTTTGAGCACTGAGAAGTGCTTTGCTAAGATCGTGAGCTCAGTGAAAGCCAGTGGGAAAGGAAAGGGAGGAGGGGGACTCTCGTCCACGGGCAATGCCGCGGGTGAGATATTCACCATTGCTGCTATCATGAATGGCCTTGTTCTCGTTGGGGTTGCAATTGGCTTCGTCCTCCTACGAATTGAAGCGTGGGTGGAGGAGTCCGAGACAGAGTGAAAGCCTAATCAGATAAGCATGTAATATTCGGAATAGTTCTATGTTTGTATATCGAATGTTGTCGCTGTTTCTGCTTTCATCGTGACTAAATTTATTTGTTAAGGTTCTTCGTTTTTCTGTTGTCGTAATTGGATCTCTCGTCAATCCGCGAGAAATCACTTGCAATTCTTACATAATAACTAGTAACTGCAAGAAACTAGTTCATATTAATTAAACATATGTCTAGCTTGACACAGCGATTGTTTCGAGAGGACTACTCCGTGACAATGTCAATGGTATGAGAAATGAGAATAAAGAAGAAACTATAAGAATAATGTTGTAAATCGTCCTAAATGGGGTCTTAAAACCTTTTAGATTAATGAGGTGTGCGTTTAAAGTTGAATGAAATTAATTTGAATTATTAAACATAATTCAAATGGATACATAAATTAACACGATTCACATATATTTTTCAAAACGTGTAATTTTTTTTAATAATAATAATAATAATAATTAATTCTGCGAGTGAAAAAAATCACTGCCTACATTGCCCACCTTCCACTTCAGTTTCAGAGCACAGACTCGTATTTCACTCAAAATTCTATTTTTGTTGTTGTTATTTATCTATTTAGAGATAACAAAATTCATTTTATTTATTTGTCTATACAATTTTTTTTAAAAAAGTATTAATTATTATTTTTAACACTTTTTCATTCATTTAAATTCTATGTACAATTAATAAAGTATTTATACTGATTAAATAGTCCAATGGTAAAAAAAGAAAAAAAGAAAAAAATCAACAAATCTATCAAATAATTCTAACAAAATAATTAAAACTTTCTAAACAAATAAATAAGAACTGAAGCAATATCATGTTATCACAAAAAAAGATTGATGCAGATCAATCTCACACCCTCAAATTTCGATCCTCTAGAGTTACTTTCCAAACATGCATGAATTCCATTCATACAATTTATTTCATTACATAATAAATTAATTCCTCCAAATTAAATTTTATAAACTTCAATTGTTAGATCGACAACTTCACAACTGCACACCCTGCAGTGTCAGTTTCAACCGAAACTATAGAGGATCATAGCCCCAATCCCTCATTAACGAGGTGCTTAAATCATTGTAGGGATGCGTAAAAATTTCAGGGATGCAAACCATACAGATTTGAAATTATAAGCAGAAATATGCAGGCATCACTCCCGTGTTACCAAAGAGAAAAATCAATAATTGCAGAATTAGCTTCTTGGGCCATTTCATGCTTAAATCATTGATGAATTGTTGCCAGCATTCTGAAGTCTGGGTAAGTTGTAGCATCTAATTGGCGATGGGCGTGACGTCGATTAATAATGGACGGGTCGTGGATTAATAAAAAAATCCAATGGTCTCAAAGAAGAGAAATGATTTGCAACAAATCATCCCAGATATATCATAGCTCTCATTTTCTGATAAACAAAATTTTCTAATGAATTGCAGCCAAAATTCTACCGCAAGATACATAAATAAGCGTGTTAGATAAAATCAAACTATCAAGAAACTACATTTGATAAAACAGTTTTGTGAAATTTAAACAAACAGCATAGAAGCTGCCAAAAGAAGCAGAAGACTCTGGATAAAAAATCTAGCCAGAAAATAGTTAAGCAGGATGCTATCATTGTGTAATGGGCTTTCTCACACTGAAGGTCTCTGACATGCAGCAAACAGTTGCCAACTTATGAAAGCCATCACCAAGGATGTGAAGAGCTCAAACCCTACCACTTTGGGAAAATGCCACCCCAATCCACGCCTCAGATAGCTGCAGAAGACACAGTTTATCAAAAACTACACTACAGCAAATGATACGTGAAAGTCCATGTTATGATTGACTAAATAATTACTACCACTAGGCATGCAACATACCTAATACTTTAATCCAACACCGTATGGTGGGTCATCCTATTCTAAAGCACCATTTATACAGGGAGATCATGATAACCAGAGCCTGTGAAGAAAGTGAGCTAGAGCCTAGAGGTTTATTATGTTCGAAGAAAGATTTTATGATTGGTCCTTAATTCAAAACCTTGAATTGCAGAGGGAGAAGAAAAATTAAATTGAGCATGAAATTACACATTTGCATATCAACATCATAACAGCAGTTGTATTCGTAAATAGTCAAGAGAGACCTTGTGATAGATGGCATGGTTGCTACAATCCCTGCGCACAAGTATATAATGGGAATGAGGGTCTTGGGTTTATTTTTTCGAAGCCACATCAAAGATCCCAGTGCAGCTAGGGATATGCTCAACACCTGTACAGGTACAAATGCAGAAACCTTTTAAATAACAGATGACACAAATACTACAAGCTGCACACAAATTGTTGTGTTTTTACCAATAACACATTACCAACACAGACAAAATGTTTCATCATTCTAACCAATATAGAACTGAAGGAACATCCAAATTCTAGGAGAACATTACCAACCAAATGCTTTAGTATTGACCTAAAGACTGTATCAATCTTAGAAAGAACAAAAGAAAAGGCTTTTAGCATGAAAGAACCTACCAAATTTGCATTAGCTTCAAGGCCCTGCAGAATGTAATCCCAAGTAAATTCTAATCCTCTAGCACCAACCCAAAGAGGAGCCAACCGATGCAGTACAGAATCAGCAAATGCCCAACCTGCCACAAGAAAATTGCCACCAGGATCCAGGTTAAGATAAAAAATAACATGTGAAACACTGAGGGATGATCTAGGAAGGAGAACATCACTTTAAGATACACATAAAAGAAATCATCTAAAGGGATATAGCCTGCAACACATACCAAGTCCAACTGCTTGAAATTTATGATTCTGAGAGATGTTCCTGTGAGTCAACTGGGTCAAGGCAAAATAAAGCCCAGCAACATCTATAAAACCTATTAATGCCTTCAAAAATTCCTGAAAAAGAAATAAGCCTTTTGTTATCATTGAAGACAAAAAGCTTAATAAGGACTAAAAATAGACATCAAGAGTATCCAAGGGCTTCAGAGTCCAGATGATAAATTCAAAGTCAGCTATTGTTATGTGTCTTCTTTATTTTATTGTCTGATAGGAACTTAGGTTTTTCTAAGAAAATACAGAGATTAATTCCTTACGACAGAGGAATATCTCTGAAATTTCTGAAAGCAGAAGCAAAACAGCAAAAATTAAAAGAAAAGATTCCTTAAACAATGAATGCCTGCATTCCTTCTCTCCTCTCCTTGCTTTAAATCATTGTCTCTAATATAATATACACCTTCCTCACTCCTCTATCCCATGCTTCCAACATGTCTTGACAATCATGAGAAAATTTCCCATGGATATTCTCTATTACATCACCTCTTTAACCCAGTGCCTTTTTTTTTTTATTTATCCTCATATATACTCTAATAGTAGGAGGTTTATCTATGATTGACATATTCTTCACAGGCTCAATCTTACAGGACATTTGGTACGCAAAATGGTCATTTTATTGCTGTCTCTATTACCCAAGGATAAGGTAAGTCGAAGCGAAGAAGAAAAAGGGAACGAAAAATATTAAAAGTTAATAATTCAAAATAAACTTCTGAAAGATTTCGTTCCAATTAATGTAGTACAGTAATCATTAAGTAATATAATGATTTGGAACTATATTTTGTTTCGAATCGCAGTACAATATTTTAGTTTTCATTTAAGTATCTTGTATGATATTTTGCCCCCTTCCTATCCATTAGTTGGAATGAAATGGTGATTCCCTCTAGGCTGGAAGCTATAAGTGCTTGTTTTGTTACCTTGTTTATATTCATTAGCTACAATTTTGATTTTCGGTTTCGTTTTATGCAGATTCCATGTATCACATGTAAAATGGAATGAAATAACACACAACAGCAATCTTGAGCAAACCAAATACTAGAAGGGGGAATGTTTATTACTTTCCCTAAACACTTAAATACTCATCTTAACATTGGAAAAATTCACTGTGTACTAAATATGAACTTACTCTTTTGATAAATCAGTCTGAATACTAAAAAAAAAAACACCTGCCAACTTGATTTTTTTTTCATAGCATACTCTTTGTTTCACTATCTATATAGGCATGCAACTATATCCGGTACCCTCCACTGCCTGTATGTACACAGTTCAACACATGGAATGCACAACTAATGCCCGTAGCTCCAACTCAAACTACAATATTTCCACACCTTAACAATTTAAGAGTAAACCACAAATTGAGGAGTAGTCTATATAAAATTAATCATGCCAGCCATTTGCAAATTGCCAAAGCTTTCAACTATAAAATAAAAACTTGTTCTGTAAGTAAACAATATTCATTTAAGGCTTAAAAACTTGAAGTGTTATTTAGTATCACTACATGTACAAAATACATATATAAATGCAAACTTATTCATAAGCAATTCAAATGCGAACCTGGTACGGATCAAAGCTATCACTCTCTGATACCTTGAGAAAAGTAGCAAGACAGATAAGCTGCAAGATTATACAGACCAAAAAAGGAGTGATATTGTTATCAAAGTTTATGCAAAATGCATAAGAAATTGAGAATTCAAAATATTCAACAACCTTCACTAATGCTGTTGCGAGATAAACAACAGCAGCTTTGATGGAGGTGCCAAGTGTATCATACTCAGATCTGCATATTGAAACTGATTACTTTACTAACATATGAAACCAGACACAAGACCTAGTAGAAATATAACATTATAACAAACAAATATTTAGGGAAATTCCATTCAACTATATGTAGAGAGAAAAAAATGGTATTAGAAGAATTGAAGCAGGCAAAGTGGTGAGAACATGGAATTGATATATGAAAGGTTAATTATTAAAGCAATTGAAGGGGAAAATAACGTAGAAAAGAGATCTAATGTGTGAAGGAAAGAGAAAAAGATAGTTACAAGGGTGTGGCAGAATAGTAGACGGCGTGGGGGCCGAAGGTGAGAATCGCACAGTTAAAGAAGTGAAAGACCGTCATCACTTTCTCTCTCTCAGATCCAAATGACAAAACTCTTCCTCTTCGACTTCACCTTCTGAATTCTGATTCTCCCCTCACTCAACCCACTCCCACTCCACTCTCCTATTAATACTTATGACGTAATATTTCTTTTTCTGCTTCCTACACAATCAATATCTTTTTATTAATTCTTTTGAAGAAATTAAGAAACCTGTTTTAACTTCAAATTTTCATCTATCTAAATGTTTTTGGATTTTATATCTTATCCCGTATGTATAAACAATCATCCATGGGTATCCAATTTGCACACACGTTTTTTATATTTGGTTAAAATAAATAAATAATTTAATTATACAATATATATGTATATGTATAATTCATTTCAATAGAATATCAAATATATATTAAAACCAAAAAATAAATAAAAAGTTAGCAATTTTAATTTTAAATATTTTAAATTTCAGGGTCATGTGTACTATTAGTTTTTTTTATAAAATGAGTATTTTTAAATTTAAAATATATATAGTTTTTTATGCGACTTTAACAAATTTAATACAGTATGCTGATATTTAAATTTAAACAATTTAAAATAAATAAATAATATCTAAGAAGAGTCAAGTAAAAATAACTAAAAAAGTAAATATTTAATGAAGAAAAGTCATGTGATATAAAAGCAGTTTCTAAAAAGTTATAGTTTGATAATAATAATAATAATAATAATAATAATAATAATAATAATAATAATAATAATAATAAAGTTTTCATGCATTGATCAGATAGATAAAAAAAATTAATTACTTGTAAGAAAATATTTTGTATGCTAATACATGAAGATGTATTGTATGTATATTACTAGTCATGTTTGACAAAAATATATAATAAGTAAACTAAAATTAAAACAAAACTAATCAAATAAATTATTAGTTAATTGAAATGGCATGTCAAATATATTCTTATATTTGATCTTTTAAAATATTTTTTTATAATAATATTTTAGATTTAAGTAAATATGAAAAATAAAACCGTAAAGGTGACTTTAATATTATTTTTTACTAAAAATAAGATTTTAAAAATCATTTAGTTGTAATATTCTTTGTTTTTATCGTGAACCGTTGTTTGAGCGTATCCTTAGACAATTCAGGGAAGTAATTTTTCTGGAACTGAGTGTTTTTTCTTTTAATAAATGTCGATTGAGATTGAATTTGACTGTGTTAATTTTTTGGCTGAGCCAAAGGGTCAGAGACCCAAGAAAAAATGGGTAACTACAATGAATTAATCAGCAGCAGACACATCTTAGCAGAAAACTTGAAAGCCACAATCCAAAATGTGAATTGAATGAAATAATTCCTTATTAAATGATAATCTTCGTAGAAACCTTTTATACGAGATAATATTGCTCCATTAAATATGGCCCAAAAGCTCAGCATTGAGATTAGAAAAGGTACCTAAATTTACTTAAAATGCAACAATGAAGTTAACAGGACACAATTTGTTTTTTAGATGTTGGGGCAGAGAATTTGAGGCATTTGTGTGTCTTGCTTATTATTACTTCAACTCTCAATCCATTTCCACTCTTACAAAAAAAATATGTACTAGTTTTAATTTATTTTTAAAATAATAACAACCTTTCTTTTTTTCTTTTTATAATATAAGGGCTCGGCAGTTCTTTTCTGGGCTTTGATTTTAAAATCTTAAGACTCTAACAAACGACCATTCAAATTTTGCAAAGCCCGTGGTCCAGACAAAACAGGAACCGGGCTTGGACTGAAGTCCGCTGTTGACCCCAAAAAATAGAAAGTTGAACTAGAATTGTGTTTTGTGCTAAACCAAAAAAAAAATAAAAATTTCTAAAACAACAATACTTTTAGATAAAAATGATTATTATTCTCCATTTTTTAAATTAATTTTAATTTTTCAATTTAATTGTTTTTTCAGGTTAATCCTTATACTGGAAGACTCTTCAACTTTTCTGAAGATTAAATTTGTTTTTTTAATGATTATTGAAACTGATTGACCTTTTTTTTTTCAAAAAACTATATTATGACCAATATATCCAAATATTAGACCTTTTTATCAGTTTAAATGAGATGTCAAAGCATGATGGTTAGTTAGTATTTTATCAAAACCCAATAAGATTTACTAGTTTTTAATTTTTAATTATCATTAAAATTGATTTATGAAGTTTTTCAAGCATTGCAACTAATATATATCAAAATTTTGCATACTTTTATCGGTGAAAATAAAAAATAAAAGCATATCATTTTCCGATACCTATTTACTTGCTTATAAAATAATTTAGACAATTCTTTCACCCTTATGTGCAAGTTCACTATGAAATATTTAATATGATGAGCTGGATTATGTTCCGCTAGTAATGTACACAATTTAATGACAACAGATTAAACTACGATTTTCAAAACTTTAATTAAGTTAATAGTCATCCTAAATTTAAAAATAAATAATTTTAATTTATTAATATTTAATACTCTCTTTTTTCCCGTTTTGTCAAATTTATCTTATATATGTTTGGGCAGCTCGCGGGACAAACACAGATTCTTGTGAATAGTTCATCCCCACAATTAAATTAATTCGCATGCTCCTCATTATCATTTATCAAACATTGCCAAATAATAATTAATAAACAATAAATGCCATGAAACCTTATGCAGCTACGTTTGGACGTTAAATGTGATATTTGCTATGATTTCCTTCATTTCTCTTCTGAATACTAAACTGTCGAATTGCATAATAAATATTATGCAAACAAATATTTATGCTATTTTACATTAATTAAATTCAATAATTAGTTTATCAAACTTACCAAACTGATCCTGAACTCCCCATAAATGAGAGAGAAAACCCACACGCCTCCTACTGAATTTAACTTAATCAGGTAACGTACAAATGCAATCCTATATGGTACCAAAAAAGATAGGGCACAATCTATTAAACATATGCCCTTATCTACGCTTCTTTCCGTTTCTCACTTACACATACGCCTTACCATATTAAATGAGAGAGAAAAGGCAGTGGTCTCGAATTGAATTAATCTTAATCATATAGTGTTTAACTAATCATCTTAAATTATAAATATATCTCATTGTTTTTTATATACAAACCAAATTTCTTGTCTTGATTTGATCCACGGACTTTTAAGGGTTATTTGATCATTCGTTTTCATCGAAGATCAACCCACGACAAGCTACGTAACATTACTTGTTCTTATCCAAGATCACTCGTTTTATCCAATATTAAACACGTCTCACTTCAAATTATATAGTAGCATAACTCAAGTGATAATATGATATAAATTTAATTCTATAATATAACAAATGCGTCGTGTATTATGTATGTTTATTGCATTTGTGTACAAACACAATCCTAAAATTATATTATGTATCGTAACAGGAGAAATATGGAATTTGTATAATTTACTAGTAACACAATGGCTTTATATCATTTACTTCTCAGATTTATATATTTGTCTTGAAATGTAATCAAGCACACCCCAGAATTATGGGAGAGACAAACTGTAACCGGCTTTATATAATGAGTAGCCATTGGATCGATGGTGTCTTCCTCTCAATATAATTGTGTAGTTAAATTTCAAGAACCCATATACCACACTAAATCTTAATGGGTGATTTATCATTTTGTGGAGAGTCACGGATGAAAAAAAAAAGAAAATTGTAACTGGTTTGTCTCGTCTCATTTTCATTTTGTAAACTGTTAAATAGTAATTGTGAGGATCATCCAAACTCAAATTCTTTTGGATTATTAGTTTATTATTCTCCCTTTTTCCTTTGAGCAGGAGAAGCTGGAAAATGGTTTCGTGGTTTCCGAGAGTAGCAGAGGAGCTCTAGCAGGATCCAATTTTCAGTGACCACTGTCAAATGCCCAACAAAACTGATTACAGGCACATGATTTTCTGCACGAGAGTGGACCCGTGACACAAATAGCTAGATGCATTGCTTCTGCACCCACTTCATATTTGCAATTGATCGATTAGCTAAGTTGTAGAACCATTTATCTCTGCCAATACCCACAAATTGGACCTTTTCCACCTTTCAGCGCAAGAGTACACCTTTTCTACTTCTAATAATAAAGAAATAATTGTTCTTATTAATCAAGTAACTCTGACTTTCTCATATATTTTTCTACATCATATTTACACACTTATTTATTTATTTATCATTTCTTGTTTGTTTTCCTCTTCATAGTCCTTTCTCTGCACCTATTTCATATAGTGTGAGAAAAATACAATTGTTTATCGAAGTTGTCTATTTTTTAATTTTTTACTTAAAAATTAATCTAAACACATTTATGGTTTGTTAATCGAAGCTTGTCATGTACTCTTTTTATGGTGTATGAAGTGAAAAAAAAATAGAAAGAGATAACAACACTGTAAATGTGTATAGATATAATTGATGGTAGGAATATGTAAAACAAAAGACTAAATAGTAGTAAGACGTACTAGCATTTATTAGCATGGACCGTTTCAAGGTCCTTGTTGAATCATGAAAATTCAGCTAATTATTTAGCTTGCTCGTACATGGCAATAGGTTTTCTATGATTATAAGGAATCTGATCTGAAGCCATTAAGGTAACAAAAATACTTTTGAATTTTTTTACTTTTTATATCTACAAACTTTTTAATTGTTAAATGAAGAGAAAAATATATATTTTTTTATATTTTAAAATATATTATATTTATTTTATAAAATAATAGGAGAATCATTAAAAATAGACAACATAGCAAAGGTCGTACTGAAAGGCATGATGTAGTTGTCGATTTTTTTTTTTGAGAAAATATAATTGTTGAATTTCCAGGGAAAGGTTAATAAAACATAAAAAAAAGGGTTAAAAACTTCTCAATTTCAAAGTTGGAGACATCTTTGCATATTAGACATGAATTTAATTTGTACGTGTTAATTATGTTTACACTGGCTTTATTCTCATTGCTCTCTTAATCATTAGGAGAGCAACTTTTCGGTACTACTCTTGTTTAAGTCAACTGTTTGATATTCTATTTGTTTTTGGTCCACTCTTTTTGGTAAAGTATTTCGTGACCTTGTTCATTTTTGCTAGCAATGGCTATACACGTCCTTTTTGGGCCTTAGCCCAACTTTATCAGTAATACAAGGTTTCTCTTGCTCGTGGAACTTTTTCAATACTTTTAAAGCAAAGAAAACGAATTCATCTTTCACTGTGTTGGGGTTGTTCGTAATAGCAATAGTACTTAAAATAATGTCTTCATGAGGCAAATATATTTTTAAAAATGGAGATAAGTATTCTGTTAAGATATGCCGTTAAAATGCTTTTAGAATCGCCGTTAGGTGTAACTAATGGGTAGCTAGCTGGAGCAGTATCTTTTGACCTTAGTTTTCACTCATCAGCGCATAGTTATGGGTATTCTTGAATGAGAACTTGCCATTTACGAGTGGTGCTCTTGCTTGCCTAATTCCTAAAAGCTGCCACACTCGACAAAAAGGTTAAAGCTATTGAAGCTTTTGTTGAATCCGCAAAACAACTCGTAATCCGTCAGTGCCTAAAAATTGTTGTTCTTTTAATAATTACTTTTAAAATTATATTATAATAAATTTTAATTAATTAAAAAATAGTATATTAAAACTACTTTAATCTGATTAAAAATTATTGTACATGTGTATCTGGATGTTTAGTTTAATTTAGATTAAATTGATTTAAAAAATTATATCTAAAATTATATTTAATAAAAAGGTTTAGTTTTTGTGATTTTTAATTTTTTGGTTAATTTAATTTTTATGGTTTACATTAAATCACAGTAGTTTGTGTACATGTCTAATGGATGCATTATAGAATTAATTTGTTACGATTAAGGGAAGCCCAAATTTCAGCGTATCTTTAATTGTGTCACGAAATTTGGTGCATCTACTCAAATTTTTCAAACCCAATAAAGTGCTTGCCTTTCTCAATTTAGTTCTACAATCTAGGCTGCTGCTTTAGGTGTTACTAGGATTAGAACCAAATAATAAAATTATAATTTTATTACATTTATTATTAGATTAAATTTTAATAAATAAATATTATTATTAAAATTTATGAAAAATACGTATTTAGTTAAAATATATAACAATGAAAATATTTTTATACTATTATTTAATAAAAGTTTATATGCAAAATTATTTTAAAAGTTATATCGATGATAACTTTTCATTGCAATACAATTTTCATATCAATAATATATTAAAGTTAACCTCTAAAATTATATTAATAATATTGAATGCTATATTTATTAATGAATAATAACCAATGTTGATTTCTAAACTATTATCTGAAAATGAAATGATTAGTTATACACCATGTAATATCGTCGAGTATGTCAGCAGCCAAAACCCCCTCTTGATTTCCGTGTTCATCCTTTTTTTTTTCTTGTCATGTCATAGATAATATGACATTTAAAGAAGATGAGCTCATGGACAGGGTTTGATCTAAGTCATGTTTGAATGCCTGTGTATTTTTACTATGGCACTGTTAAAAATTTTGTTATCACATAAAATTTGCTTTGAAAACTCTTGTTTTAAATAGACTTTTAAGTCTTACATTTGCGAAGAATAGTTGTTAATTTTTTTATTGAGAGATTTAGAATTATCGTTATAACTTTGTTCAAAATATTTAAGATAAGTGAATTTGTATATTTTTTATAATTTTTAACTAATATGAGACTTTTTCTTCCAACATTTCTACTCAAATTTAGCTGGGTCTATTTAATCTAATTGTGACTTACATTTAATCTTCTTCCTAAATTTTTATTCCGTCGTTTTTATTCCTAAAAAACGGTCGAATATGATTGGTTGATCCTTTGAGTTTGGTTGGACATGAGGATGTTTTATTCTAAAAAAATTATTCCATATTTGAGCTATCCTCTTAATTTGAAGGATTGAAAAATATATACATTTGATTAATAATGAAACCAGCCCGTGGTCAATTGAACATAGAGGAATGAGCATGTTTAATGCCACATCGATCTGCATGAAAACAGAGAAGTTTAGAACCTGTAAATTTTGGTCTGCCACTCAGTCCTCGTTCATAATAAAATGTGAAATATTCCAATTAAAGAAATGATATTAAAAAGAGATAAACAAAACCTCGAAATAGAAACAAAAAGAGCATGGAAATTTAATGGATCATCGATCCATCAACGTTAAAGAGAGAGTCCAATTTCCATTCCAATATTCCCTTGAATAGTACTCATTTTGTTTTTCTCTAATTCCAACCATTCCTGCCAGAACCACCATTATCACTCCAACCTCATTTAAATAATAATATCTGTGTTGTACCATTTTACAAATACAGAAGAGAGAGGAACGGACCTCAGATTTCCCTTCAAATTCTCCCTTTCGTTCTCTTTCTATTTGCACAGTACTTTGAATCGATGACTAATCCTCAGCTTCCATAAATAACTACTTCCCTTTTCACTACCTTTTCGTTCAAACCACCATCCCCCAAAAAAACTCTCTTTCATTTCATATTTTTAATCTGGCTATATGACTACTGACATCTAGTCTCAGCAATTGTTTCGTCACTGCTTCAAATTAATTAAAACTTTCGCTATCTTCCTTCATCCCTAGTGGGAAGCTACTAAAAAGGCTACCACCTCCTCTCACAACAAATGCAATGCAAATCATAAGCCAGTTATGACATAATAAATAAACACATCCATTTCCATTACCATTACACTCTTTCTTCTATTCTCTTCTTCACAGCTCAGTTCCTCCTGGGGATTCTATGTCTTACTATATTTGCTTCATTAGATCCTTTTCCCATATCCTTGATTAAACTCTCATTCTTTTCCTTTCTTATGTATATTGTGCTACTGCACTGGCCCTTCTGTATCTGACCCAGATCTCTATTCTCTACCATGTCCATGTACACTTCTTCGCACACTGTGATGCCAACCTTTGCGCCTTTGCCAGAACCGGACCTCTCCTTAAACATAAGCCCACCCTTCTCTTCAGATTCTGAAACCAAACAAGTGGGAAGATACAATGGATTAACATTGACTAGAAAAACGCTTTACAACGATATGTGCTCAACCTCGGATTCTGGTAGCAGTGGAAGCGATTTAAGCCATGAAAATGGTCATCGTGAACCCACATTGAGCTTAGGCTTCGCAACGGTAGCTTTGAATCCTCATCCAGTGCAAGGACTCTCTAGAAACTTTAATCGCAGTCTCCACAACTACCAACCTCACATTTATGCTTGCGACTTCAAACGAAATGCTAGAATCATTCACGGTGTGAAAAGGACCATTAGAGCTCCTAGAATGAGATGGACTACGACCCTCCATGCTCATTTTGTTCACGCGGTTCAGCTACTTGGTGGTCATGAAAGTAAATCAATTGAAGATTCCAACTGCAGATTATGCTACATGCACGATTAGTTTTTATCGATATTCATTAGCTTCTTCATTAATTATTCTATCTCGTGAAAGTTTTATGCAGTTAATTTGCTTTGGACAGTATCAGGTTTTGCCTAATTTTGGGTTGTCACGTCTGTTTCAGGGGCAACTCCGAAGTCTGTGTTAGAGTTAATGAATGTTAAGGATCTAACTCTAGCTCACGTCAAGAGTCACTTGCAGGTGGGATTATTGTTCCTATCTCTCCATTCTTCATAATCTTTCCACTCAATTAATGAGTTTAATTTCTCTTACACTTTTTAACTCGACAAAATAAACAAATTCTATGTATATAAAGTTTCTTAGTCATTGCCTCAAGTAGTGGGGAAGGTAGAACAAGGACTAAGGACAAAGGGGTATCTAGATGGTAATCTTAGCGTTGTGGACTTTTCTTCTCATTTTATTTCATGCGGGGTGTTCATGCAGATGTATAGAACAGTGAAGAGCACTGACAAAGGCAGCACAGGTAGTTGGATGCTCCCTCTCCATGACCCCATTTTCATTTCTTCTATTATTATTATTCTCTTTGTTTGAGATCTTTGGTGATTCGAGTATGGCAGTGGCAGAAATTCTATGATTTGCTCTAGTACCGTTTCGCATTAATAAAAAACAAGATAATTTTTCTTTTTAAAATTAGTTTTTACAATTAAGAAAGGGATAAAAAAATGTACGATAACGTATGTTATTTAACTAAGAGTAAAAGAGAAAAATAAATTGTAAAAAAGGTTATAGAAGTCTAAAATAAATGTTGGTTGGGATATGAGTGAGTTTTAAGTATTGATGTGAATTATTAAGTTGGTGTCTGATAAAGCAAGAGCAATGGCTCTATCGGCGGTGAAGTTGCAGGTTATGGGCAGACAGATACGGGGTTGAGCCAAAAGCCAGGAATTGTCGATCTGCATGGAGACTCAGCTTGTGAGAGAGCCAATTTGCCACATCCACTACAAAAATACCAAAGGTATGGATTTCATTCTATCCCTCTTCTCTCCTGTAATTTTGGTTTGAGTGGATATTCTAAATTCTTTGGTTGATGGCGTCTACTCTATGCATTATTATCGTGAACGTGTTTTTTTTTTTCAATTTTTTAAACATACATTTAATGATATATAACAAAATTTTATTAAAAAAATATATCATTTATCATTTTCAATAAAATTTTAATATTTATTAATTTTTCATCACCAGGTTCTACGATGAATAGTCTACCAGCTATGAATAGGTTTAGACAAAGAAAACTTAGGGGTTTCTGTAGACAGAAATGCTTTTTTACATCTAGACAGAAACACTCTTATAGTTTGAAGTATGTTTTTTAGCATATGTATATATAAAATATTAAAGAAGCGATATAGTATTATATACAATATTAATATTTAATAATTCAATTAATAAAATTATTCTGTAGTGCATGTGTGGGTGGTCATTTATTTCATATTTGGATTGAGCAATGATTCACGATCATCTCACTTTACACGGAGTTTTTCTTTCTTCTTTTTCCTTATTATATCCTATCATCATTTTGTATTTAACTAATTTACATAGTTACAAATAAAGTGTAAAGTATAAAAGAATGTGAAAGAGTCGTTATCTACGATACAAGTATCCATATCAGTATATCGTATCTGTAACCTTTATTTATTTCCTTCTCCAAGTAGAACATAATACGCTAACGAGAAAATTTCTCTCTTTTAATTATTATTTATTGCACGCTTGATCTATTTTTAAAAAAATATTTGTTTATTTAAAAGTAAACAAGAATTTGCTTAAAAAAGCTATTCTAAACACATTTTTTGTTGCTAGTACCTTTTCCTTGTTAATTAGAGAAATTATAAAGATAATTAAAAGGGACAAGTGGTTTATATCTGCCTGAAATAATTGAGAAATTATATAATTTATTGATTTTCACCTAATCGTTTTATTAATTGGCTTTTTTTAGCTCTGATCTTACGTTGTGATTACGTTGAGTGTTAGTTAAAATGTGATTACCAGCATCACAGGCTTAGATAGTCTCTGATAATGGTGATTATTCGATGCATAGATTTTCCATTTCCCTTTCCGCCTTGATATTACTATATGCTTTTCACATCTGACTCCAAGTTCCTTGCCAAATTGAAACATTTCGATGTTGACAGTTAGTTGTCACGTTACCATCAAAAGCCAATCGTAAACAGCTAACGAATGCTTGCACGATTCATATTTTTAGCATTTGGGCACGAAGTTTTGCTTGCCTCTATAGAGTCTTAAAATAAGCTTAGCTATTGCTTTGGTTGCTTTATAACATGTTTACCTTCTTTACACACTAATTTCTTCGCTCACTTTATACATTCAGGGCGTCATCGCAATCATCAATAGGGACAAAGACAAATAACTACCTACAAAAACCCGAAATCAATTCGATGTATTCTCATCTCAAAGGAAACCAAACCATGGTAAGTTGGTAACCATAGACTCGGAACTTGACCAAACATGGCATACAATTTGGCTAGCTGTATAGTTTGCATGTACTATATAATCGAAATACTACTTTTTATTATATATTTGAGTAATAATATTTAAACAGTTGGGTGGACAGCATTATGGAGGCCTGTCGAATTGCATGAAGGAGAGGTTGGATTCTAGCTCTTTGTCACGTTCCGATGTGATGCTTGATCTAGAGTTCACCCTCGGAAGGACCACTAATTGCAAACATACCACGCGGAATCACCAACAGCATTAGCTCTTCCCCCAATTAAGTGTTAAATATATATACTAACATTTATTTTGTCCCTTAATTAAGCACTCCTCCTACTATATATGGATGAAGAGAGGAACTAGACATTCGTATGTATGAATGAATTTTATCTATGATATATATTTATTAGCTTTGTCTAGCGATGAGGGAAGAGGATGATGGATGCTTGCTAGGAAACATTTGCTTCCGTCCAAAGAATTCAGAATATCGTCTTTGAGGTCATTTTCAGTGCAAGGTATAAGAGTAAAAGAAATATAATGGATCTTTCTGACAATGGACCATGTGTTGCAATTTTTGTTCAGAGGAGGACCCATTCGCATTCGAGAATACTGGTATCCATCAGGTGGGTCAAGATTTATGCGAGACTATCATCACATAATTTTCAGATCATGTATCTACGAGATTTATGATTTTTATTTTTTTTTAAAAAGCGATAAATTTCTTCCTTTCTTTTTTACCAAAATGTTCATAGTTTTTACTTCCATTTTGTTCCAGAATTTATTTGATTTGAATTTTTTATCTACTATTTTTATAATTAATTGTAAAAACTACCACCTTATTTTACTTTTGGTTTTAATTTTTTTTTTATAGATTTATATAAGAAACGATGGAATTAAAATTTTTACATTTTCACTGTTTTTTATTTCAAATATTTTAAAATAAAAAGAAAATAATTTTTTGAAATCCTAAAGGGGGGAGGGGGTTGTAAATCTTGCAACTCGTTCATGACCGACACACGACTTGCGCCGGCCGGTTGGCTCTCTACTCATTGGGCCCATTAAGCTTTGTCATTGTGTGTAATAACTCACAAATAAAAGCCCATCCATTGACAAAAAAGCCCATCCGTTCGGGCAACCTAAACAAAATTTCTTTACCACTGTCATAGTGCATGGGGTCAAAAGCAATTTTTTCTCGAGAATTTCTAAATCGACAGAGGAAGATTTCCTTTCAAAAAAGGGAGATCACTAAGGAATGAAAACTTTTAATCATAGAAGTTAATATGCTTTGAAATGATGCTTGCACAGTAATAAACCAGTGTGGTTGATGGAATATTTATGCTTCTCCGTCAAATTTAATCAACGACTTTGATTAGTTAGCAACCTTTCGTTAAAATTTGTGCAATAAATTTCATACTCTTAACAAAATTTTTCTTATAAACTCAATACAGGCCGAGGCCGATCTTCTAAATCATTTAACACGTTACAGTAAAACCACCAAGCTATTTAATGAGTTTATTCAATAGCATGGGAGTTTTAAGAAAAATTTGTTAGGATAAAGTTGTTCAACTCACTTACATCAAAATCTCTTTTTTTAAACGTATTTTTGTTATTTTTTTTCATCCAGGGCATAAAAATATCAATCATATGATAGCTTTGTGAAAACTAACGGAACTGGTTATTGTCCGATCTCATTCTGATCATGACATCATTCTTGTCCTTTACTCAGTGTATCTATCGTTCAATTTTTGGAGCTCTGCAACACTGCCAATATTATGATGACATGAGTCAGCAATCGAAGCATAAAATAGCCATGCTATATGATCGTCAAATTTGAGCATCCTTAATTTTCAGTGAAGGTTCGTCCCTCTTTCTTAACTGATTGGGAGGGTAGATTGGACAACTTGTGGCAATGATTTTTAAGCCGAATGGCATCTCTTCCCTGTTCAAGAGTAGGGCTTTGTTTGGCATGCCATTTTAAGAAGGTAAGAATAGAAAAATATTAGATGGATAAAATCTATTTCTTGTTTTGGTTGGTAACGGATTAGCTAAAGTAATTTGGGGCGACAAAATGACAGTGAAACCAAGCCTGAAGGCTGAGAAACATATTACAAGTCAAGTTGCATCTAGATCATGTTAATTTTTCTTTAAATTTAAGCTGTTAATTTACACCTGCATGCGTTTTCGTTTAAATTGTTTTCTCTGTCATACATTATTATAAATTCCACTTTATACAACACGATTAAAACCTCTGCCATCACTTGAAACCCCAATAATTGTAAAGGGAAGAAAAAATGGTTTTGTATTCTAATGTCTACCCCACGGCATTGGCAAATGACACCGTAAAAAAATAAAAATAATATATATATATATATCAATTAAATAAAAAATTCAAATAGAATGTAAGAATTTTTTTAAATTTAAATTAGTGTAAGAAAATTTTGTCCTTATATATATACAAATAATAATGTTCTATGTATATAAAGATAATTTTTCGTCTGAGTGTTAAAACTATATATTAAGATAATTTTTTAATAATTGAGACGAATTTATTTTAATCTTTATTTGATCTGAATTTTATAAGCAAGTTATTTAAATTTAAACTCTATTTGATCAAATTAGATAATAAACAAGACGATATTAGATTAACCTAATTTATTGACATAATATATTAATTTTAACATTATAAACAATATAATTATATAAGGAGCTATATTTAAAAAAAATATTTTAAAGCATATATTTTAAAATAAAAAATTAATATAAATATAAAATTATATCATACAAAATATTATGTATCAAATTATTAACTTTTATTACCAATATATCATCATTAAAATATATAATTTTCTAAAAAAATGAAATTAAATCGGATTATAAAAGACTTGAAGCATAACTCAAATTCATAAAATACTTATAATCTGATTTCTGAAACATGAACTTGAACCTTTCATAGTTACGTTCTATTCATACCAAATTAGTGGAATAGGATGAATCTTTAACACTCCTTTTTGCTCACACCTCACCATGTGGCTTAACTAATGATTTGAAATTGCAAACAATCTGTTGTCTACTTGTACACAAGTCCTGTTCCTGTCAGCATTTACTATTTTTTGAGGAAGTTAAACATGACATTCGTTTAACTTAACATTGTTGAATTTATGTTTGAAATACTAAGATATCTAACATGTTGAATTTGTTTATTTGGCCAACATATACCCTGGTAAAGTGAAGGCTAGTCAGAAACCCCTTTCTTAAGATCCGGCATGCTTCATGATATTGAATCTAGCGCGATTTGCAATATAAAATGATTAAGCGCCATATCTATTTTGAGCAATCTGTTCTGAACCATGAATTGTTCTTTACTATTAACAATTGTAGCTACTCTAGGGTCCTCTTGTTATTTCTCTGGTACGCTTTTCTAGTAAAGAAGAGAATGAAAGGAGGTAACAAGAGTAAAGAGGCTCCAGTTCCAGCTGGTGTATGGCCAGTTATTGGTCACCTCCACCTTTTGGGTGGTGATGATCAACTTCTTTATCGAACACTTGGAGCAATGGCTGATGAACATGGGCCAGCATTCAATATTTGGCTTGGTAGTCACAGAGCATTTGTGTTGAGTGACTGGGAAGTGGCAAGAGAATGTTTCACAACTAATGACAAAGCACTTGCCTCACGTCCCACAACAGTTGCTGCAAAGCACATGGGCTACAACTATGCCGTGCTTGGTTTTGCGCCTCACAGTCCGTTTTGGTGTGAAATGAGAAAGATTGCAACTCTTGAACTTCTTTCCAACCGCAGGCTTGAAAGGCTTAAGCATGTTAGTGTCTGAGCTCAACGTGGGTATGAGGGAGTTATACAACTCTTGGGTCCACAATAGCGCTCAGTCTGTGCTTGTGGAGCTAGATAGATGGTTGGAGGATTTGATTCTTAATATGGTGGTTAGAATGGTGCCCGGGAAACGTTACTTTGGTGCCTCATCTGTGTGTGATGATGATGATGAGGCAAGGCGGTGTCAGAAGGCTATTGATCAGTTCTTTCATCTGATTGGCATTTTTGTGGTTTCAGATGCGATTCCGTTTTTGCGTTGGTTTGATGTGCAAGGGCATGAGAGGGCAATGAAGAAGCAGCTAAGGAGTTGGATGCTCTACTTGAAGGGTGGCTACAAGAGCATCGGAAGCAAAGAGTTAATGGTTAAGACGGAGGCTGAAAAGGATTTCATTGATGTCATGTTGTCACTTCAGGAGGGAGGTCATTTGTCTAATTTCCAATATGATTCGGATACAAGTATCAAATCCACATGCCTAGTAAGTGAGAAAAAAAAAGAACTTAATTTGTTCTTGTAATAATTAACTTTATATTGCCTTTATTATCTCAACAAGTACCTGAATTGATTTATGATGCTTTAGGATATGTGCTATCAGAGGAAGAATTCATAGTTAATTGCCTAGTAAGCCATAGCTACCCAAATCCCTCAAAGGTTGTTTGTGCTATCATATTTGTTATGCTTTGTCGGTGAAAATCACCAATATTCTGACGTTATTCTGCCACCTAGCTGTAGTTAAGAGCTATATGGACAAACTTCTTAAACATGAATTGACAAGAGGGAAATGAAATAAAAAAGTAAATAGAATCAAATTTCTCCGCAAGTACATGCAAATTTAATAGTGCTCAACAGTGTTATACCTTATAAAAAGTATTGTCTAACTGGATCAAGTGCTTGTAAGTTGTAATAGTTTGTATTTTTTTATGTTACTGTTGTAGTTTGATTACTATACTATTCTTGTTTTTTTCCCGGTGAACGTGTGCAGGCTCTTATAGTTGGTGGCAGTGATACCACAGCAGGCACACTTACTTGGGCCATCTCATTACTGCTCAACAATCGTCAAGCATTAAAGAAGGCACAAGAAGAATTGGACTTGAATGTTGAGAAGCATCGGCAAGTTGAGGAATCAGATATAATAAACCTTGTATATCTTCAAGCCATTATCAAGGAAACCCTGCGACTATACCCAGCTGGTCCACTCCTAGAACCAAGGGAAGTCCAAGAAGATTGTAATGTTGCTGGTTATCATGTTCCTGCTGGAACACGCTTGGTGGTTAACTTGTGGAAGATTCATAGGGATCCAAGGATTTGGCATGACCCTTCTGCTTTTCGACCAGAGAGATTTGTGACAAGCCATGCACTTGATGTTAGAGGTCAAAACTTTGAACTCATTCCCTTTGGCTCTGGTAGAAGGTCATGTCCTGGCATGTCCTTTGCACTCCTAGTTGTTAACACTTGCTCGTCTGCTTCATGCATTTGAATTTGCAACCCCATCAGATGAACCAGTTGACATGACTGAGAGTCCAGGTTACCATTCCTAGAGCAACTCCATTGGAAGTTCTTCTTACTCCTTGCCTTCCAGCCAAATTATATGCCTAATAAGTATTTAACGGATGTTCTAATAAAGTCAATTTCAATAAGGAATTGATTATGAAATTCTGTGTTTGATATAAACTTAGGCCACGAGGCCATTAGGCCCATTACAATGAGAAGTCCCGAGTCATGTCATGTGTTAAATTAACCTAGTGAAATTTATTCATATCAATATCACGAGAAAGATGTGAATTTGATTTTTATTGTTTGTAAAATTTATAAAAATAATTAAGTAAAACGTCTTTTTAATTTTCAATGTATATAATCATTAATTATTTTAGTTTTTATAACTTTAAGAATATAATCTATAATCTAAAAAATATATCATTTTACTCTCCAATACAAGTAATTGTTAGTCATTTAATTATCAATGTATTATCTAAACATTAGTTAATCTAATGAATAAGATAATTTAACATGTTAAGTGTCATGTAGACATGATACATAATATTTAATCAACTAATTTAATCTTCATAAAATTCTAAGTTTAGAGATTATTTAGAAATTAAAATAGCAAATCTTAAGAAAAATAAATTTCAAGACACCACTTTGTCATATTATTATTAAATGTTATGTGATATGATTAACTAAGTCAGCTTGTTTGTTAAAAAAATTAATATCTAAATGATGATATAGAATAAAATGATTAACAATTACATATATCAAAAAATTAAGTGATTGATGATTGCATACATTAAAGACTAAAATAATATTTTGTTCATATTATGAATTGTTTTGATAATTTTCAAAATTATATGTATTAAAATGATTCATAATTATATATGTTGAGAATTAAAATAATATTTTAATTAGTTTAAGAACTATTTTAATGAATTTTAAAAATAATAGGATAAAGATTGATAGATTACTCTTAGTGTTACTTTAGTAATTCTACATTCAAGTTTTAATTAAAAAAAAATGAAAACCATATACTGAAAATAATACTTTTTTAAAAATCTCAATGGACATGAAAAGTCAAAACAAAATAAGAGTGATAAGGAAGAATTCTTTATTATTTATTATAATGAAAAATTTTAAAAGAAGAATAAAAAAATATATCAGGAGTGGTGTTAAAAGTAAAAATGGAAAATTGTCAATTCCCAGCTGATTAAGTGTGATAGATAGATTTATTAAAGATTAAGATTTAACAACAATAAATGTAGATTTCGATATTGGATTTGAGTATCGCTCTTTTTAGTTTTAATCCAATCTTCTTTGTGCCCTTTATTTTTTGTTGTTGTTCAAAACCTTACTGGACTTGAAGCCGAAAACAAAGTCCAGTAGCTGATTTTGGTGAACTGATTCTCTATATTCAGTAGCCCAAAATTATTTTCCGACTATCCATCCAAACCAACCTATTCGTACTACTGGTCATTTTTACCATCCAAACCAAGCCCAAAATAACCATTTATGTTATAACTTTAACTATAAGATTTATTAAAATAAATTAAACTAAAGTAATTTACTAAAATGAATTAAAAATAACTTCTAAAACTCAAACTATATTTTATAGGTTATTTATAAAAAAATTCAAAACAGGTCACATGTCAATGAGCGATTTCATTAGTAAATATTTAAATAATTTTTTATTATTCAAAACATATTTGTAAATTATATATAATTTTTTATGAATTTAAATTTACAAAAAATATAAATCAATCATACTTTTTTAATATTTTTATTTATGAAGACAGGTAACAAAATTCTAAAATAAATTTAATTCATAAATTTTGAAAATATAAAAACACTCAAATAAAAGAGGAGCTTAACTTCTTCTTTTTTCTATCTTCTTAATTTCTTTAAATTATTTTCTTCCTTTTAATCTTACTGCCTCCATATTTCTTATCTCTAGGATTGTAGTTTTCATACATGATTTTGACGAAAATAATCATATCTATTAAGAGATTAGAAGGAAATAAAAAATAAAATAAAATAAACGACTTAAGAAAAGCAAAATAAAAAGTAAGTGGATCAGTGTTTTCCTTATTTCCATCAATTGACCTAATTGTTCCCAAAAAATTGTTTTATGTGTAACTGAAGGGTCCACAAACCAAATCAAATTTAAAATCTATAACAAGAAAGTCTTTACCTTTAATTTGTAAAATGAAGAACAAAATATGATTAATGACGTGATATAAAATAAATGAAGAGAGAGAAAAAGAATAAATCTAAAATAAACAAAATGAAAAAAAACACAAAAATTGCTAATAAAAAACAGAGAGTGACGAGTGAGTGTTCAATAGAATATAAACGGATAATGGTGCTAAGATTTTCATTTTTTATTTCCAAACATTGAATATAAATTAAATTTATATACTTTATAAAAAAATTATATAAATATAGGAAAACCAATTGAAATAAGCAGAGAACTTGAACTTTTAGACTTGCCTCGTTTAAAAAAATAATGTTTGTATCTATCTATTTAAATTATTTAAACACAAAGTTTAGAGTTGTTTTTTTTCAATTCAAAGGTTAAACTCTCCTCATTTAACTTTCACTGCAATAGTTACGAATTAATTAAAACATATATTCTATTTTTATATTTTTTACTTTACTAATTAATAATAATAATATCAATAACTTAACAAAAATAATAAAGTTAAAGATAAAATACTAATTTTTAGAAATTATTATTTACTGTAATTAGAAATTAAAAAAATATTATTTTCATTTTATTTCTTATTTTAAAAAAATATTTTTAAATTCTTAGTATGTAATTTAAGCACACATTAAAAAATATTTAATATTTTTATATCGCTTATCATTTTATTTATTTTCTTTTACATTTTTTAGTTGCTTAATAAAAATGTAAATGGTTTTTCTAATAATTCAAAATATATTTTAAAAGAAGTAATAAATTGTTATTACCTTTAAATTATTGAAAAACAAGTAATTAAACATATTTAAGTATTTTTATTTTATGACAACAAGTCACAAACTTATTTTCTTATTTTCCAAAACACATTTATTGTAGTATACAAAATATATTGCTCCAATTTTAAGAAAAGAAATCAAAACCGTTAGTTGAATTTAAAACGAAAACTTAAATATTCCATCAAACTGGAATAATCCACTCATCCAAAATTTCCTACTATTTATCATTTTCATTTTTAAAATCATTTTCATAACCTTCGTTGAAAATTCCATTAAGCTGTCCAAGTAATAATGCAGACGTTTTCTCTTTTCTCTGGTCGAAGCACTACAAAAGCAATAACAACCTTACATTCAGCATATACTGTCATGGACGTAGCAGCGGTTGTTGGAGTCATTGGTTTACTATTAATTTCTTACTACGTGTTCTTCTCCTTCATCAAGAGGGGTGGTGCAGGCCATGGTCGCAAGCCACCGGTAGCAGCCGGTTGCTGGCCATTGATTGGTCATCTTTATCTCTTCGGTGGTTCCACTAAGCCTCCTTACGAAACCTTAGGAGCCTTAGCAGATAAATATGGAGCAATATTCAGCATCCACATCGGTTTGCACCCTGCTGTGGTGGTTAACACTTGGGAGCTTGCCAAAGAGTGTTTCACTACTCTTGATCTCTTTGTCTCTTCTCGTCCCAAATATACCGCTACAAAAATCTTGGGATACGACTATGCTAATTTTGGGTTCTCCCCTTACGGGGATTTCTGGCGTGAGATGCATAAGATAACGGTTTCAGAGTTGCTCTCCTCTCGCCGGTTTGAACTGCTTCATGATATAAGAGATTCAGAGGTGCAGGGCTCGTTGAAAGAACTGTATAGAGCGTCGGCGGAGAAAATAGGTGGCTCTGGTGATTTGTTGGTGGAGATGAACCAGTGGTTTGGAGTCTCGAATCTGAACGTGATTCTGAGGATGATTGCAGGAAAGCGATACACAAGTGGAAATGAGCAACAGGTAAGGCGATTGCAGGGGGTTCTCAGAGAGTTCCTCCGTTTGACGGGATTATTTGTGGTTGGGGACGCGATTCCTGCTCTTGGGTGGCTTGATTTTGGAGGCCAAGTGAAAGAGATGAAGAATACGGCTATAGAAATGGACAGCATCGTTGGTGAATGGTTAGAAGAACATCGCCGGAAAAGAGAGTCCGGGGAGACTAAAACAGAACAAGACTTCATTGATGTGTTGCTGTCCGTCATCCACCACGTCCATCTTGCTGGTTATGATGCTGAAACTGTCATAAAAGCCACTTGCTCAGTTACTACGTAGTCTTACTATTTTATTACGTTCAAATATGATATAAACTTGAAGAGCTTCGTATATATACACTTTATATTTATTATTTTTAAAAGCTTGCTATTTCCTTCTTTTGAAACAATTGATGATCGAATTTATTATATCATGCAGGCGCTAATTGTTGGGGCTGCAGATACTACGATATCTGCCATGATATGGGGACTCTCGTTATTGCTGAATAATCGGCATGCTCTAAAGAAAGTTCAAGATGAATTGGATGAGCACGTTGGCAAGGAAAGACTAGTGAATGATTCAGATGTTAACAAATTAGTTTACCTTCAAGCCGTAGTTAAAGAGACACTGCGATTGTATCCACCTGCGCCACTCTCAGGTCCACGCGAATTCACGGAGGACTGTACCTTAGGTGGCTACCATATTCAAGCAAATACCCGATTAATTTTGAACCTTTGGAAATTGCATAGGGACCCACGCGTATGGTCAGAACCATTAGAGTTTCGACCAGAAAGGTTTTTGGACACTCACAAGGGTGTGGACGTGAAGGGTCGGCATTTTGAGCTTCTTCCCTTTGGTAGTGGAAGAAGGTCATGCCCTGGCTTATCATTTGGCCTTCAAATGACACACTTAGCATTAGCAACTTTTTTGCAAGCATTTGAGGTCACAACCCCGTCCAATGCCCAAGTTGATATGAGCGCCACTTTTGGACTCACAATCATGAAAGCCACTCCACTTGAGGTTTTAATCAAACCTCGTCTATCGCAGTTGTTTCTCTTTAGGGGTTAAAGTTTAAGGAAAATTCCCCTGCGTCAACCTGCGGTGTTTATCCTAATTTGATGAGTGCTTCTATATTTTTATCTTTAGTAATGTAATTTTCATATATATGTTTTTCACAATAATAATTTCATCTAGGAAGAGATGAAATACACACACACATATATGATCAGAAAGTAAAAATATATTATGAGAAACTGTTCTGAGAACTGTATTATTCTTTTACTCCGTCATCAATACTATATGATTGGTAAGTGTTTAGAAATTGATGTAAATGTGCACAATTTCATTTAAGCAGAATATGTTTTAAATGAATAATGGTTTAAAACGACTTAAATGTTTGAGAAAAAATGATAATATACTCAAATAACAAGCAATATTTTTTTATTTTTTTTTTATACGTACGTTAAATTTTTTTACACCTTATAATAAAGTTAACTTTTTTAGTAACTCACTATGGATAAAAAAGCTAATCTATTGAAATACATTTAAATTATAAAATAGAGATTCTTTCTAACAATATTAATTTTTTTATGTCTATTAATATTAAAATAACAATTAATAAACCTTTGAGTTAAAGGAATTTATCCCCACAGATCCTTACAAAATATAATATGACAAATTTTAAATTTAATTTTTTTAAAATATAGACTAAGGTTTTTTTCCTTATAAAGTTAGAGATTATACCTTTTGATGGAATAAATTGAAGGAAAAAGAAATGAACGTTTACACTTTAACCCAACGTCCTTTAATGAAGCCATATTTTGAGTGAATCACAACCTCATATCCATTGGCCATTGCCACACGTGAAAGCCAAATTTGGGAGAATTGTTTTTATACATTTACAATTTTTTTATGGTCAATTAAGTCAAATTTTAAATATAAAAGATTATTAGACACAAAAGATTAGTCATATATATCCTAACAGTTAAGATGTATAATTTTTTCCTTCTTGTTTTTTTATTGGAAATTTTCAGAAACAAAATAATAAACTTAACCCTAACGTTAGATGTAGTGGTAAGGTAAAATTTTCCCCCCCTCAAAATAGTGATTCCAAGGAAGTGATAAACTTCCTAAACTTTTTATCTTGTGCCTAAATAAAGTATCTTATAAATTAATTCTTTAACATATGCAATTGTTTTAATTTTGTGAGCGAGGTTTCTAAATTATATAAAGAATTAATGATTCATATATTTATTTTATAAAGAGGTTTTTAAAAATTTTGCGAGGTGATGATAGTTTTAACGTAACACTTCAGCCTAAAAAAAATACGAGTCTTACTAATTTGTGCTCTAACGACATACTTTTATAAAATAATGATATGAATATGCGAAAACAAATTGAAATAGGGAGATAACTTGAAATTTTAGACTTATCTCGTTAAGAGAATATTCTTCATATTTATCTCACTTAATTCAATGATTTAAACACAAAATTTAGACGTGACTTCTTAAAAAATTATAAAAACTAAGCTTACTCGTGTAATTCTTTCACTGCAACACTTATGAATAAAATGCACCATATATTTTAATTAATAATAACAACAACAATATCAGTAATTGAACAAAAAAAAAATACTAATTAAGAGAGAAAATATTACTTTTTAAAAATTATTTATTGTAATTAATTAGTAATAAAAATTATACTATGCTATTTGTTTACGATATATTTTTACAGAACTTTTTACAATATATATATATATATATATATATATATATATATTAATTTTCTGCATCGCTTTAATTATATTAGAATATATTTCTTTTCTCTTTCTGTCACTCTCTTTATTATATAAAAAAATTGTACGAACTTATTAAATAAATTCAAATTATCAAACAGATGGATTCAAAATTTTGCTACGAGCAAGCGAAGAAGGTGGAAGCTAATCCAGGCATGGGTTCGTATAGGACTAGCTAATAATGGTCATTGCACCCAAGTGGAGTCTACAAATGGCACTTTCACTCTAGCTAGCTCCCAAAGATTGTAGCAGAAAACTGATCCGGTTGTTGCCTTCAATGCTAGTCCAGCCATTGACCTAACAATCCCAGATTGACTCCAAATAACTAATAATTGGTGGATCAGTCTTGCTAAAAAGAATGTATATTTTCTGTATCGTTTTTATTGAGTGCTGATACATATATTTATATATCCAATTCACAAAGGTACTAATAAAATCGACAACTAACTAAATGAGGAAAGGACAGATATCAGTTTCTTAAGTTTATGCTAACAATTAAATAAAGGGTGATATGTTGCAGATAAAGCTAGATGTGCATCATATGTGGACATGATTCTCTGAATCATATGTGGGCGTGATTCTCTCGTTAAGTCTTTTTTTGCTTTCTGAAAAATTGTTTTATCTGTAAGCGAAGGGTCCACAAATTTATAAACGGAAGAAAATAGTGAAAGGAAGATAGAGATGAAGAAAAATAAAATAAATATAAATATATAAAAATTGCTAAGAATAGAATGAATGAATGAATGAGCGACAAGAGAAGATAAACTGATAACGTCCCCGAGATTTTGTTTTTCCAAACATTGATTGTGACGTTAAGAAATTATCTCGTGGTGATCATAAAGAATATTTACTCAAAGTAAGTTTTAAGGCTTTTCATAATATACTTTCATGAAATAACTATTTGAATATAGGAAAACAAATAGCATGAGATTTTAGCCATGTTCGCGTTAAAAAAAATTATCTTCGTATTTATTTAAGTGATTTAAAAGTCAATAATAATAATAATAATAATAATAATAATAATAATAATAATAATAATAATAATAATAATAATCAAGTTCAATAACTTAACAAAAAGATAATTCATTAATCCAAATTTTCCTGCTATTTATTAATTTCGTTTTCTAAATTATTTTCGTAACCTTGTTTTCAATTAACGGTACTTGCACGTAAGTAATAATGCGTACGATCTCCCTTGTCTCTGGTTGGCGCACTACAAAAGCAACACCAACCTTACGTTCAGCATAGACATCGAAAACTGTCATGGACGTAGCAGCCGTTGCTGGAGTTATTGGCTTACTGCTAATTTCTTGCTACGTGTTCTTCTCCTTCTTGAAGAGGGGTAGTGCAGGTCGTGCTCCCAAGCCACCGGTAGCAGCCGGTAGCTGGCCTTTGATCGGTCATCTTTACCTCTTAGGTGGTTCCTCTAAGCCTCCTTACGAAACCTTAGGAGCTTTAGCAGACAAATATGGAGCAATATTCAGCATCCGAATCGGTGTGTACCCTGCTGTGGTGGTTAACAGTTGGGAGCTTGCCAAAGAGTGTTTTACTACTCTTGATGTTATCGTCTCTTCTCGTCCCAAATTCACTGCTGCAAAAATCTTGACATACAACTATGCTAGTTTTGCGTTCTCCCCATATGGAAAATTCTGGCGTGAGATGCGTAAGATAACGGTTTCAGAGTTACTTTCCACTCGCCGGTTTGAACTGCTTCGAGATGTTAGAGATTCGGAGGTGCAGAGTTTGTTAAAAGAACTGTACAGAACATGGGTGGAGAAAAGAGGTGACTCCGATGATTTGTTGGTGGAGATGAAGCAATGGTTAGGAGACATCAATCTGAACGCGTTTCTGAGGATGATTGCGGGAAAGCGATTCTCCGCCGAAAATGAGCAACAGGCGAGGCGAGTTAGGAGGGTACTCAGAGAGTTTTTCCGTTTGATGGGATTATTTGTGGTTGGGGACGCGATTCCTGCTCTTGGGTGGCTTGATTTGGGAGGCGAAGTGAAAAATATGAAAAATACGGCTATAGAGTTGGATCGCATCGTTGTTGAATGGTTAGAAGACCATCGCCAGAAAAGAGACACTGGTGAAACTATCGCAGAACAAGACTTCATTGATGTGTTGCTTTCCGTCATTGATGGCGTCGACCTTGCTGGTTACGATGCTGACAACGTCATAAAAGCCACTTGCTCGGTACGCAGCTTTACACATTCCCATTTCCACTCTCCTCTTTTGATTATGTTCAATATCTATCTTATACCTTGCGATTTACATTAAACTTACTCGTGTACGTAAATGAATAAAATTAACTTATTATGACTACAATACATTTTGACATTTGCTTGAGAGCATATTCCAAAATAGGAATGAATTGTCAATGTTTTTCACCCTCTTTTTTGTTATGATTAAGATTAGTAAAGGACGGTCCTTTTTAATTGTTATTGTAGCGAGTGAGATTGATACAGTTGACAATGGACTTTGTGGTATCTTGCAGACCTTAATTGCAGCCTCAGTAGATACTACGACAGTTTCCACCATATGGGCACTCTCGTTATTGATGAATAATCGACATGCTCTAAAGAAAGTTCAAGATGAATTGGATGAGCACGTGGGCAAGGAAAGACTAGTGCATGATTCAGATATTAACAAATTAGTTTACCTACAAGCTGTAGTTAAAGAGACACTGCGATTGTATCCACCGCCTTTCTCAGGTCCGCGGGAATTCACACAGGACTGTATCTTAGGTGGCTACCATATTCCAGCAGGTTCCCGATTTATCTTGAACCTTTGGAAAATGCACAGAGACCCACAAGTATGGTCAGAACCATCAGAGTTTCAGCCAGAAAGGTTTTTGGGAACGCACACGGGTATGGATGTCAAGGGTAAGCATTTTGAGCTTCTTCCCTTTGGCTGTGGACGAAGGTCGTGTCCTGGCCTATCATTTGCCCTTCAAATGACACACTTGACATTAGCAGCTTTGTTGCAAGCATTTGAAGTCACTACCCCATCCAATGCCCAGGTTGATATGACTGCCACTTTTGGACTCACAGTCATCAAATCCACTCCCCTCGAGATTTTGATCAAACCTCGTTTATCACATCAGCTTCTCCTTATAGATGAAGCTAAAGAAAATTCAGTACATTAACCTTCAGCATCTATACCTAAGGTCTCTATGGTTTTACCTCTCCCTCCAACGCCGTGAATTGGTACATGTTTAAAATTAGAAGTTGATGTGCACAACTTTATTTGAGTAGAATATGCTTTAAATTAATAATTGTTCAAAAAAAGTTAAATGTTTGAGAAAAATGATAATATATATGCCCATAAATAATATTCAATAGTTATATTTGTTTATTGATTTAATTTTATATTCAAAATGTTAATAATACCTTATTACAAAGTACTAATATCTAGCCTTACGCGACACTAGCATCCACCAATCCTATGGCGTCCATCAATTCAGATCCTAAGCATCTTGTGGAGTTCTACACATCCACCCAACCTGTGGTTTTCATTTCATCCACACAAGTACTAATCAAGCTGAACATGTACGCAGCTGTGAACAATACAACCCCTCGTTGTTCCTTATTTCTTTCCTCTAACAGGTCTCGATCTGCTGCCCCTAAAACATTTACGTGCAAGCTTGAACCACATGTTCATTCTTCATTTGTTTCTAGTGCATCAAATACACAATAATAAGAAAGTTTGACATGTGACAGTATTCACTTTTGGCCTTGTTTATTTTAATCAAATGGTCAAAATTTCTACAATCTGTTTTCCTCTTTAACTTTTGGTACGCTATTGCAAGTTTGGCATGTTGGCTTTTGATTGGCTTCAAAATATGTGGTATCAGTATCCAAAGTGATAGCGCAATCCATTCCCGGACAGGTACAGGTATCCTTTCATTTTTTTAGCTTTACTGCTTTTTTATTTTATTTATTATTTAAGCAAAAAGAAATCACTTAAACAAAAGTGAAAATACACTAATAGCAGTACCCAATTACTGTAAAAGATTGTCATCCGTCCATTTTCATCTAACTTTATTGACGATTCTTAATTAGTACGTAAATTCCTACAAGAATACACAATAATTAATTCTTGGACTAAACCAATTTATACAAATGAGAAACACTTATAACTATATATACATAGTTGCATGAAATACAAAAGAATTAATGGATCAGAAATAAACAAGGTTATTTTGGTTCATTTGTGTCTGTTGCCTCTCATGATACTACGTACCTATCTCTTTTTGCCATGCACCTTTATTTTGATCAAATGTTCAACTCTACGATAAATTGTTTTCCTTTATGATTTTTTGCCCAAATTTATGTACATTTATCTGTATTATATCAATCTGAAGCATGTGTAATTAACATATTAAAAATAATAAACTCTTTTTAGTTACCCCATCATCATGCATATTGTCTCAACTTGACGACTTTTTCTTAAGTTCTTTAATTTTTTTTAATGTGTATCTAATGACACATGTTAACAAGTCTAAAATAAAAATATTTATTATCTTAAAATCATAAAAAAGCAATCAGTGTAAATTTTTTATAATAATTTAAAATATTTATTAAAATATATTGATGTTTCTTAACATGTCTTTTTAGACCCGTTAAAAAAACCATTCTTCTTTCGATATCAATTGCATTTTTTATAGGCTGGCTATCTTAATTTTTTAACTCTTAACGCCAGTTACATTCCTTTTAGACTATATATTTTTAATTGAGTTACTGTTTAAATTATTTAATTTACCTAACTCCGGCTCTAAAAATGATAGAACAAGCATCAAGAGAAAAATATTCAAACGACTGATTTTGGACATGTGCTATAAAAAATCAGACAGTTCTCCTCTTACTCTAGCGAATTTAATTTATTCTAATTTTACATTTTTATACCCCGTGCTGGTAGGAACTTTATGTAGTTTTATTTCTTGGGGCACTATTCCCTCATTAATTTAGGGAAAAAAGAGAGTCTAAAATCACTGTTTTTTGGTTCGCCTGATGCACGGGTTGATATCTTGTAGGAAGTGATAAGTAGTGAACTTTAGAAAACCAGGAAGAACGAGCAAGCTAGCTAGTCCCATGGGTTCTGGGAGGAGTGCTTTTTCATTGCGAATGATTCAATCCAATCCAGCCACATATTTTCTATGCTAGCTTATTATGACTGCACCTCAGTCCTAGTTTTCAGTTTGGCTTTAAAATGTGTCGTTTATTTCTACCCTCTTTTCCTTTTGTGTCCTGTATATGCTTAGTATACTTTACTTTAATTCGGTCAAATCAATTTAAGAATGAGAAAAGGACAACTTATTTATTAGAAGAGTAAAATGCACTGGTCTCACTTTCATTAATAGTAAGAATTTGAGCAATTATATGAAAATGAAATTAATAGTAAGAGATTGCATATATGTCAAAAAAAAGTAGAGTAGAATGATTGTGAAACTCTTCCGTGTTTACGTGTGTGTAAAAAAACCTACGTATGTCAAAATTTCTCAAGAGACGTTATTCCATTTATTGATAAATATTTTATATAACTCTTTGTTGTTTGATGCATTTTTTTTGTGTGTTCTTTTTAACATGCTAAGGCTTTGTATTTGGTTTTTGCTCTTTTTTTTTCAAAAAAAGTTTCAAACAATCTTATTAAACTTTATTTCTCGTTTCTGTTTTGTCTTTAACTTTTTTAGTCACGCCAAGTTAAACGAATTTAAACATTTTAAAAGATAACTAATGATTCAATAAAAATATTAACACAAAAATATAAAATTCGATTTTGTTTGGTAATTTGTTTTCGCAAATAAAATGTATACTTTTGTTTTCACGACAATAACATTTATGAAGTGAAATTACTCTTGCCTACTTATACGTTTTAAAATTTAATTTTGTCTAACTATTCACGTTTAGCCGGTGTCACTTTCGTCTCGATCCTTACAGGGCTGCCATTCTACAAACAAACAAATATTAAGTTACTAATCATTCAACTGAGGCAGCGCAAAGTGACATGGTTCTCACGATTCAGTATCTAGATGCAGCAGTAGCTGTAGTTATTGGCTTTCTACTGTTTGCTTACTTGCACTTCATCAAGAGGGGTAGAGCAAGTGATTCCTGTAAGCCACCCGTAGCCGCCGGTGGCTGGCCTTTGATCGGTCATCTTTACCTCTTAGCTGGTTCAGCTCAGCCTCCTCACATAACCTTAGGAGCCTTAGCAGACAAATATGGATCAATATTCAGCATCCGAATCGGTGTGCACCCTGCTGTTGTGGTCAACACTTGGGAGCTCGCCAAAGAGTGTTTCACTACTCTTGATCTCTTTGTCTCTTCTCGTCCCAAATATACCGCTGCCAAAATCTTGGGACACAACTATGCTAATTTTGGGTTCTCCCCTTACGGACACTTCTGGCGTGAGATGCGTAAGATAACCGCCTCAGAGTTACTTTCTGCTAGCCGGTTTGAACTGCTACGAGATATTAGAGATTCCGAGGTGAAAAGCTCGTTGAAAGAACTGTATAGATCATGGGTCGAAAATAGAGGAGGCTACGATGATTTTTCAGTGGAGATGAAGAAGTGGTTTGGAGACATGAATCTGAACGTGATTCTGAGGATGATTGCGGGAAAGCGATACTCCACCAAAAGTGAAGATGAGCAACAAGTTAGGCGAATTCGGGGGGTTTTCAGAGAGTTCTTCCGTTTGACGGGATTGTTTGTGGTTGGTGACGCGATTCCTGCTCTTGGGTGGCTTGATTTTGGAGGCGAAGTGAAAGAGATGAAGAATACGGCTATAGAAATGGACAGCATCGTTGGTGAATGGTTAGAAGAGCATCGCCGGAAAAGAGATAGCTCAGGTGAGAGTGCGACTAAAACAGAACAAGACTTCATTGATGTGTTGTTGTCCGTCCTTAACGGCGTTGATCTTGCTGGTTACGATGTTGATACCGTCATAAAAGGCACCTGCTCGGTACACACGCGGCACTACATCAATTCTTTAGCTTTATTATTTCAAGTATCAACTTAATTAATCAGCTTAGCTGGTTTTATTTCACCCTCTGTTTAATTATAGTTAGTACATCTCTGCTTGTTACAGACCTTAATTGCTGGGGCAACTGATACAACAACTGTTACCTTGACGTGGGGGCTCTCCTTATTGCTGAATAATCGCCATGCTTTGATCAAAATTCAAGAGGAACTGGATGAGCACGTGGGTAAGGAAAGGCTAGTGAATGAATCAGACATCAAGAAATTAGTTTATCTTCAAGCCGTAGTTAAAGAAACAATGCGATTGTATCCTGCTGGGCCATTATCAGGCCCACGTGAATTCACACAGGACTGTTCCTTGGGTGGTTATCATATTAAAGCTGGTACACGATTTATTTTGAACATTTGGAAGCTACATAGAGACCCACGAGTATGGTTGGACGCGTTGGAGTTTCAGCCCGAAAGGTTTTTGGACACCCATAAGGGTGTGGATGTCAAGGGTCAACATTTTGAGCTCCTTCCTTTTGGCGGTGGAAGAAGGGCTTGCCCTGGCATATCATTTGGTCTTCAAATGACACACTTGGCATTAGCATCTTTTCTGCAAGCATTTGAAGTTATGACTCCATCTAATGCTCAAGTTGATATGAGCGCCACTTTTGGACTCACAAACATCAAAACCACTCCACTTGATGTTTTAGTCAAGCCTCGATTATCACATCAGCTTCTCTTTGTTGACGAAGTTAGAGGAAACCCACACATTAATCAACATTCCATGCGTTGATTGTATTCCCCACTTAGATAACCACCAAGGCCTTTATGGTCTCACCTCCCCCACCATGATTTGATGTATGTTTTGAATTAGATGGTTGATGTATATCTGAATACTGTTAGTGTTTCAAAATAATACTTATATTAAAAGTTGGCTTAATTATATTTTTATCCTTATAAATATAAATTTTTTTTTGTGATTAGTCTCTATAACAAGGTCTTTCTAAAATTGATAATTAGAATTTAATTTTTACTGTTAACTTTTTTTTCATTAAACCTGCAGTTAACCAGCTCAACAATTCATGTAATACCATGTTATATAGTATGTCATTTAAATTTTTTATTAATTAAAATAAATATTTACTAAAAAGTACATAAAGATGTTTAAAAAAAAAAAAACTTCTTCCTCTTCAAACTTCTCTCCTACAATACGGCAACCCACTCCAACCTCTACTCTCATTCCTTCCTTCAAACCTCACCACTCTCACTCTAAACCTCCACCTTCCTCACCCCAACTCCAACCTCTATTCTCACCCATTCTTCCAACCCCTCCCCCACCCCTACTTTCCCTTTTCCGGCACCCTTTCTCTTTTATACATTCCTACTTTTTCCGTTATTTATTTCTCATTCTCAACGTTCTCCTACCTCCACCTACTCCCCCCTCTATCACCACTTTCCGGCACCTTTTCTACTTCCCACATGCGATAGTTGCCGTTGCTAAACGCTAATCTCGGAGTTCTAGGACTCTTCTTGAAACTATTTTTCTCCATAATTTTTTATTCAATGTTGGACGAGAGCAAGTTCGATGTCCACTTCAAACTCTAAGCTCTTCGAATACCTTGCCAATTTTGCAAGGTCGGCACGAGAATCCTCAACGGGTGTCTCTCTCTTGTCATTCTCCATTTTTCCACACGGCGATTCACCTTCTCTGATTCTAATTTTCGTTTTCATTGATTGAATGTGTAGTTACTTGCGTGACAAGCCCCGAGTTAAACCCATCTCCAATATCTAGTTCGAACTTGAATGTGTAGTTACTTGTTTAGCTAATTCCAACTTGATTTCCTTTTAGATTGCGTGTTGAGTTTGTGTGGTGGGGTCCCATTTTGGAAGGGAACATTGTTCACATCTTTTGTTTGTGTCACTGGTCAATAAATCAACTAAGGGGTTTTCATTGTTCATAACCATTGAAAGTGGCTATTCATAGGACAGTGAAAGTGCTAAAGTCAAGACCTAGTTGCTGATATGGTAGTACACAATGTCCAAAGAGAAATAATAATTGATAAAATAATTTTTTTCTAAATGATAGAACCTAACAGAAATTAGCAATTCTCACTTATAATATCGACAATAGTTCTTCCATTGCTGAAACGACCAGTGGGCATTCCAAAATCAACTCCATAAGGGTCATGATTTGCTTTGGCCAATGAAACAAAATAGTTGTTGTTCCCCACATCAAGTAGGGAATCCCCAAATACAAAAGACGCTGGAATATTCATTATGAAGTTAATCCTGAACAAGTGTTTGTGGACAATAAGGATGCGCTTGTTGAAGCTGGGAAGGGTATGGATCCGGGTTGTGGGAGAGGAGAAGAAAAGGACTGACAAGAAAGAAACAAAATTAAAAGAATTTTATGCAATTATAAAAAATTATTTTTAAGATTTATTTGTAATTATATAATTTTAAATTAAAAAAATAAAAAAAATAATGACATGACATACCACATAAGCGACTCAAATAGGCCACGTAGAATGTTGAATTAGTTATTTGTTAACCAGCTCAGCACTTAACAGAGAAAATGTTAACGGCAGGAACTAAATTCTAATTATCAACTTTAGAAAGACCACTTCTTAACAAAAATATTTGTAGAGACTAATCACAAAAAAATCTATATTTATAAGGATGAAAAACATAATTAAGCCTTAAAAGTTTTGTGTGAAAAAATGAGAGAATGTACCTCAAAAAATTAATACTTATGATTTGTTCATCGATTTAAATTAGAATGTCATTTTTTATTTTATATCAATTTTATTATTTAAATATATATTATATATACAATTGTTTTTATCTTTAATTTATTTTTAAAGTTTTTAATTCTTTAACTTATTTTTAACTCTAGATAGTATTATTATAAAATACAATCATTATTGACTTAAGTTTAAACAAAGTTTTTATTTCTTAAAATTTTGTAATTGTCTCATTTATTTTATTTTTTAAAACAAATTCTCTAATTTTTTTCTATAATTTTACTATTTGTAATTTGTTGATTTTTTATATATAATATGTAATATTCAACTTGACTTATATAAATAATGTGTAGCGGATGTAAATGATAAAGTTATATCGATTAAAAGTATTAGTTAAGTGACTAAGTAAAAATAAAAAATATTGAAAATTAAATAATCAAATAAATAATAACGAATATTAAAAAAAAAGACCTTATTTAAGCCGTGATGGACTCTCACTCTGGGCTATTTGGAATTTGGCGAGCTAAGTGACAAATGTGGAAACGTTTTATTTTTCATGGGGTAATTTATAAGTGCGAGAGCATGATTGATTGCTTGCTTGATTGATGCGCAATCATAAAATGAAAGAAGTGGCGCACTCGTTAAAGGAAAAAACAAGTACAGACTCCCACGCAGCCAAACCATGTACAACAAGGTAGCTATATCAATTATCAATTATTATTTTTTATTTTTTTAGAAAATTATATATATATATATATATATATATACTCATTAATAATTGACATTAAATAAAATTTTATTAAAAATAAAGTTATAAATAATTTATTATTTTATTTTAATGAATAATATATTTTTTCTGGAATTGAATAATGTATTTATAAATATAAATTACATCAATTTAATAAATAATTTAAAAATAATATAAAATAATCAAATGATTAAATTCATCAATCTTTTATTTTATAAAAAATTTAAAATTCGTAAGTGATAAATGTGTGTTTTAACACTCGAGTGTCGGCAACTATTAATCACTAACGCTGTGTAGTCTTTAACCATCCACCCATGATTCCATTAGCTGATAAACACGAAAATACATACAGTAGGATTTTTTACACAATAAAAAAAAATTGGCTGCATCCATGGTATACATTCCTTTAATATTATTTTCACTGGATTATAAAATAAACCCTATATATTCACTAACTTGAAATTTGAAATTATTTAATATTTTTATTTAATAATTCAGAAAATTTATAAAAATGAAAAGATAAAAAATAAAATTATTTAAAAAATCCATTAATTAACCTATTTCTTTGTCAAATTTGTGCTAGAAAGTTAAAAACAGTCCAATTAACTTTCAAGAGCCTTTCCTGACACCATGAGTACGACTTTCTTTTATCTATTAAGTCAACTTTGTGAGCGCGTACAGGAGAATTCTCAGCAAACTTTGCTTTTTCTTTTATAATTTATTATTTAGGTAAATGCTAGCTAAGTGTTTTTAAAATATTGGTGAAAAAAATAATAATGTTTATTTAAAAATATAATAAATATATCTGTTTTTATAATTTTAATGCAATTTAACGTAAATTTTATAAAAATTATTTTAATTTTTTATCCTACCTCTTAGTTAGATTTATTTAAATAATTTTATTTGTAACTAAATCTATTTTAATAAATTAATTAATAAAATTTTTATTTACAAAAAAAAACCCAGATTTTAATTTTATTAATTGATTTGAAATTAGATTTTTATCCTATATAATAACCAAGAGAAATCGTTTTAATTAAGTTGTTGACATTGACTGTCTCCTTTTATTGAAAAAGTGCTAAGCATAACTCCAATGTGATGCAAGAGAATTCTTTTTAAACTTTGGTGTTTCTCTTATTTACTTCTTAAACAAGTAATTGATTATATATTACTTTTCATTTAAACATGCAAATAGCATCTCTACATTGATATCCAATTGTTTTTAGTTTCTGTTATATATATAAGAAAGCCCGTCCCCATCAATAACCATACACAAGAAGATCTTCCAGCGACATGGACTTGGAAAATCCCTTCTCGCAATCAATAGTATCATTCACCATCTTCTTCGGGCTGCCGTTATTTCTCTTAGTTCTTTCATCCATATGGAGACGTAGAATTCGCACTGATGCAGCTAGAAAAGCAGCACCAGAAGCTAGCGGTGCATGGCCCTTGATTGGGCACCTCCATCTTTTTGGTGGCTCAAAACCACCTCACATCACCTTGGGTAACATGGCGGACAAATATGGACCCATTTTCACCTTGCGTCTCGGTGTTCACAAAACATTGATTGTGAGCGATTCAGAATTGGCCAAACAGTGCTTTACTGTAAACGACAAAGCTTTTGCTAATCGTCCGAAATCTTTAGCCTTTGAAGTATTGGGCTATAACTTTTCCATGATTGGGTTCAGTCCCTACGGTTCCTATTGGCGTCGAGTACGCAAGATAGCCACCTTAGAGCTCCTCTCCACTAACCGGATAGAGATGCTCAAGCACGTCATGGAATCGGAAGTGAAGGTGGCAATGAAAGAGAGTTACAATATTTGGTTAAAGATGAACGCGAACACGAGTGGTTCTGAAAAGGAAGCGATTGAGATGAAGAAATGGTTTGGGGACATATCCTTGAACATTTTGTTTAGAATGGTGGTAGGGAAACGTTTTGTTGCATTGGATAATTGTGATGGTGTCCTGCACGAAGAGAACGAACTGATTCGAAAGACGCTGAGAGACTTATTTGATCTTAGTGGGTCGTTTGCTGTCTCTGATGTTTTGCCGTATTTAAGGTGGTTGGATTTAGATGGACGAGAGAAGGAGATGAAGAGAACTGCAAGAGAATTAGATAGGTTTATTCAAGTTTGGCTTGAAGAACACAAACGCAACAGGAAGGGTCGTTTGGATAAATCTGATTTCATGGACACTCTTCTTACTCATGTTAAAGACGGTGAGGAATTTGATGGCAGGGATGCCGATACCACAGTCAAAGCTACATGCCTGGTATTAATTACATCGTATTTTTTTTAAAAAAATAATTATTTTTATTGCGTTATTTATAGAATTTTGTTAACATGAATGTTTAAGATTAATTTTAAATATTGAAATTAGAAGTTTTTACTTTTTATTAAGAAAAAATATTTATAACATTAAAATATAATAAACATTTTAGTTTTCA